ACACACACACACACACACACACACACACACACACACACACACACACACACACACACACACACACTGTTCTCTCTGGCTATGAATCTAGTCACACAAGCATATAAATACAGTTCAAAGGTGAACGCCAAGCTGACTTCGAAATGTTCTCCAAAATGACCATTCCTTTCCCAGACCATATAACACCAAAAAAACTTACACGAAAAATGAAGGTGCACAAACAATCACACACACACAAATACACGACATATATATATGTGTATACGTGCATATTCCTTTTCATTGTGCATCTCCCATAAGCTCTCATAAGCTGTCTTACCTCCATAATCTGACCAGGGACTCTGCGACCTCACAGAGTCGTTGAGGGCTTTGTCCGCCTCTGCCTGTTTGGCCACCATCTCCTCTGCGATCTTGCGAGCCTTCTCCTCGAACACGTCCTTCTCGGCCTTAGTCAGCGCCCGCCAGCGCGTGCCAACAATCTTGCTAATGTCACCGAACGAACAGCTGGGGTTGTCCTGACAGATCTGCTTGCGGGCTTCTCCGGCAAACACAATGTACCCGCTCGGCTGCCTTCTAGGGTTCGGGGTTTTCTGAAAAGTCCAAACAATTTCTCTTTAAAGCGTTCATTGTTCACTGTTTCAGGAAGCAACATCCTTGCATTTCGGACATGTCTATTGATGATGCTCCGTTGCTCTCTCCAAAATGTTGCTGAGGGTCTTTCTACTGATTGTGCCAGTGCATATCTTTAAAGCGGAAAGACAATAATGATTAAAAAACAAAACCTCCCAAAAACAGTTAAGAGAGAATATTCCTCATCGTACTACAGCAAAAGCATTAACCAAAAGTGGTGCCTGAAGAGGATTTTCTTTGGCTTATGGACTGATTTTTTGTCCTGACCTAACATTGAAAGTAAACTTTGACATTCACATCATGTCTGTTTCGAGCACAAAACACGATTTACAAGAGAGCCTGCACACAAAGGCACAAAACACATCATTGAGGTCAGGCACAAGACGGCCTACAGCAAAGTTTTCTCAAACCCATTTTTGACCGTGTTGTAAATGAAGGTCAAATAATCTCTATAAATAGAAACAGATTTTTCATATTTTTCTATTCATTTATGCCACATTTTGAGCTGAAATGGTCTGTGATAGTTTAATTAAACAGTTTTAAGCCTCTCCTGTAATATCATAAGACTTCCTGGGAAAAGGCCCATCTGCCCCCGAGACCATCGACATACAGTTCACGTCCGTCTCTCCGTATAATAACAATAATATAGATCATTTCTATAGCACCCATTCCCGTGTGAACACAGCTCTAAGCGTTTTACATAAATGCATATACGAACAACATTCACACAGACAAACACACTCACACATTACACGCACACACGTGCACACACACACACACACACATCTACCTGCTTACCACACACTCACGCTTACACTGACATCGTTACGAAATAAGCACATACAAATACTACATAATATAATAATACACCCACAATGTAATTGGCAGTATCCCTCCTTACCTTTTTAAAAATACAAAGACATGATAAAAATAGAGAGAGAGAGAGAGAGAGAGAGAGAGAGACAGAGAGAGAGAGAGACAGAGAGAGACAAGAGACAGAGACAGAGACAGAGTGAAAGAGGGAGAAAGAGGATTACTCTAGGAGTTGTGCGCTGTATATGTGTTTTGTATTATTGTACAGTGCATTGAGCACTTCTTTGAGGAAATGCAATTTATTATTATTCATCATTATTATTAATATACACACAATGTAGCTCGCAGTATCCCGGAGTACCTTTTTAAAAATACAAATACATAATAAAATAATATACACACAATGTAATCCGCAATATCCCCCCGTACCTTTTTGTGGGACTTGGTTGGAGCGGGGCTGGGGGCGTCGTTGCTGACAGAGGTGGCGTCGTTGCTGGCCTCTGGCTCCACGTCCTGCGACTCCTCCGTGTCCACGAACAGGCTGTCCTCCGCACCGGCCTTCATCAACAGCGGAGACGGTTCCTGGGAATGCGGCACAAGGAACTACATTCACTCGACAAGTTAAGCTAGACACTTACGACCTCTATAAGCTCGATATCAACCCCACAGCGGCGCCTCGACTATTACTTATCACAAACAAAGGACAGATCCAGGGCTAGCCCCGCCCCGAGAAGTGCTACTGACCGAAATTGTCTTTTTGTTTCAGTAGAGGTTTTACGACACTCGCAACTGCATAAGGTCATATGAGCATCCAGAAGATTAGAGCTGTTACAAGAGAGTAACAAACATAAAAAAGAAGAAGGGGAGACAAGGATGATAGATGTTTGATAGGAAAAGAGGAGCAAATCACACCAGAGCACCCACCAATCACCCACTGAAATTGTCTTTAGGCCATTCACAAAGGGGGGATATTAACATGTTCTTGAGCACAGTAGAATTGTAAACGGGCTGATTTATCAATGTCATATGCTCATACTGTGCCGGAACAACATAGAGGGAACTTCTGCTTTTTCTTTCCTCATCCTTACTATCGTCACCTTTCCTCTACTTTTTTGTATGTTTGTCACTCCATTGTGAACTGCTATTTCCAGGGTGTCTTGATAGTCGAAGCAGACGTTGTGCTGTTGGTGTTAGAGAGGCGAGCAGAGCAAGCCTGATTCCCCGTTTGGACTTCTCTGCTGACACCCACCCCTTGGCGCTCATATGAACGTATGCAGTTGCGAGTGTCAAAAAACTCTTACTAAAGCTAAAAGACCCAGGGCTGGAATTTAAAATCTTGCAAGACACAGATGCTTGTTATACGTACTAACCACATTCCCCGTTTTCACATCCAATTCATTACCCTCCTTATCTCTGAGAGCTGGGGGTTAATTTCTAGCACTACTGCATTTGATCCCCTCATTTACTCAAGGATCTTTTTTCTTAAAGTTGTGGAAAAAAATAATGTCCAAGTACATGTTCAATTGCTGGCGCTGTGGGGTTAAATTTTATCGCATCAAAATGAGTGCTGTTGAGGAACACAAGTATAAATGTGGGTACAAACTGACTACAAAGATTTCTGACAAACTGGTTCACTAGTTAGCATTTTTTGCGGTGTAATTCTATGGCTTTCTTTTATGAATGTGATTGTGATGGGCCGCAGTTTATCAAAACAATTCTTTCTCTCAAAGACTTGGACAAAAATACCTTTGTAAGTTGTTTAGATACATTTCCTTAACGCTGTAGGCCTGACAATATAGTACAGAGCGCTTGCTCCAAAGGGCCAAATTCATATTCAGCGAGTTGCTCGATTAATTACAGTGAGGCATGATGTGGCAAGGAAAGCAGTGCATGGAACTTTTACCATGAGACACATGTATGAAGAACACAATGACAACCTCAGTAAAACATGTCAACTCTCACCTTCTCCAAAGCTATAGGTTTTCTGAAAAAGTAAATCTCATCATCCACAACTTTTGGAGACAAAGCGTATTTCTGTGGGAAAAACAAAAAGTGTGATTCAATCATGCACTCTTGAAGATTATACAAATACATTGGAAAATGCAACGACACTAAAATCTAATGGTAAGAATTGTTGAAAGCATTTTCTGGAAATTATTGACATTTAAAGAAAACAGCAACATCAACAAAATTTAATTTAAAAAAACTAAAAGATTCACCAAAATTCTAAAAGGGACGCAGAAAGGACCTTTCATCCCAATACTTGCTCCCCTAGGTTACAGTTTACACATTCCAATCTTCAACAAAGTCTGTGCTAGATGGACTAACAATCCATCACAAAAAAGTCCAGCTGGCGGCAATAAACAGTCTTTTTAAAAATCCAATCTGAGAAATAGGCCTATACAAGTTCCTCTAAAAAAGCTCATACATCATCTTGAATGGCAGCTGCAAGGTACAGATCAGAATTCTCTAATCCAGTAGCATGTTCTAAAACATATGTGTCACGAATGATGGAATCAGGCGCTCGTCAATTTTTGGGCAAATGGAGTTATTGGTATCATGTGAATACTTATTCATTTGCCTTGCTTTTGATGAAAAAAATACCAATTTATCTTAAATAGAAGTTGAGATATTTGCAATTGAAGGAGATGGGGTTTCAGAGGTAAAATAAGTGAGAAAATGGCAGCCAAATTTTGGTAATTTCAATAGCTTGAGTGTCCTTGAAAACTGGAAATTTACAAATTTTGGGTCTTTAATCTGTTTTCCAGGAAAATTAAAATGGAAATGTGTTTTTATATGGACACAAAAGATGTTGAGCCTAAAAACAAAAATTTGACAAAAATGGACAAACTGGCGAAAAAAAGCCTATTTCTCCGATTTCGTTATTTTGACGAGCGTTTGATTTCACCACGCTGCCTCACATATTAATAGAATGAGGCACAAATGGGCCAACACCAAATTTCTCAAACCTGATCTTTGACGATGTTGTTAAGTAGGGTCAATACACCATGTCAACAAATGCTGCAAGAATTCAATGAATAGAAATGCATGAAACTCCAATAATAATTATCGTAATGGGTAGATTTCTATAGCGCCCACAACCAAATTGGGCTCTTGGGGGCTTCACATCATTGACAAAATTGGTCACTTCTGCTGTGACTTACCTTAATGAGTTTCTGCCGTGACTTACCTTAATGAGTTTCTGCCGTGACTTACCTTAATGAGTTTCTGCCGTTTGATAGACTTGTCTGCTTCCTGATACTTGGACTCGTTGATAAAAACGTCCTGCTCCGCAATCTCCGTGGGTCGACCTGGCAAGGGAGGGGACACAACACTGTTTTTGAACACAGATACTCCAATGGCTTAGTTACGCTCATGCTCAATGGTGGAGTGGCAATAAGATACGTGCTTTTCCACCCCTTTTTTTCAGGCACACAGTGAAAAGTAACCAACATACTATACTTTACTTTTACAATCCAGCAGCCAAAAATACCCATTTCTGTAATGCGTTCTGATCAGAACCACTCCTCCATTTCTCTTCAGCATGCAAAAGCAAAAGACATGAAATTGATCATTTTGCCCTTGGAACCGTGTTTTTTCCCCTGGTCACAAACACAAGCTGCCCAAAGACTCTTGACTTAAACATTTGCCCCCCTCGGGATGCCGATCAATTATGGTAAAAAGAAGCCGTCCCTTTCCCCACCGGACGCGGCGACCGTGTGATATATAGCAACAAAAATGTTGTAGCAAGGGTCTCATTTTTGACATGCGCACTTTTTAAAAATAAATTTCCTTTCTGGATGGCTTGTGTGACCTTTGGGGTAAAAAAATCAGTTTGTATACAACAATAGGAGAAAATCTTTTTGGAAAAATGTCGAGTACGAGTGCTGTTTTACTCTTACGCCATGATGAGAATTCGGGTGATGAATAAGCTAGATCTAATGTTTTCAGTTCTAATTCCTTTTTTGGTGAACATGCGATCATCACTTTTAATTTTCTCAGTATGCTGAAATTCTAATAATGGTTGGGGTATTTTTGCCGAGATACAGGTGTAGTACTGATGTACCACGTCTGTATCCTGGTCCGTGGGGACAAGTGTTGTGGGCTCTGCGCCCTGCGTGGGCGGAAAGAGTTAATGAACCACATTCTCGATGCTGCTCACAATCTTTGAAAGGAGACAATTTAATATCCCCCAAGAACGTGCAGAAATAAATATATGTGTCGCAACATGGTGGAATCGGGTGCTCGTCAATTTTTGGACATAGGGGGTTATAGGTATCCTTTAAAAGCCTGTTCATTTGTCTTCCTTTCTTCCTTTTGGTGAAAAAAATATCCATCTATGTTCAATAGAAGTCGAAATATTTGCGATTGAAAGAGGTCAGGGTCGCCTGGTTTCAGAGGTAAAATTAGCGAGAAAATCGCCACCAAAGTTTGATAACTTCCATAGCCTGAGAGTCCTTGGAAACAGAAAATTTACATTTTTGAGCACTTTAATCAATGTTTTTCAATAAAATCCACATAAAATGTCTTTTGAAAAGGACATAAAAAGTGTTGATCCAAAATAAAATTTAAAAAATTATTTAAAAATTGCCCATCTGCCAAAAAATGCCGAATTCTTTGATTTCATTATTTTGACGAGCGCCTGATTTCACCTCACATGATGCCCCACATATAACAAGACAAAGAAAGACTAGGTAAACAAGAGTACAGTTGAACTTGCTCTGATCACCACCTGGCCAACACATCACCCCTTCAAATGAACACCTCACACTTCTCCTCTTGTGGGATTTTTTCTAAACTTTAATGACACATAGAAAGCCACCTGTCTAAGTCAAAGCAACGTATCTGTACTTTTATGATTTTGAGTTACGTCACGCTGCCATTGGGAATATGGGCATAGCCCTTCAGTTACGTCTGTTTGCCATAGTGAAATATCCTATTTGCAGTGCAGATACGTCTTCCTGCCTTTCACACAAAAAGCAGAATGGGTCCATTTAAATGAAGATGCTAAAATTAATGCACAGCTGTCTTGGACAATTTCACCTGTACAAGCACAAAAATCACATCAATTCATCTCTAACATTCTTCTTTAGTTTTAGTAGAAGTTTTACAGCGCTCGCAACTGCATAAGGTCATATGAGCGCCAGAAGATTAGAGGTGTTACAAGAGAGTAACAAAGACAAAAAAAAAGGAGGAGAGATAATGACGAAAGACGGTTGATAGGTAAGAAGGAGCAAACCCAACCAGAGCACCTGCCAACCACCCACAATTCATCTTTAACATTCCTCTCACTTGAGGGCAACAAACATTCAACAACTATCACATACTATTGACTTACTGGTACAGTAATCCTTCATATGTAAGACACAGCACTTCCCTACAATATTTTTGATGAGGGCACAGTCCTCAATGGAAGCTTGGAATACTTCTTGTTTGTAGAACAACCGATTCGGAGCGTGTTCAACATCAGCTGGTCTCAGGAAACAGGCGTAGTGGAAGAACGCCTCACCGCTAAACAGAACAGAGATTGAAAGATGCGGCTATAAAGAAGAACACTAAAGATAAAAACACACGCACATATTTCTTCTTATCAGGTGTATAGACTGACAATATCTGTGTATATTCTTAGCTCGGAACACAAGATTGCTTTTCAAAGCATTTATACAGCCTATAGGCCAAAAGCATTTATTCAGAACCATTTTGACACAGCTACAGATTAAGACATTCAACAGCGTAAGAAACAAAACAGGAAAAAAGTCACACATTGCAAACAAACATAAAGGAAAAATAAACATACTACTGCAGATAATACCATTGTGCATTACCGAAGATCTCAGGTGTTGCAGGCTTTACATTTAAAAAATTCTCTCAACGTAGAGACTGAACAGAGCAAGACAGTATGAAGACCTTCTGCACATTGGTCTGGTGTTTCTTTGTTTAGAATTTGAAGGTGCTATTAAATCAGCAGCTCTATTTTGAATCAACTATATTGCTCTTATAATACCCTAATATTTACCCCTAACATTGACAGATTGAACTTCCAAAAACATTACAGTTTTGCAAGCCAAGCCTAGATCCTACCAGAACATTTCCACCACGACCAAAAGCAAGCATAAGACAGAAAGGGAAAAAAGATGCAAAATTTTTCTTACAGGCTGTCTGTCCATATCTTGTCCATTCGGGCAATGATAGGAGAGGCTCCTGGATTACTGATATACACACCATCACCTGTAGGAAGAAAGTAAAATACATCACATAATCAATGCCAACTGTAGTGAGAAAAATGGAACATCTCTCATTCACTCAGAAGCAAAATGGTAAGCTACTTGCAGAAACGCCACTGAGATTTTGTTAACGTACATGTACCTGGAAATTTACACAGTTGCTTTTGCAAACAAAATGAAAGTTGATTGGACAGAAAATAAATGCTTCAAATAATAACTGTTTTTTCAAGAGAGAAACAACGAAAATATTGTATCAGAACCCCCCCCCCCCCCCCCCCCCCCCCCCCGGTAACAGGTTTACCAGTACCTATCACACTAGACCTGCAATGAAATTGATCGCTTATTCTCAGTGGTTCTCATTTTTTTTTTTTATCTTTTTTTTCGAAACAAAAACTTCAATCCTAGACCACGTGGCTCAAAATCATTCCCCTTTTTTTCCCCCGTTGTGAGTTCAAATGGCTTCAATTTCGTAACCCCAATTTGTCTCACATGCGATATCTCCACAGTCGTTCAAAGAAGAAAATGAGACAAACAACCACATTTGAATTTGATGCCCTCTCCTACTCACACTTGTTGCACAAGAAACAAGCATGCACATCAACAGGAAAACAATTCAGTTTCCAATATCTACATGAGAAAAGGACAAAGGCCGACGAACTGCCTGTTTTAGTAAGCGTAATACGGCACTTGCAATACAATACGGTCATATTAGTGCCGAATATCAGAGGTGTGACAAGGGAGTAACAAACACAAAAAAGAAGGAGGGGAGAGAAGGACAATAGATGTTCGATAGGAAAGAAGAACCACACCAGGGCACTCGCCAACCACCCACCAATCTTTACATGAGAAAAGGACAAAGGCCGACAAACTGCTAAACCAATGATAAAATATCAACAACCAGCACTGAAAAGAGATGCTATGCAAGACTTAAAGACTTTACTTACCCAACTTGAAGCAGCCGTTGTCTGTAACATACTGGTCGTAATACACGTTCCCGTCTTCTGACTCAATCTCAGACGGGATGGACTGGAACAAAGAAAGCAACTGGTCACCCAAAGACACTGGTGTTTGACGCTCTCTGTACAGACAAGATGCGACGACTCTTATCTGAACTCACACCAGACTGCCACTGAACACACAAGACGTTTGCTTTTACGTTTCAATGACAGTATATGATCCGAGCTCAGATGAAGAAGACCAGACTTTCTTAGGTCTTAACCCATTTCCACCTGAGTTACCTCCCTGAGCAGACACACCCATCACTTCTGCCTCCAGCCACACCCACAAATCTAGGTACCCACACTACAACTACAATAGCTTTCCCTCTAGCCAGCTACAAAATTAGTGGACAATAAGCATACAGAAATGCAAGAACGGTAGGGCCTAGCTCTATTGTAGTTTTCAATAAATTTGGAAATAATGAACTGGAGAAAGTTTTATAGAGACAAAGAGCGATTCGGATTTTCTCGTAGTCAGGTAGCTGCTTTGATACAAATATTCTCGTAGGCCGTCAGCGATGAGTTAAACTCTTAAATACAAAATCTCCCTTGTGTTGCAGTAGAGTAATAGCCTGTCGCCAGCTGGCACAAAAGCAGCTCCATTTTGTTGTTTCAGTTTTAGTAAGTGTTTTACGGCACTTGCATCACAATAAGGCCATATAAGGCAGGTTTCACAATTTTGTGTGCACTGAGGTGGTGAAATGTTTCAACGCCTATAAGTTTATGCATTGTTGAAAAAACAATTTTTTCAAACTGTGTTTGTGTTGTGTCTGTTTCAAATAAACTAGCAAACCATTAAAATTTGTTGATTTTTTATTGTTCATTTTTTTATGGATATCTTAGGACGTCTACCGTTATTTTTAGAAAGACACCATTTCCCATTTTCTAGGTCTAGTTAGATTGCTCATCTGGAGGATAAGGCCAAAAACTCCTATATCCACAAAAATATTGTGTAGAATTTGGAAAATAGCCTTGAAAAGTTGTTACAACAGCAAGTCTCAGGCCTACATCATGTCCTTAGACTTGGGATCCATAATAGGACAATACTTTTATCACACCTGTCCTTCTGAATTAGGGTGCTTTCAAAATGCCATCTAAGCCTACCTTTCTACATGAAATCTGTGGAAAACTTGCCCCCATGTGAAACTAACACTACGAGTGTTCGTCTACGACAGTTCTGACTCTCACCTCGCGTTTCTTGTCAATGACCGTGTCGCTCTCATCGAGAGCACTCTCATTGGCCGACTTGTCAGCAAACATGGACGCCACACGTATCGGCGTCAGGGGAACTTCGCGAGGAACTATGTTGAGATTCTTGCTCACAGGGGTTTGCCAGATCTGTGAACATACAATCAAAGTTGTGGTAAATGGTTGTTTTTAAGCACAAGGAGGCTATCCTGAAAAATGTTGTTTTGAAAAAATTGAAGGCAGTTTTTGCCCCCTGTTCAGTTTCTTTAAAATACAAGGAGAGCTTTCTCTATAACCAAACAAATATACACGCCAATGAAACCAAATTTCTCCTGCAGGTAGAGCAATGCCCATTTTTGGTACACATCAAGATTTCTGGAAACTCCCAAAATCTGGGTTAGCCTGCTTGTCCTTAAAAGCGATCATATTGTGCCATGATATCTCTGTTTAATTGTCAACTGAACTTACAGAACATCTTTAGCTCAGACCACAATCTTACTGAAGCAGACCTTAACTCAAGATTACACAATTGTTAATGAACATGAAAGAAGAGCTGTTTATCCATTGACTGAAGGAGGAAAGTATAAGGAAATTTGACGAAAAACATAACTGAACAATGAAGCGTAAAGAAAACAGAGGCAAGGTAGCAAAGGGAAGACGTTAGCGTTGGTACCGTGCCAACTGTAGTGAGTTATACAGGGAGAAATAACAACTGCAAACCTTTCAACATATAACGAGGGCAGTCGACAGTCAGTATAAGAAAATAACAGAACCTCAAGACTTATTATCCAAACTACTTTTTTTTGTATCTCTGCAATGTTTCATTCCGCACACTTCATAGAAGAACAGGACTCACCTTAATTTTCTTGAAGCATCTCCCTCTCAAGATATAGCGAGATTCACAAACGTAAACATCTTTATCAGGAATACCCTGAAAGCACCAAAAAAAAGCCAATAATACTTTGCAGTCACCCAGCCAACAGTACACAATGCCCCATCTGGTCACCCAGCCAACAGTACACAATACCCCATCTGGTCACCCAGCCAACAGTACACAATACCCCATCTGGTCACCCAGCCAACAGTACACAATACCCCATCTGGTCACCCAGCCAACAGTACACAATACCCCATCTGGTCACCCAGCCAACAGTACACAATACCCCATCTGGTCACCCAGCCAACAGTACACAATACCCCATCTGGTCACCCAGCCAACAGTACACAATACCCCATCTGGTCACCCAGCCAACAGTACACAATACCCCATCTGGTCACCCAGCCAGCAGTACAAAATACCCCATCTGGTCACCCAGCCAGGAGAGTGACTACAACAGACTTCTCAGGCCTGGCACGCACAGTGCTAACATGTTATCTTCAATAGTTCATTATCAGGATAGCAACCATTCTGTTCAATTCTCCTCACATTTATGATTATCATTTGAAAAAAAAATCTAACAACAAATGAAATTAGTTTAAAAAGTGGTAAATCAGTACCCAATACAAAACAACGTAAAGATTAAGAATTCAAACTGAACCAGATGTACCCTTCGCAGACACACTTTTCAGCGCGTGTACTAACATTTCTCCCTTCTTGAAAAGAGTTTCATGTCACGCACCTTCAGTCAGACATAGCCACTGCAACCAAAAACATTTCTCACTCTCAAAGAGTTTAGTTTAGTACGGCACTTGCAACACAATAAGGTCATAAAGTGCCGAAGATTAGAGGTGTTACAAGAGAGTAACAAACACAAAAAAGGAGGAGAGATCAGGACAATAGATGCTTGGTAGGAAAGGAGCAAACCACACCAGAGCACCCGCCAACCACCCACACTCTCAAAGATGAAAAGAAAAGAAATATTTATTTCAAAGGGCACAGGCACAACAGAAAACCAGACAAAATAAGACTCTTTATAAAAAAAAAAAATTTAAAAAAAAGAAGAAGTGGCATCTGTAAAACTGAATGACTTACCTCTGGCTTAAACTTGAAGTAATCCTTCACAAACATGACACAGCAGCGACCAACAATTTCTGATATCGGGGTACTTTGGCGAGTATCGCTGCGAAACACCTCCTGGAAAATGACATTGACATTGACATCAACGAACGGAACAAATGCAATTTATGTATAAAATCTGTCAAAGTGAAAAGTTCAGACAAATAGATATGTTATCGTTATTAAGTGCTGGGAAAAGAAACTTGACTGACAGGAGAAACAATTAAGTCAGAAAAGACTAAAGATTATATTTTACCCCAAAAAATTCTTATCTGCATGCAATACAGCACTTAAAGAAAATGAGAAAATTGATTATTCCTAATTCTTTGACGAAGAAGGGGACAACAGAGCACAGTGAAAATTTGAATAGGCATGCATTATGATAGTTAAAAGTCAAAGTTTTAGTTTTAGTCAGAGTTTTACAGCGCTCGCAACTGCATAAGGTCATGTGAGCGCCAGAAGATTAGAGGTGTTACAAGAGAGTAACAAACATAAAAAAGAAGAAGTGGAGAGAAGGGCAATAGATGTTTGATAGGAAAGAAGAAGCAAACCACACCAGAGCACCCGCCAACCACCAACTAAAAGTCCAAACAGATATGAAATCTTGCCTTTTCTAAAAACTTTCTTGTGGCCAGGTGGTATGTCTCTCCAGGTCGATAGAACCACTGGCCCTTGATGTCAACCTGGCCAGACTCGTCTCGACTAAAACTCTCGATCACCATGATGTGTGGTTCAGGAGATTCCCTGACAGAGACAACACAAATGATAGAATTGACATCTAAAACAAATGATAGAATTGAAAACTAAAACAAATGATAGAATTGAAAACTGAAACAAATGATACAATTGAAAACCAATGTTTACACCAGTGCCATGACTTTCCTTCTTTTCAGTTATGGCATGAGTAAATGTACGCTCATCTGAATATCAGTACCTATGACCTAGAAAATCATTGGTCCCCTTTAAGCACAAGGGGACTATCCCGAAAAATGCTGTTTTGAAAAAATCAAAGGTAAAGTTTTTTAACCCTTGTTCAGTTTCTTTAAAAGACAAGGAGAGTTTTCTCTTTAACCAAACAAATATACACACCAATGAAACCAAACTTCTCCTATAGGTAGGGCAATGCCCACTTTTGGTGTAGGTGAAGGTTTCAGGAAACCCCCCAAATCTGGATTAGCCCGCTTGTCCTTAAAAGCGACCAACTGGCCAACTACGGACTACAAAGAAGAGACCAAAGTGTTCAAAAATCACTGTGAGACACAAATGACTAAAGCTGTGGACTAAAGTCCAGAGAAGAGAGTGTTTATAGCGAGGCGTCGGTGGCCTAGTGGTTAGGCTCTCGGACTCGCAACCGTAAGGTCGTGGGTTCCAATCCTGTCAGGGACCTGACGTTGCGTCCTTGGGAAAGGCACTTTACATGAGTTTTCCTCACTTCACCCAGGTGGGAATGGGTACCCAGCTATAGGCAGTGAAAGATCTTGTCAGTTTGTTAGTGTTTGAGCGCTTAATCAGCCGCTTGCACTGTATGCTTCCCGCTTCCCGGGAAGCTGAGAATGTTTCTGAGTGTTCTATGTTCTGCTGGGGTAGTAATAATAGTGTAAAGCGCATAGAGCTTGCTTTCGAGCGGGGTTATCCGCTATACAAATTCTATCTATTATTATTATTATTATTATTATTATTATTATTATTATTATATGATCAACACCTATGTTGTTGTTGTTGTTGTTGTTATCGATCCAGCAACAGCTGGGCTCTCGCCCTTCTGTCCAATGCCATTTGGTGATAAGTGCAGGTTTGCTGCAGTTGCTGTAAAGTTCCATAGAGTGTGTTGTCAATGTTAGGTCTCGGAGGGAGAAGGGTAGCTCTGATGTCATTTAGGGCTGTGCAGTGGAACAGGTGATGATCCAGTCTCATATGCATATCACACAAGGGACACATTGGGGGAAGTTCAACACCTATATCATTCCCATATAACAGAGGAATGTGAAGCTTGGGGGGGGGGGGGGGGGGGGGAAGAAAGCTCCAAGCTTGACCATAAGCAGACAGGCCACATATGGAGCAGGAAAAATGAACAAAATATGGAAACTTGTCAATTACTTGAATTACTTGAAAGTAGAACTGGGGTCTTAGGAAGACGGGGTGTTCCATGCTTCCTCGCCCAACATCAGTTGTAAAGTAGATATTCCTAAGTATCAAAAACATCCTTTTCAGCATCTGAACTATCTGTATCTTCTCCATGAAAAATTCTTTTCTATTTGCACATAACCCTAAACCATGGTGCTAGGCAGTGCAGAGAAATATCTACCTCTTCAAATGGTCACTTTTAAAGACAAGCGGGCTAACCCAGATTTCGGGGGGGTTTCCAGAAATCTTGACCTGCACCAAAAGCCGGCATTACCCTACCTATAGGAGAAGTTTGATTTCGTTGATAAGTATATTTGTTTGGTTATAGAGAAAACTCTCCTTGTGTTTTAAAGAATCTGAACAAAGGGGAAAAACTTTACCTTAGATTTTCTCAAAACAGCATTTTTTGGGATAGCCCCCTTGTGCTTAAAAGCGACCAAATATTTCCACTCCTAAAACTATCATTTCATGAAGTTGTTGACCACTGTTGGGTTTTATATTTTCAATGTAAGACATTGGTGATCTTCCCTTATTTCTCTGTGCCTCTATTTTTGCCTTATTATATGAACCCACCAACGAAAGTTTCATAACAGTGAAACGCATCAGAAGTGATACTTGTTGAAGATATCAGTGCCCTCATAAGTAGCAGGAGTGCGAACATAAGATAAGATAAGATAAGATAAGATAAGATACATCTTTATTGTCCAGATCCTGGCACATTGGTTTGGTGTTCCACCACGAGTACACACACACACACACACACACATACACACACACACACACACACACGTGCACACAAACACACACACGTGCACACACAAGTAGGCTTACAATCACATGCATAATATAAATGAGCAGCAATATAAACAATAATAATCGTAAGCAAGACACACATGTACCTTGAGGGGATGTAGACAAAATCTCCCTTGGAATAGACTTGACCTTTATATTCGCAGTCTTCCTCTCCGCCATTGGAATCTTGCAGCTGGAAGGTAATGAAACAAGAGACACACAGAAAGTTTTATTTTAGTAGAGTTTTTACGGCGCTCGCAACTGCATAAGGTCATATGAGCGCCAAGGGGTGGATGTCAACAGAGAAGTCCATACAGGGAATCAGGCTTAGTCTGCTCATCTCTCTAGCTTCAACAACACAAAGTCTGCTTCAACTTTCAAGGCACCCCGGAAATACTGGGTCACAAGAAGTAGAGGATAAATGATGATTGTAAGGATGAGGAAAGAAAAAACAGCAGTTCCCCCTAAGCATTTCAGGCACAGTTATGAGCATGACATTGGTGAATCAGCCCATTTACAATTACAATTCTACTGAGCATAAGAACATGTTAATGTCCCCCCTTTGGAAAAGGCCTAAAGACACTTCAGTCTGTAGCACTGCCCGGCGAGTTACACACAGAAAGGAAAGGTCAGCTTTAGTTACTGTTACAAAGGAAGGACTAAATGGACTTTCCAAAACACAACTTACTCCCTGAAAAATGTTATCTTTAAAAATGACACTTGTCCAAGAGTTACCCAGCAGGGTAAAGAAACAGCTGCTTCTCGTACATTTATCTGTAAGCTAGACTAATTCACTTTCAAACATTACAAATATGCTTTACTACCATTACTAACATAAGAGCTATTCCTTAAGTCAAAACTGCCACAGAGTAAAATAATTCAGCGAAAAATAAAGTTGTTCCTGCATCTAATCCGAACATTGGGGATTGCCTTGTTAGTGAGACAACTTTCTGGGCCTTCGGTATAATGTGGAAGGGTGGCCAGTTCCTTTCCACGCCCCCTTTACTTCCCCAACTCGAAGTCAGGTACCCATTACTGCTGGGTGGGCAGTACAGACCTGAATAAAATGTTCATAATATGCAGCAAACCCATTCAGCTACTCTTCAACACGGTTCTCATAAGGGCTGAAGAATTTTTTTCCTAAAGGTTAAGCGGAGAATATTTGCCCTCAATAACACAATATATTCTGGTCGAGACAAAACAGCACTTTCTCAGGCCTCTGAGATAACACAACCGTCATCTGTGAGCCCATATCGTGCTAAATACGGATTTAAAGGCCCGAAAAGATGGATGTCTTAATACAGAAATGAGGTCTATGTGCAGGAAGTGGCAAAACCTCACAGCTGACTCTCAGTCTTAGTTTAGTTTTTGTTTTTGTAAGAGTCTTACGGCACTCGCAACTGCATAAGGTCATATGAGCGCCAGAAGATTAGAGGTGTTACAAGAGAGTAACAAACATAAAAAGAAGAAGGGGAGATAAGGACAATAGATGTTTGATAGGAAAGAAGGAGCAAACCACACCAGAGCACCCGCCAACCACCCACTGACTCTCATGCTAGCCGTAGAACTGGGTTCTGAGTGACACATTTGCTGTAGAGAGTTTGTTTCGTTTGTTTCAGTAAGAGTTTTACGGCATTTGCAACACAATAAGGTCATACAAGTGCCAAAGATTAGAGGTGTTACAAGCGAGTAACAAACACAAAAAAGAAGGAGGGGAGATCAAGACGATAAATGTTTGATAGAAAAAAAGGAGCAAACCACACCAGAGCACCCACCAACCACCCACATAGAGAGTTTGGTGTAAAAGTTTTACGGCGCTCGCAACTGCATATGGTCATACGGGTGAGCCGGCACAAGTTGGTAATTTTGACGTTATTTCATAGCACAACGCTTTGTTTTCAGTTTTCCCTGGCAAGTAATAGAGAAGACCCGACACCAAAATCATGTTAATAGATAAACTCATCTCATTATTATTATTATATTAAGAAATATTGTAATGCGAAATGTTCTGATGTCATGAATGTTGGATCAGGATGATCCCCCTTTTGTTTTTGTATTACAATAATAAAAGTAGACACACTTCCTGTTGACTTTGGAAGAAGAAAGAACACACGCTGTGTCTACATATTCTTATTGAAAGAATGAACAAATGTAATCCAGTTCAATCCACAAAGTCTTAAGTTTCTCATCTATGTCAAACACCCACCGACCAACAAATCATTGGCCAACAACTCACCACTTTACATTCCTCGGAGCCGTCAGCGCCCTCTTTGTTCTTCTCCTCCTCCTCCTGCTTCACCTGCTCTTTCTCTGCCTCCGATTTCTCCTTCTGCTCCGCCTCCAAGGCCAGAGTCAGATGGCGGTCCGTGTAGCTGAGAGCAGGGGTCAGAAGAAGCTCGCCGTTCTTACAAAGGTCGTCGCGGGTGGTGATGAAAAACTTCTGCATCTCTACCGCATCCTCATAGAGCTGTTGGAGAAACGTACACAATTGGTTAATCTTTGTTGGTCATCGGCTTTTTAACAGTTCTCTCTACATTAATCCTATCCGCACGCCCTGGGGTCATTTTGTACCCCTGGGGGTTGTATTCTTCACATTTTAGAATACTTCTAGTGCGAAGATCTCTTTGAAACTTTCAGTATTTCTCAAAAATTCATTTTGACAGACTGCTCAGCAAAGCGTAGGGATCGGATTAACGAATAAATTTCTTCTTTACTTTGGAAAGTGAGGGAACAGAGTTCCCCATGTCGTATGCTTAAAAGCGACCATTTATCGGGATTGGACTTGTGCCCTGACTAAAAATTCCCAACCAAAGAATATCACCATGATACAAACGTGTCAATGTATTGCTCATTGAGACAAACTCATAAAAATAATTCAATTGAATTCGAGAGCAAGATGTCTATTAAGTACCAACTAAATCATAAAATCATGACAAGAAGTAGGCTTACACATTAATGTTTTCTACACTCTTAAGCAATTTTTAAAATACTTCGCTTATACAAATTGTCTGTGACATTGTTCCTCAAATGAGACTAACAACTTAAATCCATCAAAACTGGAATTGCACACAAAAAAAGTGGAATTAATACCAATGAGGCAATACACAAACAACATATGATAAACTTATCAATTTTAAACATTCAGCAAGAATACGCAGTGGGGCAGCATGAAGATCTACTGACCACAGTGAAGAGACAAAAATTAAAATGGTATGGGCATGTCACAAGATCCACAGGACTTGCCAAAACAATCCTAAAAGGAAAGAGAAAGAGAAGAAGGCAGAGAAAGAGATGGGAGGACAATGTTACAGAGTGGACAGGAAAGACGATGGTTGACAATCTGAGGAAAGCAGAGGACAAAGATAAATGGCGAGAGCTGGTTTTCAGATTCAGTGGTGCCCCCACCACAGGATAGAAGAAGAAGAAAAAGAAGATCAATGGAAATTTTCTTCAAACAGCCAAAGCATAATACAGATAAAGTACAAACCTGAGAATCCAGTCTGCTGAGTTGTCGGGCTCTCTCAAACATCTTGAACATGTCGTCTTGGAAGCGATCAACCCTTTGGTAACGACCCTTAGAGAAGACAGAAACACCTTATTGGATCAGCACTACCATCAGCATTTCTCTTGTCCCATACAATCCACTACAATAACATAGAGGTGCTACTTGGGTCTGGAAAGTGAAAAAAACTTTCTGGAACTTACACAACAACAAAAAAAAAACTTTTTAATTTTAGTAAGATTTTTGCGGCACTTGCAACACAATAAGGCCATATAAGTACCGAAGATTAGAGGTGTTACAAGAGAGTAACAAACATTAAAAAAGGAGGGGAGATAAGGACGATAGACGTTTGATAGGAAAGAAGAAGCAAACCACACCAGAGCACTCGCCAACCACCCACAAGTTGACTTGTACACTTCAACCCAAATTAAAATGTTTTACAAACACAATAACCCAATAACCATGACATTCATCTTACCTTGTCAAGATTTTTTCTTATTTGATCAAATGTCAGAGGAGGTCTGTTGGAGAGAGGTGCAAAACAAGTGTGAAATTAAAAGACAATCAAACACAATCGTTTCTTGAATATATAACACATGTTAACTCTTTATGCCCTGAGTTCTTTCCACTGTTTCCCGGAAATATTTTCTACAGTCACCTAAACCTGGGGCACTATGTCTCATTATAACCCCAAAAGCTTGCCTCCAACTTCTCAATAGCGGAAACAACGGCTTAGTCATTACTAAAAAACTTCGTTCGTCATTCGGGAATAGTTGCGAAAAACAAGCAAAAGCTAGCTCTAAATAAACCGAAACAGTTGTCACTAGTACTGGACTCTCCCAGCGTCTGATGGGGAACACGGTTATTACCGCTGTACGCTCCCAGCATCCAATGGGGTTCAAAGAGTTAAGTAACAGTTATATGAAAGGTACATCAGCAGCATCACTCCACAGCAATATACATAATACAGCTAATAAATCACGACAAAGCTGGTACGCTGGATTAGTCTATACAAGAAAAAGCTGGCGTGAAACATTTTTTCATTTACTTATAAGGTTTCTGAACATCTTTATAAACCACAAGCTCAATAAACCACAACCCCGATGGTGATTTGACTTAACCAAAGTGCTTAATGCTGCAACAGCAGCTCGGACAACTTAAATGAGTCATCCTATTTAAATATCATCTGCCTGTCAACTATGTGACTACTCCTCAGAGACAGTGGAGCATCATCAGATCGTCTGAGGAAAACTAACCGATTTGAGGGGATGTTTTCTGCCCAAGCTACCCCACACATCTAAATGCCTCTACTCCTCAAGACAAAAATTAGAATAGACATGCAGCTATTACAGAATGGCATCATGCAGAAGAGATAGCGCTCAGAGGCTACTGGACCGCTAACAGCAACAACAATTTAAGAAACATGTTAAAGTACATCAAACGAAAAGTGCCATACAATACAGTTTTGAGTAATTCTGCCGAACAGAAGAGTTATAATCACAATAAACAGTTTTTCCTCCCTCTTGAGGTGAAAAAATTTCTAAAACTAATTTGTCTTCCTGGAACTACTATGATACCACGATTTCTTGAGGGCTTTTAAAAAAATCATTTTTTAGTAAGAGTATTACGGAACTTGCAACACAAAAAGGTCATATAAGTGCCAAAGATTAGAGGTATTACAAGAGAGTAACAAACACAAAAAAGAAAGAGGGTAGAAAAAGACGATAGATGTTTGATAGGAAAGAAAAAGCAAACCACTCTAGAGTACGTGTACCGCCACCCACCGACTAGAGGCCATTTTCAAATAATTGTATTAGCACTCACAATTTCCCAATTATGACTGACACAACTACTCACTCTGAGACTTCTCCATTCACTTGCAATCCTTTGTCTTTTTCCACTAATTCAGCAAATGAATCACTATAGCATCTGCCTTCATCATCCTGAAAACAAGCAAAATAGAGATTGTATTAAAGTATCAGAACAATCTACTTATGAAACCTAAACAAATGGGTAACAGGGAAAGATCAGGGAAACGTAGCTTTCTTAAGAGCATCCGAGGAAACGAATTAATGGAGAATCATGATTGGCGATGTCTGCCAAATATCTGGCACTGGATGATGATGATAAAAGTATCAATTACTCACATGCCAGTGAACGGTCGAAAGGAAAGGAGTTGCTTGAAGTCCAATTCCTTTCCTCTATATGTTTCATTTTCTCTTTGTTTTTTTTAGTTTTAGGAGGGATTTTACGGCAAAAGGACATAATATATGAGCGCCAAGGGGTGGATGTCAACAGAGAAGTCCTTACAGGGAATCAGGCTTACTCTGCTCACCTCTCTAGCACCTTGCTGCAATAAGCAGTTTCAGATAATAATAATAATAAATAGCATTTGTATAGCGCATATCCCGACTCGAAAGCAAGCTCTACGCGCTTCACACTATATTATTATTACACTAGATAAGACCTACCTCGTAGTTGAAGGTGGACACAAACAGGTTCTTCATCAAATCCTGGGTCAACGCCTTCACATCCGGCACTTCGTTCATGCAGCTCGACATCAGCTCCAGTTTTTTCTGGAAGCAGACGCGCTGCAGGGCAAGGGCATCCTGAGGTTGGGGAGGGGAGGAAGGAGGGGGGTCAGTTCAGTGCGATATCAGCTTCAAGCAAGTACTAGAAAGATGATGTGAATGCGAGTGAGTTTTAATTTAGTAGTTTTTAACGGCGCTCGCAACTGCATAAGGTCATATGAGCCCCAGAAGATTAGAGGTGCTACAAGAGAGTAACAAACATAAAAAAGAAGAAGAGGGAGATAAGGATGAAATATGTTTGATAGGAAAAAAGAAGCAAACCACCAGAGCACCCGTCAACCACCCACGGGGGGGGGGGGGGGTTCAGTTAAGAGTGACATTAGCTTCAAGAAAGTACTAGAAAGATGGTGTGAAAGCGAGTGAGTCTGGCGCTCTATACTGCAGTAAACACGAAAAGTAGTCGTCCGAGTTGAGATTCTGTGGTGCTTTTCACTCATTTTATTGTATCACATGCTGGAATCCACTAAGGGCTGTGCCACATAGCCTTATCAGGAGGGGTGCCACCAGCAAGTTCCACTTCCTTACTGTCTCTCACTTTTCTATGCCTGACTGTCTGTCACAGTTTTTCTCAGTATTAACCCTATCCATACGCCCTGGGGTCATTTTGTACCCCCGGGGTTGTTTTCTTCACATTTTAGAATACTTCTAGAGCGAAGATCTCTTTGAAACTTTCAGTATTTCTAAAAAAAATCATTTTGACAGACTGTTATGCAAAGCGTTACGGATCAGACTAACGAGTAAATTTCCTCTCTCGAAAGTTGCAGCACGATACGATAGTAAAACACAACGTACGGATAAGGTTAAAACCATTTTTTTTTCTTTAGTGAGGATGCGAACCCAAGACTTACTCTGTAGATGACCGACTCTGGCTCGTTGTACTTGCAGGCATTGTCAAACAGTAGGACAAAGTCGGTGACCATGTCCTCCACACCCTCATACTGGCTCAGCATCATCTTCTGCTGGATGCGCTGCATGTCGATGGGCCGTTTGATCACCTCGTAATAGTCGGGGTAGTCCTGGAGGGTGGAGGAAGAAAGTGCGGGTAAAATTAGACAAACATACTGAAACAAAGTCTATACGGTCGCTTTTAAGGACAAGCGGGTTAACCCACATTTTGGGGTTTCCAGAAATCTTCACCTACACCAAAAGTGTGCATTGCCCTACCTACACGAGAAGCTTGGTTTCATAAGTGTGTACATTTGTTTGGTTGTAGAGAAAACTCTCCTTGTCTTTTAAAGAAACTGTTCAAGGGTCCAAAAACTTTACCTTCCATTTTTTCAAAATAGCATTTTTCGGGATAGCCCCCCCCCCCCGTGCTAAATAGCGACCATCTATTATATCTCAGAGGAAATATCTACAACTCGGTTCAAAGACAACTCACCAACTTTCTTCCTTGTTTAAATTCCAAGTCCATGCGTTTAAATGCAACCAGCTAATGATGAAATTTGTGCTTCAGCAATTCAAGAAATGTTCTTATAAGCACAATCTCTACATAAATTCATCGCAACAATAGAGTAATTGTATGGCTAGTCAACTAAACCTGTTCCCAAAGAAAATACAAACGTACACATGAACAGAACAAAAGAGGGGCTGGGATGCAAAACTCACAACATCCATTTGAGCACTTTTGAGAAAATCAACTTTTTTTTAATGCTGCTATATGCACGAACATGCGTAAAAAGACTTTTGGGTGGCCTTTATGAAGTACGTGCTGCATGTTCCCAGAAAACATTTTGAGCATCTGGTAGCCAGTAATAGTGAGCATTTATAAGCAAAAAATCTAGGGGGTTTTTTTTTTAAGTCGCTTAGAGGGTTTTGCATCTCACCCCCTCAAACACATTAAGTTTAAAATATCATTGTTATTGATCATTTGAAAGGACATACAGTATTGTTTGGCAGTTTAATAAACGGCGATGACAGCCCCCTCTTTTTCAAAAATGTCGCATTGCGGGTTTTGCATTTGACCCCCTCAAACATATGTTTAAAATATCATAGAAGACATTTCTCCACGCTGCCTCACGTATGTTCAAAATATCTTAAAAGACGTACAGTTTTGTTCGGCAGTTTGATAAACGGCGACGACAGCGCCCGGCCGGAGCGATCCTGGTAGTCCCTCACACTCTCGTACAGCTCCAGCAGCTTCTGGGCCAGGGGGCTTGCTTCAGTGACCTTTGACCTGAGACATAAAACAACAAGGTGGTAATTACCGAGTTCAGGATACAATTTTTTAAAAACCGCTCAAAACTTTTCTTCTTCCTTTTTTTTTTGAAGGCAAACCTCAACTCTCTCTCCTTTCAATTGACGTTCAGGAAAAACTGAACTTTTCATACTCTTTGAAATTCTATAAAACTATTTTAATGTTCAAAATTCTTATAAATGTTCTTACAATCATATCACTGCCTCTTTTTTTCAAGAGAAAAGAACAGCAACATACATAAATTCATCGCAGCAAGAGAGTAATTGTATGGCTAGTCAACAAAACCTGTTCCCAAAGAAAATACAAACATACACATGAACAGATTATATGAGGGGCTGGGACACAAAACCCACAACATCCATTTTAGCACATTCGAGAATATCGCCTTTTTTTAATGCTGCCATACGCACGAACAAGCGTAAAAAGATTCTTGGTGGCTTTTATGAGGTATTTTTTTGGTTTTTGCAGAAAACATTCTATGCATAAAACAGAACAAAAGATCCAACTCACTTGCCGCGGCCACCGGACAGCTTGGCCTGCTGGGATATGGTCTTCCACTTGGTGCGCAGGACGCGGTCCAGAGTGTTGGCGTCTTGGTACAGCTGGGAGCCCTCCTCGTTGTAGTGACGCGCGTTGTTGAACATCAGCTCAAAGTCCGCCAGCAGCGCCTGTTCACTCGGGTACTGTACACGACCAAAAAAAAAAAAAATTATAAAATAAATAATTTTTAAAAAGTTTTAGTAAGAGTTTTACGGCACTTGCTGGAACATAATAAAGTCATATAAGTGCCGAAGATTAGATTTTTTTAGTAGGTGTTTTACTGCACTTCAACACAACAAGGTCATATAAGTGCCGAAGATAAGATTTTTTTAGTAAGTGTTTTACAGCACTTGCAAACAATAAGGTCATATAAGTGCCGAAGAGAGTAACAAACACAAAAAAGGAGGAGAGATCAGGACGATAGACGTTTGATAGGAAAGAAGAAAGCAAACCCCTCCAGACCACCCGCCAACCACCCACTGAAATCCGTAAACATAGAAACTACATATATTGTGTGAAAGTAAGCCAGACAGCCAAGGAGGACAAGGACAGCTGAATTGAAGCTTGTGACGTCATTATCCTAGAATTACAAATCTGTATCTGCTCAGTACTAAGTCGTGAGAAAAATATTTTTTTTATTTAAGTTTTACAACATGTCAAGCTTTTTCAAATGCAGTTCTTTGAATCAGAATGTCTTGATAACGACTCCGAAAAATCTAACAATTTCGTTAGAGCAGGTAGAACATTTGGTTTCTGACCTCATGGTCTTTTAGCTTTAGTTTTAGTAAGGTTTTAAGGCGCTCTCAACTGCATAAGGTCATTTGGCCAGGGTGACGACCTGTAGGAGTGAGTAGGAGCCTGCGTCGAAGAACTGCCAGGTCCCAATTACACATAAACAGCTGTGGCAGCAGTCGACACATAAGCCTAGGCTAAATACTAATATGTGAGGTGTACTGACAAAATGACTTACTTTTTTATTTCAGCCTCATGGAAATTGATGCATCAACTTTATAGGTGGAGTTTGTACAATTTGCAAGTATAGAATAATAAAAGACACAATAGAACAAAATGGCATTTATTGAAAATCTATAAATATGACCCCAGTGTCAATTTCGGTGTTGATTTTCAGCCAATATCTTTATTCCTGGATTGCAAGAAGTAACTCCTTTTGTCAGCACGCCTCTCATATGCCACCATTAAGTAACTTAGTACCTTCTCCGACTTGATCTTTCCTTCAATCATGGTGAGGTCGATGGGTTCCATGATCACCTGGTAGTAGTCCGGGTAATCTTTGCGAGACGGCAGAACCATGAAGATGGGACGAAGGAGGCGGCCATTGGCATCCTATGCATTAAAACAACGACAGAAAGCTTTATGAACACAAGCTGCAATATTCACTTTTATTTCAAAAGGTCTTGTGGTGCATTCCTCAGCTTCTGAGAAAGATTAGTAAAATATCAAGCTTTTTGTTTGACTGGAATAGTGTTATCATTGCTTACACTCATTCACAAAAATAGTAAAAATGACAGTGAAACTCACAGTCCACAATTTACCTGAGTATTTCAGAGTCTTCAACAAACTGCTCTGATCACACACACACAGAGAAAACATTGTCTCTTTCTGTTGCAATATCAAAATGAACAAGCAGAATCTACTACTACAAGATTTAGTTTAAAAAGCACATGTTTAATTGTAATAATAATAATAATAATAACTGCATTTATATAGCGCATATCCATGCTCAAGAGCATGCTCTATGCGCTTTACAACTATTATTACCCTAGCAGACCCTCTGAGAACATTCGGAAACATTCTCGGCTTCCGCGGAAGCACACAGTGCAAGCTGCGGATTTCACGCGCTCAAACACTATCAAACTGACAAGATCGTTCACTGTCTATGGCCGGGTACCCATTTCCACCTGGGTGAAGTGAGGAAAATTTTGTGCAAAGTGCCTTTCCCAAGGACACAACGTCGGGCCCCTGACGGGATTCGAACCCACGACCTTACAGTTGCGAGTCCGAGAGCCTAACCACTAGGCCCCCGATGCCACAATTGTAAACCTCTCCCATCTTTTCTCTAAATCCACGTAAAAAAGAAATTTCAATCTCCAGTCGACAACCTTTGACCCAGAAATGTGACTCTTTCTTCTTTCAGCAAAAAGACCGAACATTGAGGAGGTGGGGGGGGGGGGGGGGGGGAGAGACCACGACATTTTATCCACTACAAATTCATTATGAAAGTACATGAAGAGGAAGTGACTCGTAAAACATAGCAGGGCCTTTCAACTTATCTTTCAATTTTCAAACATGACTGTCGCTGCCTGGAGTGCCTGCTGGAAATATTGTTTGCTTTAGTACAGTTTTACGAAGCTCACAACTGCGTAAGGTCATAAGAGCCAAGGGGTGGATGTCACCTCAACAGAGAAATCCTTACAGGGAATCAGGCTTACTCTGCTCACCTCTCTAGCTTCAACAGCACAAAGTCTGCTTCGACTATCAAGGCACTCCAGAAATAGCGGGTCACAAGAGTGCGACAAACATACAGAAGAAGTTGAGGAAAAAAGACGATAGTAAGGATTGGGAAAGAAAAAGCAGCAGCTCCCTGTTTATAGTTCAGGCACAGTTGTGAGCATGACATTGATGAATCAGACCATTTACAATTCTACTGTGCATAAGAACATGGAAAAGGCCGAAAGACACTTCAGTCAGTAGTACTGCCCCGGGGGTGGGGGGGGGGGGGGGGGTCTTCTGAAGATAAATTTTAGGGTTGTTTATTTGTTTTAGTAAGGTTTTACGGAGCTCACAACTGCATAAGGTCATATGAGCACCATTTAGGGTTGTAAAGGAACATTTACCCAGAAAAAAAAAGAAGAAAAAAAAGGAGGGGAGGAAAAAAAGCCAACTTTACACTGTAGTCATAGACGGTGGAGTACAGGGTGCGCAGTCTTTTCTTCAGACTATCATCCCCGGACTTCTTGGCACTTGATTTCTTCTTCTCGCTATCCGGCGTGGAGTTTGGAACGAGACTCGACTTTCTCGGGCGGCCACGGACAGTCGTGGGGGTGCTCACAGATTCCTCCTCCATGGCAGTTAACTCTTCGCTGTTCTGTGATAATAAAGAGAAAAACATCTGAAGATTGACATGGAGGTGGGGGGGGGGGGGGGGACTGCTGAGAACAACAATGGGGTAAAGAGTGTTAAGAAAAGCAAAAGGATGGATGGACGTTTGTTGCGGAAACATTTCAATCTAAGGGCTGGAGAGTACAATTTCACTGTTGCATAAAAAATTCCAAATACTGTGAAACAGGTGAATTTTCTACAATTATTAGTCGTCTTTCTTTCTTTCTGCCTCTCTTCAACACAGAAAAATCAACACTGACAGCACCCTTAGTCCAGAGGCATTCCCATAATGCTCACCCTGAATGATTACACCGCAGAGCAGTCAATTAACAAAGCATGTTCATCTACCATGTCCTCTACTTTATACATATATATGTACACTAATCAAAACAGATTACAAAGCAAAAAACATCATCTCATGTTGTTTCTCAAGTACAACTCATGTCAACACAATTTTTTTTTTAAAGAAAATGTTTCTTAAAGCAAGAAAGTTAGTTAACAGTCAAGGCTATAAGAAAAAGGCATAAAAAGCTTCACAAAGAAACCAAATAAATCAATTAAATTAAAAAGTTATAATAACAAATCTTAACATACTCTTTCTTTAATCAACAAAAATCCACATGAAAATTCCCCCTAAAAACACTTCTTAAGAAAAACAAAATTTAGGAAAATACGACTAGCTAAACTTCAAAAGCCTTGCTAAAGCAATCCAATACACGCAACTATATTTCTATACTGATGGAGCAAACAGACACAGCACAAAGTGAGAAGCTTACATCTACAAAAGGACACCGACATTTCTGTTGGTGCGGGGGACATTTCCTTCCATTTGCACAAGAAAAGCATTCTGCATCTATCTGCGTACTAAATGCGACACTCAAATACTCAAGCACTTCTAGGCCACCATCTGAACAGAATCAGCACACAAACCCCACCCACCAATATGGCAGCACAGCGATCACCTTTCTGACAAAATACAACATTGTTCTTCCAGTGTACCACAATCTATTAGACCCCCCAGTAGCAACAACTCCCCACCCACTCCAATGACAAAGGTAACAAGAACAAACACAGAAAATAATAAAGACCATAATTTTCCACAGCATCGTATGCATCAGAGTGCACTGCTTAACACTTTGCAGTCACACAGCCAGCGGTACAAAATACCCCATGTGGTGACCCAGCCAGGAGAGTGACTGCAACGGACTTCTCGCGTCTGGTGCACAACTGCGCCACGTGACCGGAACGGATCATTTTCACTGTTGCATTATTGCGTAAAGTGACCGCAAAGTGTTAAAGGAAGCTGGACTGACTACAGCGATTACTTCTATATTACTGTCTCATCATTAATACAGATTTACTTTCAGTTGTGTTATAAAGTTCATCACATTGCATTTCTTTAGCATATTTCAAGATTGATTATAGTAGCGTTAATTCTGAAGGAAATGAGAATTATCTTTCGAAAGTAATACTCATTGACTTATTTATCAGGCTTTGGAAACTATCAGCTGCTGTTTCAGCATTTTTTTATGCATGTGCATCACATTATCAGGCTTTGGAAACTATCAGCTCCTGTTTCAGCATTTATGTAGAAACTATCAGCTGCTGTTTCAGCATTTATGTGGAAACTATCAGCTGCTGTTTCAGCATTTATGTGGAAACTATCAGCTGCTGTTTCAGCATTTTTTTATGCATGTGCTGGTGGAGACGGGATACGAGTGACAAAGACGCAATTAGAGTTTCATTTCTGTCACTTATTCATTTTTTTAAAAGTTCTATTGCTTTTCTTGCATTTGCTGAAGCTACATAATGATAGGACAATAACCCTGTCAACATTACTAATCACTAGCTTGATACTAAAAGACAAAAGTATAATGGTCAAAAACAAGAGACGATGATACAGAAAAGCAGAAGCAGAACAGAAGAACTGGTTTGAAAAATAGAATAACCCCCCCCCCCAAGTTTTGTTTCAGTAAGAGTTTTACGGCACTTGCAACAGAAAACACAATAAGGTCGTATAAGAGTCGAAGATTAGAGGTGTTACAAGAGAGTAACAAACACCAAAAAACAAAACAAAAAAGACTTAATATGAGAGTAGCACACAAGAAAGGATCAAAGCAGCTTGCAAGAGCAGAAAAAAAGGACAGAATTAAGACAAAAGACATCAGAAAGCTGATGACCCTTACAGTTAGAGAGAGACGTTTCCAAACATGCACAACACAACAACAAACAACACATAATATATATATATATATATAGCTGTTGCTCAGCACGGTGCAGAGGTCCTTTTTGAACAAAGGTTAATTTTTCTTGCTTAATTAAGCTTAGTTTTAGCAAGAGTTTTACAGCACTTTCAACACAATAAGGTCATATAAGTGGTGAAGATTAGAGGTGTCACAAGAAGGTAACAAACATTAAAAAAGAAGGGGGAGAGATCAGGACGATAGATGTTTGATAGGAAAGAAGGAGCAAACCACACCAGAGCACCCGCCAACCACCCACGCTAAATTAAGCGTAAGGAAATGAAGCACTGAACATTCATTTAAAAGCTGTCCCCATTAACTAACATTACTTGTCCAGTCTTTAGGAACTTGTGTTCACAAACCACTCCCCTGCCCACAACTGTTATGTAAATATTCAGATAAGCAATTGGGGGATACACCAATAAAGACAGAATCCACAGCAGTATTCAATTTAAAAAATGGTAGGCAATCCAAAGCCTGCTAGCAAGTCAGAAATTGACTACAATATCATACAGAGCCAGTTTTTTTTCATAGGTCCTGGAAGGATGCCCCCAAATATATGTGTCAAGATTCACGACGCGGCGGAATCAGGCGTTTGTCAGATTTAGGCATATAGAGTTATTGGTATCATCTTTGCCTTGCTTCCAAAGAAATAAATAACCCTTCTACCTTGAATAGAACTCAAGATATTTGCAATTGAAGGAAGTGAGGTTGCCTGGTTTCAGTGGTGAATCTAGCGAGAAAACGGCCGCCTAAGTTGATAAATCCAATAGCTAAAGAGTCTTTGAAAACAGAAAAATTACATATTTTCGGCTTTTAATCAATGTTTTACAGTTAAATTCACATGGAAATGTGTTTTTATACGGACACAAAAGAGGTTGAGCCAAAAAATAAAAATTCGATAGAAATTTCCAAATTGGCGGACAAATGCCTGTTTCTCCGATTTCTGTATTTTGATGAACGCCTGATTGCACCACGCTGTCCCATATATATAAATAAATAAATGAATAAGTAAATAAAGAAAGAAATAATTTTTTTCTAAACTAGCATGGAAGAGGTGAACAAGAAGCCTGTAATATCATGACGTACAATCAAACCGTACAAGCTTGTTTTGAAACATTTGAGTTTGGTTTTTGTTTGCTAAACGGCGAACACAACAGCAACATTTCTTTTTAAAAAGGAAGTAAAACACAGCAAAGTGTGAAGTGAGAGTAGAAACCTCCACCACATAAATTAATATGAATGAGCTGTTGTATTTTAGAATGTTAAATGAATAGACATAAAGATCTTGAACATCTATAGCTCTCACTGGCAAAATTGAAGGCAAACGAGGCAAGGATAAGCCCACACCACAGCAACCTACTTAGGGAACCTAAACAAATGGGTAACGGGGAAAAATCAGGGAAACGTAGCTTTTTTTAGAGTATCCTAGCAAAGGAATGAATAGAGAACCATGATCGCCGATGTCTGTCGCAGATCTGGCACTGGATGAATGAAATGATATTACATTCGAGTGCAGTTCCTCTTAGTGCTTGCTTGAGCTCTTGACTTTCAGAGCCCCCCATCCACTTCAGGTGAAATTCTCAGAGTGAAGAGTGAAATGAGTAACACTGAAATACTCTCTATCCATACCCCGCTCCACCCCACAACAGATCTGACCTAAATGAAAACTCGGTACAAAAGCTGCAAAGGCATTAGACTAGCCAAAAAGAAAGTGCTAAAACATCAGAAAAGAACAAATCTTTTCAGTTTTCAAACACATTTGAAAAAAAAAAAAAGAAGCCAACACTAAAAATAGGCTCTTAATAACCACAAACGGAATTTTGTTAGGTGAAAGGGTAAAAAAGAAAAGCACAATTGAGCCGTTTTTGTAAGGCGCACACAGCAGCATAGACAGACATATAAATCTTCTCCATGAGGGCATTAACTTGTAATGAAAGTCAGAAATTCTAGCAGGGCACTGACAAATCTTTGTTTTAGATTTACTCATAGAAAAAATATTAAAATAGTTTTCAGCAGCTTGGAAAAGAACAAACTATCAAATAAAAGGATATGACCAACCCTCTTCTTGATAAACAGAATTTACTTCTTAAATATCTATCGTTTACATGAACACACACTTCTGCACAAATGTAGCTGCAAGCGCCGAAATTTTTTTACCAAACTAAAAAAAAAAAAGCAAAAAAAAACAACTTCTGCAGATCTTGGAAAGACTAATTTCCTGATATACTCAGATTCCTGGATCTATTTTATTGCCATGACTCAGGCTTATAATTAACTTAAAGAAAAGGAAAACTAGCAAATTACCACAGGTTTATAATAAAGAATGGGTACTTATGCAACACAAGTTTAAGAAAAGGGATAAAAATGGGGAAAATATTCACTAAGAGTTCACTTTCAAACTAAAAATATTTGATTACTACTAATAAGAGTTGTGAAGAAAAATGTGGTGAGTGAGGGAAATATAGAGCTCTGTGAATCGGGAAATCAAACTGAACACAGTAAGCGACACAAAGACAGCGGCACACACCATAACTGAAGTCAGAGGTGCCAACTGGATAACAACGGGGAAAAACGGAACTTTTCAGATCCCCGTGGAAGTGTGCGCGTCGGGACACAAAATCAAGAGAAGATCATATTGCCTAGTCCATATTGTATCTAGACTATTTTTATACAAAGTGCAGCAGTATGACATGCACACAGAGATTCAAATATAGATTTATAAATGTATATATGCAGTAGTGCATTGCAAAATTCGGACGATTTCAGAAATCTAGATTTCCGGATGTGTACTTGGAAAATCGGCACCTCTGATACGTTAAAAAACACACATAAATATTTCCTTTCATAAAGCGCAGAACAGTAACTGCATGCAACAATACGCACACAACAAGATGAGTGAATCATCACTTCTTTTCTTTTCTCAAATGACACGTTAGTTATAGCTTTGACACTTTCAGATAGAAATCATACGGATCTCTTGGTCCCCTCTTTTCTTTGAAAATCAAACTACTAAAACTTTTCCCACAGTATCACAACAGAAGAGTCATAGTCTTGTTAAAAACTCATACCTTTCCTCAACAACAATCGTTATCGGTGGAAATTAATAAATTCACCCTTCTTATGTGAGAGGTGTAGCTCTCATGAAACTGAAGAAGAATTTCACTTTTATTTCCTATTGCCCAAACTTTGTCCATCAAAGGAAATTGCTAAATCCTCTTAGCCTGACTCGGCCTAGTGACAGAAATATGAAATGTTTCACTCATGATAAGAGATAGGTGCACAACCCATATTTAAACTTTATTTTAATTAACAAATGAATGTTTTATATGACGTGGCGAGGGCCAATGACCTTAAACACTGAATAAACTTACATACCTAAACTTTGTTAGCAATCTCTAGCAACTTTCAATTATAATATCTTCACTCATTACATAATATGTAGTGCTGACTTAGCAGTGGTAAGTGCAACAGTACAAAAGAAAAATAAGGAATGAGTAACGATTCAGATCAAGACTGAGGGAGATTAAAATTATTAGTTATAATATACTCATCAACGCCCCCCACCCCTCCTGTTATTCTAAAACTCTTGCTGATTCCTTGCTTTTTATAGGAAAAAAATAACACGATACAAAAAATTAGAAAAAGAAAATATGTGCATAAAGCAAGGACAAAATATCAAATAATTAATAAATCTTTTAACATTACTCAAATAAAGTGTAGAATAAAAAAAAGAAAAAAAAGTTTTAAACGGTTACTCAATTCTGCCTTCTCTAAAATACCCCCCCCCCCCCCCCCATAGCATTCTCATCAACTTATAATTATAGCCCCCCATTTCCATAAAAGCACTTGGTTCCTGCAAATTCAGAGCTAGCATTTGCAGTTTTTGAAAGCCAAACAGACACATATATGTATATACAATGAGGACCTTTAAGATGTCGCAGGAAGCCACAATGCCCATCAAACTGACATGTACAACCTACACAACTCCGTGAGTTTTCGGCCTGTTCGCCGGCTGGGGGCAGTGCCGGCCAGCGTCATTTACAAAGGTCATCCACGCTGGCTCAGAACAGGTGCACGGACGAGTAATGGAAACAACACGGAGAATGGAACTCACCCGCTCCCCTTCTATAGTGGCCTCCTCCTCTTCATCGTCTTCATCCTCATTATCATTTTCCAAATCTTCCATAAACTCATCCTATGCAGCCGAGAAAACAGGCATAAAAACAGCTCAAGGAAATGTCGCAAAAGAAACGATGCCTGTTTGGGTAAGAGTACTCTAACACAAATAAAAACTTGCACCTTCCTTGTATCAACTTAATAAAAAAAAATAATCCCTCTGAAATTCCCAGAATAAATGTCTGCTGGTGCTATGGCAGTATACACAAACAACCATAACATTCTTTTACGCTGTGTAAAAGAGACTTAAAGTGTCGAGGAAAACTGTTCCCTTCAGGTTTGAACAAGCAGATCTCAAATTTACCAAAGGAGGACATAGTATTGTCTATACAGATTGCATGAAGAAAAATATTCCATAAATAATCACTAAACCTTCAAAATGTTTTCACTGTACACTAACACTTAAAGTACAATTCAGTCATTAAAAAAAAAACAATAAATGAAATCTTAAGCCATTTCTATACAGAAGGCATTCGATCAACTGGTTCTAGAGTGCCTGACCACACAAACCACAAATAAACCCATCTTTTTTTCAGAGTGCTAATTCTTGAGATTGAATCCTGCCCTAATCTGCAAGTCGTTTAAAATGATATTAAGCCTCTGAAGCATGAAAAGGACACCTATTCTCAAATGAAAGTACTCCTATTAAAAGTGAATTTCACTACAACAACAGAAGTCTATATAAAAACTTCAGTGCAGTCTCCTAGGAAACATTACACACAGTTATTAGAGGTAAAAACAAAGGTTTAGAGGGACAGATAAAACTGCACGGACCTGTACACATAAACAGATGAGCACAAGGTTATAGACACGAGGATTGATTAAATGATTGAAAGACACGTACAAAATGAACAAAAACCAAACAGTAGCAATGCAACACATGGCTGCTATAACTTCAGTTTTAGCAGTGAAAGTTGCCTCCTTATAAGAAAACGGGCCATGTAACTGTTACAACTTACAGAGGTTGCCTGGTAGAAGACCAGCCCAATTCCTATTAATAAATTACCCAGAGACATATTTTTATTTTATTTAGTAGATGTTTTACTGCGCTCGCAAATGCATAAGGTCATATGAGCGCCAAGGGGTGGATGTCAACAGAGAACTCTTTACAGGGATTCGGGCTTACTCTGCTCACCCCCAGAGATATATGTAATATACTTCAAATTGAAACCCGCAAAAAAAAAAAAAAACAATTTCCCTCTACCCATATATACAACCTGTTTAATCAATTCCGAGCTCAAGCAAAAAATTTTATCAACTTTTCTGTGGGTTTCAAGAAATGAAATGTCGCTATACAATACGAGACATTCCAAACAACTGGTGAAAAACGAGCTGCAGGCAAATGACAGCGCATCTATTTTCTGTTAAGGAATGAACGGTCTGTTTTCAAATTTCAGAAAACCCCTCGAGTTTTACTCATCCATATTATGTCAACACAAGTTCCAGTTTAATTCTGTTTTAAAGACTGGTTGGTTCTCCGGTCAGCTATAAATAATATCTCAAAACAGCTAAATCAACTGCGAGAAAGGAATTCCCAACCCCACAGGCAGCATCACCACATATTGCCGCACTCATTCCCAGGGATGTAAACAGGTTTTGAAAAAAAAAAAGCCGGAAAATAAACAGCGGGCGCGCATTGACTGACATAAGAATACAGCATTACAACAAATAATCTCTATTTAGTATATATAATACGTATTGTTTATAGTAGACTTTTGTCAAAAGCTGGGGCCCAAATGGCAAGTCGGCCGGAAAAAAAAGCCGGAAAAAGCCGGAAGATTTACATCCCTGCATTCCATCACATCCCCCTCTGTGAGAAACCAAAGCTGCCTGGCCAGTGCAGAAATAATAGAATGTGTTGCAGTAGCCACTGCGTAGTGAAAAACGAGTAATGATAGACTGAACTCAAGTAAGAATAAGACTAAATTAACTCGACTAAAGTAGAGAGTACGTATTACACAACCCGACGCAACAACACTCGAGAAATGCGATGAGAAAACAGAGAAACTAGTGGCAGGTGGAATTATTACCGCAAGATCAGCATCAAGCTCCCTCAGCTTATCAACCATCGCTTGGTGCAGAGAGACAGCATCCTACAATACGAAAAAACAAAAACAAAAAACATATGAAATTTTTTTAAATTTTTATAGTAAGAGGTTTATGGCAGTTGCAACACAATAAGGTCATATAAGTGCCGAAGCCTAGAATTGTTACAAGAGAGTAACAAATATAAAAAAGAAGGAGGAGAGATAAAGACGATAGTTGTTCGATAGGAAAGAAGGAGAAAAACCACACCAGGGCACCCACCAACCACCCACAATGAAATTTTTTTAATGAAAACCAAGGATAGCCATGCACAAAAATGACATATATAATATGTCCATCTCAGTGCCCATCTATAGATCAAAATGCAACAAAATCATATCTATAATAAGGCTTTCCCCCCATTACTCTCCGTGTATCATAGCTATAAAAAGTTATCAAAGAAAATTATACCCTCTGCGCTAAACACATATATCATATACTATGTTATCCCATGTATGAAATACAAAACATTTCTCAAAACCTTTAAGCAGTTGCGTGAGTGAAAGGAAACAAGCTGAAATCAAACGAAGCAGAGTCGGCTAAATATTCATTCACAGGGTGACAAATAAACAAGTTACCTTGTGAGAGAGTGAGAGAGAGAGAGAGAGAGAGAGAGAGAGAGAGAGAGAGAGAGAGAGAGAGAGAGAGAGAGAGAGAGAGAGAGAGAGAGAGAGAGAGAGAGAGAACACGAACGTTAGTGATGCAGAGCGGTTTAAACATGTAATAATAATGTACTAATTATGTTCTCGTTTGTTGTGCGCATGGGTGAGTGCAGAATAGGGCCCTTGTAAAACCATTGTCACTACTGCATGCGACCAAGGCAAATAAAGACAAAGACAATCGGAAAAAAACCCACAAAAAAACAAGTTACCTTGTATAGTTGAGATTCGTCCTGGTTGTACTTCTTGGCATTTTCAAAGGTAAGATGGAAGTCTCGCGCCAGATCCATAAGTGTGTCGTACATGTTCATCTGAGGAGTGCGCAAACAGGGGCTCAGTCACTTTTAGTTTTAGTAAGAGTTTTACAGTACTTGCAACACAATAAGGTCACATAAGTGCCGAAGATTAGAGGTGTTACAAGAGTAACAAACAGAAATAAGAAGGAGGGGAGATAAAGACGATAGGTGTTTGATAGAAAAGAAGAAGCAAACCACACCAGAGCACCCGCCAACCACCCACTGTCACTTTTTAAAATATCAAGCATCGTGTTCAGGGACAACAATATGTGAGGCAGCGTGATGAAATCAGGCGCTCGTCAAAACAACGAAATTGGAAATCTGGCATTTTTCCGCCAGTTTGGAAATTGTTATCGTATTTTTATTTTTTGGCTCAACCCCTTTTACATCCATATATAAACAGATTGCCAGGTGAATTTACTGAACAACATCGATTAAAGGCACAAAATAGGTCATTTTTCAGTTTCCAAGGACTCTTTAGCTATCGGAGTTACCAACTTTGGTGGCCATTATCTCGCTAATTTCACCACTGAAACCAGGCGACATCACTTCCTTCAATTGCAAATATCATGACTTCTATTACAGATAATTGGATAGTTATTTCATTGGAAGCAAGGCAAATGAATCAGCTTTCAGATGATACCAATAACTCCACATGCCCAAAATTTGACGACCGCCTAATTTCACCACACTGCCTCACATATTTTTCTATTTCCTTCACATTGTGCGAGACTTTATTCAGGGGGGGGGGGGGGGGGGTTATAAGCCCAGGAATAGTCTCTCCTTTCAAGACAAATTTCTTTGAACAGAGCTTCGATTCCCGTCCAAAGATACAGAGAATTGTCTAACCTTTTTATTTTACACCCTTGTAAGATCTTGCACCTGACATTCTCTCATGGAAAAAATATTTTGGGAGCCCCTGCATGTATCTAGCTCATTTTAAAAACACCTCAGCAGCTGACAGTTAGGTCTTCTAATCAAATTCCTACATGTGGTTGAATGATGCGTCTGATGTGATATGTACATTTTGTCAGCTTTACTTCTCTTTTCGTGTTGAATTTTAATGAAAGTAATATATAATTTAGATTTTTTATGTATACCTGCATGTGTTTTTACGGTCCTGTACAGCCAAGAAAAATTTCCCTCTGGGATTAAAAGGTATTATCTTATCTTAAAACTAAGAAACTATGGCTGATGCTTAAGGTACCTTTGAAAAGACATAAATCGAGGAACTTCTGCATGTTTTCGTTGAAGTGTAGCATTCTTCCCGACACACAAGAATTTAGACAACTTTCTTAAGCTTGATAAAGCCACACCAGTACAACAAACACCAATACAAATAAAATATAAAGAAAAAAAAACATGACAATTTTCCAATTGTTAAAAATTTTCTGAACACAAAACTAGTTATATTATAGGATTTTCCTATTATCTTTAAAAAACAACATAGCAAAAACAATTACCTCAATCTTGTAACGTATTTTATGCAAAGACATTGGCTTCTTGATCTCTTTATAGTAATCTGGGTAAAATCTGAGGACAGAACAGAAATATGCTCAAATACAAAACAGTTTTTCTTCATACAGACACAAAAACACAAAACTCCACAATAATATTACATTATAGATTTTTAAAAAGAACAGTCATAACTGCCCTCATAATGTCAAAGAAAATGTATTTCTACTTTAGTTTGTTTTAGTAGAGGTTTTACAGAGCTCGCAACTGTATACGGTCATATGAGCCCAGAAGATTAGAGGTGTTACAGGAGAGTAACAAACATAAAAAAGAAGAAGGGGAGATAAGGACAATAGCTGTTTGATAGGAAAGAAGAAGCAAACCACACCAGAGCACCCACCAACCACCCACTTTGCCAAAGTGAACCACTCTGGTGATTGCTCTGCAAAACTAAACTAGCTTGTGAACTGAACATATCACAACAACCACTGGTATAACTAATTACATAATTTTTCAAACACAAAGGAAAAACATTAAAAGAAAAAAAAAAACAACATCATGACAATCAGAGAAAAACATTTCAGTAAACCAAAATTAACTTTAAAAAAGGACTTTTTTTTAACAGGTACAGATGTATTCCTGTTACACGAGATTTATTTGTCATTTTTTATGTGCATTTGTGGCGTCTGTAGTCTTGTGGTTAGGCTATCAGACTCATAATCCTGAGGTTGTGAGTTCGGGGTTCAAGCCACAGGCCTGACATTGTGTTTTTGGAAAAGGCCCTTCACACAAATTTTTCCTACTTAACCCAGGTGGGAATGGGTACCCGGATGTAGATCTTGTCAATATGTTAGCGTTTTAGCGCCTAAAAATGGCAGTTTGCACTGCATGCTTCCCAGGAAGTTAAGATCGTTTCAGAATGCCATCAGGTCTGCTGTGGTATTGGTATAGATAGTAAAACACATAGAGCTCGCTGTTAGGCAACGAATTTGCATAATACAAATGTTATCTATTATCATTATTATTATAATTACATCTATATTATCTAAACTAAGAATGAAATTATTTGAAACATGCCATCATATGTTAAAACACATGTAATATGGGAGTCAAACCAAAAATCTCTTGATTAACTTTGATCAAAAGACTTCAGTACATTTTCGTCTGATTTGAAACGCACTTTTTGCTTGGAAGCTTTTGGAAAGGCTCCGAAAGAGAGTCTCCATCATCCCCTGTGACATTCTTGACATGGTTGTAAAGGATCCACTGAGGGTCGTCCTCCACAAGGTCATTGCCTGTGCCCTCTGCCTCCGAGTCCATCTCGAACTGACTGGACGACGCGCCATCATCCTCGGACGACTGATACTTCAGCGCCGCGCAGACAGCAGACATTTTCTGGATTATGATTCTGTCCTTGGTTTTGCTGATCAAAAATAGAAGAGGTTCTCGTTGGTGATGGTAATTCAGCAGTTTCTATGTTTGTACCCATCGACTCAAGGGTCAGTTTTAGTAAGTGTTTTACGGCACTTGCAACACAATAAGGTCATATAAGTTTCGAAGATTAGAAGTGTTACAAGAGAGTAACAAACACAAAAAAGGAGGGGAGATGAGGACGACAGATGTTTGATTGGTATGAAGGAGCAAACCACACCAGAGCACCCGCCAACCACCCACTCAAGGGACAAAACTGTTTAACCTCGGTAAAACTCTTCAGAGTCTAAACTTAATATATTTTTATATTACACAAGAGATCATGAAATTCACAGACAATACATAAGTACTCGAAACAATTTGAAGTGGATTTTGCCGAAACAACTCCACCCATAGTAAGTAACTGAACTGAGTGAGGCAAAGAAATTCAAGGTTGTTGTAACACTTCAGCTGAGGTGAAAAATGGACTCAGTCCATGAACATAGCCAAAAATCACGTAGCTGGGGTTTGTCGTCTTCCTTTTAACCCTACCCGTACGTCGCGTTTTACTATCGTATCCATAAGACGTGGGGAAACTCTGTGCCCCCACTTTCCAAAGAGGAAATTTACTCGCTAATCCGATGAGTAGGCTTTGCATAGCAGTCTGTCAAAATTATTTTTTGAGAAAATCTGAAAGTTTCAAAGAGATCTCCCAGAGCTACATATTGATATTAATAACCATACCATTCGTTCAAAAAGAAGTCTTAAAAATCTAGGGGTTCAGTTGGATTATGATATGTCTATGTCCTCCCAAATTAGCCAGCTCAGCAAAAGTATTTACTTTCAGCTTAAGAAAATTGGCAGTGTAAGAAATTATTTAACTAAAGCAGCAGCCAAGACACTTGTAACAACACTCATTTTATCAAAGTTAGATTACTGTAAAGCTATTTTGTCCGGTTCGACATCCGAAAAACTATCAAAGTTACAAGTACTCCAAAATCAAGTAGCAAAATTGATAATGAAACAAAAGAAATCAGCGCACGTAACACCAATTCTGAAAGAACTACACTGGCTGCCAATAAAAGAAAGGACCAAATACAAAACTGCCGTTCTCTGTTTTAAATGTATAAATGATAGTGCACCTTTTTATCTTAAAACATTCCTGGAAATATATCATCCACATAGAGCCCTTAGATCAGCCTCTGATAATCTAATTCTTAAAACTCCAAAACAAAATTATAAAACATACGACGAGCGTTCCTTTTTGTTCTTTGGTCCCCAGGTATGGAACGAACTCCCATATAAAATAAGATCTGCTCCAACAATTTCCATTTTCAAAAATCAGCTGAAGCATTTTTTATTCACAAAAGCATACCTGTCATAATGATGTACTGTGATATATATGCATGTGTATGCCAGACTGTGAGACTGAAGAAATAGCATGAGAGAATGAGAGAGAGAGAAAAAAAGAGAGAGAGATAGAGAGAAAAAAGAGAGAGAGAGAGAGATAGAGAGAGAGGGGGGGAGAGAGAGAGAGAGAGAGAGAGAGAGAGAGAGAGAGAGAGAGAGAGAGAGAACGGAAATGTGTTTCTATCTGTATAGAATTAATGTTTTAATGAATGTTTCTAGTTACTCACATTTCAACTTTATTGTGACCATTCGTGAATTTTTATTGCATTGTATATTTTTAATTAACAAATTTTCAACCTCACTGCGAGCCTGTTTTTCTCATATAAAATTTTACACATATGCATTTATATTACATGTATAATACTTTTTTTTACGTACACACTTGTCGATTAATTTTAAAGATGTGATGTCTTTTTCGTTGTAATGCGCATTGAGCATCTTTTAGGAAATGGAAATGCGCAAAATGCTATTTATTATTATTATTACTAGGAGTATTCTAGAATGTGAAGAATACAACCCCTGGCGTAGAAAATGACCCCAGGCGTACGGATAGGGTTAAAGAAACCAGGCCTGGTAAACTAAAGTACATCGGTGCCTTCTAGGGGTACTTGTCAGCACACAAAATTAAAATAATAACACAGATTTAAATACACTTACTTACTTTTCCGATCCAGCTGCCATCTGGGTTCTAGCCCTGCGGCCTAATCTAAATACACAAAAACTACAACGCAATTCTCACCTTAGTCTCCCACTACTTTTCACATGGCCAGATTTCTTATATTCCAGTTCCCTCTTGCGCTCACCAATGACTCTTTTCAATGTGACAGCATCCTAAAATCAAACAGACATGAGAATATGAAATGTAACTGCTTTTTTCATTCAAGCATCTAGTTACAACAACAAAAAAAAACAAAAAAAACTTATCAAGCTCAGAAATAAAAATAAGACTAAGCCTATAAAGACAGCTAGTTAGCAGCTGAATGATAGTAAGTAGCATTTGTATAGCACATATCCTCCCTCGACAGCAAGCTCTATGCGCTTTACACACTATATTATTATTAATACCCCTGCAGACCATAGAACACTCAGAAACATTCTCAGCTTCACGGGAAGCACACAGTGCAAGCATGCTTCTTAGTGTAACACTTAAGAAACAGCAAACTTCAGAAAAAATAAATCATTACTTCCTTTCATGAGCAGAACTTGACACAGCACGCCCATTCCCTTGAATTCATCATTAAAAATCAGAGTACCTTTGATCACATCACAAACTCTCGCGCTATGTCCGTCACTTGTATTTTGGTAAACAGATTGCTACCCCAGTGCTCTCTTGTCATATCTCCATTTTTAATGACAGTGAAAACACTTCATAACAAAGAGTGAGCTGAAGAAGATGTCACATTTTCACTGTTTAAAAAAATGGAGATACGACAAGAAAGCACTGAGGCCGCGAAATAACAATTTCAAAACTCTCCAACAGGAATAAAAAATGTTCCCATCAGTAAGTATTTTCCATGATGTTCTAACACAGCATCATAAACATCAACATCACACCCAAAATCTTCGCATATTCTTTTAAGAGATTTGTTTTATTTTTACGTAGGCATACATGTTTGCTGCTCTTTCAAGTACCAATAGATTACTGCTACTTGGTTGTGAACTTACCCTGTAGATCAGAGACTTGGGTTCATTGAAAGCTTTAGCATTCTTGACCATAAGCAGCAGATCCCTTTCCAAATCATCCAAACTGGTGTACTTCGATTCCTGGATCTTCGTGGCGATCATCTTCAGATCAATGGGATTCTTAATCACATCATAGTACTGGGGATATTTCTGCGCACAGAATGGATAGGCCATTAGGAAAAACATAGGCAAGAATGTTTGGCTTACTTTGTAAATAAGGAAAAAAATGTTTAAATGTCCTGTCAAATAGGATGTTATAGAAGCATAGCTGGGAAATCTTCAAAAGGCAATGACTCATTTCCCTTAAAACTGATGTTAAACAATTTGCATCCTCTTCATGAATCAAACAACAGATGCATATTACAAGGTTTCATCAGTCATGACAAAAATAAACAAAACTAGGAAGTTAAGTTTCCAAGGCGATGAATTGCAAAAAAACATTCTACAATTTACCATTTACTCAGTTTTAGAGACGCTAAAATAAAGTGTGACATTACACCCAATGACAAGAAAGACAAACAAAGCGGATATAAAGTCGATCACTTCTGCTTCTTACTTTATACACATCAATTAAATATGACACGTTGCTTCTCGCTTTTAAGAAAGATTACGAAATATACTATTTATTATATCACCATTTATTTTCCCTCAAAATTACATAATATAAATATATAAATACAAGATCTCTTTCCTGCTTTAATTAGCAAACTTTAGAATTGTAAGAATGCCTCATCTTGAAATCCTCAAGACTCTATGAGAAAACTAGGAACAAAGAAACATGGAAACCTACTTTACTAAGCAATAGAACAGTTATATTTAAAAATGCTCTGCATGGTCACAAAACTTACCGATTTCTGAGGTAACAGCTGGAAAGCCTGACTGATGTCTCTATCTCCATCTCTCGTGGTCACAATCGCCGCAAACAACTGCTCCAAATCCTCAGCAATTTCTTCAGAAACACTGGCGCTTCTCTCACGCCCTTCAGACGGCTGTTTTGAGGCATCGCTTTGATTGCCATCTTCTTCTTCTTCTTCCTCGTCTTCACTCTGGGGAACACAACAGAAAGATAAAACTTTCCTTTAAAGTGGCTTTTCTTCTGTTGATATCAACCAGTTCCAGAGCAAAAGTGGGGAAATTATAAACAAACTTTTAAAAAGTGCACTGCAGTCATACTCTCCACCTCCATCACCTGTATCATGAGTTCACCAGCCAAACTTTACAAGTCAATATTGAAACATTTACATATTATGACCTGAAAGGAAAACAATTGCCATAGAGGTTGAAAATAGATCACAATAGCCTGGCACCCAAAATTTGCAAACCCTTACAACAGAATCCAGAAAAACCCATAGCATATTTCAGCAATAAAAAAAAAGAATTCATTTTGAGGAACAGAGCACCTCACAGGAAAAACTAGAAGCCAGTGAATCCAGCATCAGGGTCAATTATCAATACTCCGATGGCTCATTTAACATCAATCCAGAATCACAACAACTGCTGAAACACTTGGCATCAACTGACATCTGAGCCTTTTTTTATCAAACAACCAAGGAGAAACTTTGCATTAAAAGGAAACTGCTCCCAACTCAAAAGACGCACTAATTTCCCTCAGTAGAAGAGAGCAAGTCACTATCTTTCGCCTGGGAACACAACATATCCCACTGGATTCCTACCTAAATAGGATCCGCTAGGATACCCTACCTGACTGCCAGGATGAAACAGTATCACACCACCTCTTTACCTGCCCTGCACTTAGCCACCTGCATATATGCACCTACTTACCTACCTCCCCAGATATCGGAAATACTTTATACAGCGACAAAACACAGCTGATAAAAACTTGTATATTCTTTGTCATATTGACAGCTCGAACGGCTAGAACGCAGATGGCCGCTGGATCAGAAAAGTAAAGTAAAAGGAAACTGAAGGAGCAAACCTCATCATCATCCTTCTCTTCAGGCTCTGGCAGATCCACAGTATCCTTGACGACAGGAGTCTTTCTGCTTAAGCGATCACTTCTGTCCCCACTACCAAACACAGCTTCTACCAAATCAGCTCTCGTCTCCTCATAAAGTTCCATCAAATCACAAGCATCTTTGTATTCCTGGGATGTTTTCTGGGGGATGCATTGAATAAAGAAAGAATAACTCATAAGGAAAAAGTCAATAAAGGGTACAAATCGTAAAAGAGAAAAAAAAATTAAATTACAAGGGAAACTGACAAATAAGACATCTTATCAGTAGTCAAGAAACACACGCTGAAACCTCTAAAAGTAAGACTATTTATTACCATCATGTGGAATAGAACTATTATGAAGTTAATTTTCTGATAGTTGCTTTGGTGTGTTAATTACATTGTATGACAGATTTTTAAGCTTTGAATAACAGTGAACAGTTTTTGTTTTTCAACCTCCATCTTGCTAAAAGCATCATACCGCTAAACTCCCCTTCCTCACCCCTTTCTAAAGAGCTGAGACTATACAGCCTTCTCAATACCTTTTTTTTTTCATCCTCTATTGCCATTCAGCGTCAAGGGGAAGCCTTCTCAATACAGTAGGAAAATTTAACTCTCTAATGATGAAAGCAAATTTTACAGGCCTGTATTGCAAGCGACAAGACCTGAGATCATAATTCATATGGGCCTTTTCCGATCTCACACAAAGTATGAATTTTAAGTGAGTTAGTCTTCATCATTATGGATTATCTCTGATCTTGACACAAACCCTGTTCACAGAATCAAGGAAAAGTTTGTTAATGACTTCAAGGCAGCACAATCTGCCAGAAAGCGTATCAGAACTTTGAAAACAGGATCAATAACAATGTGCCAGTTAGCACCTCCACTCTGTATGGAAATAAACCAAGAAGATATTATAATCTAAGTAAGTTTTCAGGAGAATAAAATAAAGGCTGAAGACAAAGTGCACCACAGTACAATATTACCTTGTAGTACGCTTTTGCATTGTTCACCATCAGCAAAACATCTGCGCTGAGTTGATCCACATAGTCATAATTGTCTGTTTTCACCCTTTGCTGAATTTTCAGCAAATCAATGGGGGTGGTAACAACGTCATAATAATCTGCAGCGGATCGTCTTTTCGGAACCCTGATAAAGGATTCACACAGAAGTCTTCCATCCTCTGTCTTGTGGTTACGAACTGTGTCATAGAGCTCCAGAATTATTTCATGCTGTGAATGGGGAAAAACAAATTTTTTTTTAATACGTCATTCAACATAAATAATCAAACAAAAGCATCTGCTGCATTCAGCTTTTCCTTGTCTTACAAAAGCCACTGCAACTCTTGGGCATATGCTCTAATACCTTCCAAAGCAAAGTGAAAGGCTCAAACTTATAAAAATCTTCAGTAGACATACACTCTTTCTTCTATGAAAACAAAAATACCCCAAAAAATCATGGAAAGCACAAATATTACTTACAGGATCATAGTTCAAGATCTTTCGCTTTTTTTTCACTTGTGAGGGCCCAGGAATTTCCTCCCCTTCTTCTTTCATATCAGGTCTGGGCCTTTTCCTCGGCATGGTCAAAGTAGATGTAATCTGGAAAAAAATTTGAGTCAGTTTTTCAAAATAATGTCAATGAGTAATTGGTTTTATTATAACAATATTATATTATCATATATGACAATTGATAATTAACCCATGACTGTCCATCTCAATTATAACTAACCATGATCTATCTTTGACTAACAAAATTTTGGTTTTATTTTACTCTCACGGTTTACTACTGGCCATGATATACACCCACTTTTAATTCAAGAGCCCCTCTTCCTCCCCTCTGAAAATATGACAAATTTGAATTTGCTGTAAATTTTACACCAAGTCAATTTAATTGCATCATATTGTTGTCACAGGAGAGGAATCACAATGACAACGGCAAAAAACACGATGAAGACGACATTATTAGCAGTTTGTTTATACATCTAACTTTACACAAATCAGCATCTGGTTAAAATTTCATTTTTGTGTGGCTTACAAAGGGTAGTCCAAGGTGACTGGGCAAGTCTTTGACTGATTTTGTGTTAATTTAGGGGGTTTTTTAAAACAAAAATAAGCACTTTTCTGCTACATCTACATGGATTGCTACTGATGTGTCTAAGTCCGGTAATACAACATCAAAATAAAGATCCATCTTTCTTCTTTCATAAAATAGTTTTATTTTTTATGTGAACTTGTAAGTTAGTATACACACTGTTCTTGGTAAACAATCGAGATGACACAGGCTTACACTTACAGTGTATTTGAACGAATCGGTCTTTTTTTTTTTTTACACTGCTCATAATATGAAGGTGCCAGCCAGGTGATCTGCTAATCTTCAATTTTACCTTTTTCTACAACAAAGAAAGTGGGAAATTTGGGGGGGGGGGGGGGGGGGGGGGCGTATCAATGAGGCGGCGGGCATCGGATTGGCAAATAAGGTGTGGGGGAAACTAAAAAATGGCGGAAAATTGGAAGCACTGAACGTTAGATCTATAGAACGAAGACACTTTCTTTTTTCCGGACCCGTGTCCGAATAACATTTTTTCACATTCGGACTCAAGTCGAATATTAATTTTTTAAATTCGGACTCAAGTCCGAATATGAAAAAATGTTATTCGGGGAAGGACTTCCGTAACGAGCGACCACCCCATCAAACACAATAAAGAAGAGGCCTAGACCTAACCCTACCCCTAACTTAGTCTAACCCTACCCCTACCCCTAACCCTACCCTTACCCCCTCCCCAAGCCCTCAATTCTGCTCTGTCTCAGAGCGGTCGCTCGTTACGAAAGTCCTCCCTTATTCGGACTCGAGTCCGAATAATGACGGCTTATAAAAGCGGGATTCCTGGGAGTGTATACAGACCCGGTAACCGGGAACGAAGTCACAAAGTATACAGACCCGGTAATGGAACTCTTTTATGATGTCGGAGAGTTTCAGCGCCCTCTTGGCTCAGAGTAGACCTAGGTTCTTCTAGATCTATGGTCTAGATCTAGATCTAGGCAGACAGACTTAAATCTTTGATCTAGTTTCGCGGCTAGCCTAGATCTAAATGAAGATTGCGGATGTCTTTTTGATGAACGATCGTTTTTCCTACGTTTTGGAGTTGGAGGAATCACAATTTGAAGAAAAGAACAAGCTACAATGTCATAATTTCAGTCGAGCAGTCCCCCACCCCCACCCCTCTCTCTCTCTCTCTCTCTCTCTCTCTCTCTCTCTCTCTCTCTCTCTCTCTCTCTCTCTCTCTCTCTCTCTCTCTCTCTCTCTCTCTCTCTGTGTATCGCTTGCCTTCTCGGTATTTTTTTACTTTCCCTCCCGTCTCACACTCAGCTACCAGTTATCTATTTTCTACTAAACACGAATATCAACTTCATTTCCGTCGCAATTTAATAGTTTTTGAAATATTTGATTGTTTTTAACCGAGATAGACATGCTTTGGACCAATCGGGGGGTTCCAGGGGGGCCTGCCCCACTGGCCCTCACTGGGGTGAAAGAAAATCTGGGGGGTTACAGGGGGGCATGCCCCCCCTGTTTATACCCATAATTTGATATTTTACAGTTAGATTTGAAATTGTCTTGAAAATAATTGATTTGCGATAGTTTTAGTGGCTTTATGTGTGATCTGCAGCAAACAGTACAGCAGTTTGACCCCTGAAACAGTGCATCTGTGTGCGGGAGTGAAAGTAAAAATTTACCGCCTTCTCTTTTTCTTTGTTTGTCTCTGTCTTCCTTTGTTCCCACCTATTTCCCACTCTATCTTTCTCTTGTTCCCTCCTGCCAACTGGGGCATGTCATATATACATTTTGCTAGCGGCCACCTCTATTCTCACCCGGAGTAAGAATAGTGCAGGCGAGTCTTGTGGCTATTCTCACCCGGTGCGCGTTCACCAAATTTTGCGTTCACCCTAAACCACAGAATTCTACACTGTGATAACAGAAAAATTGTAGAATTCTGTGCCGTGAACAAACGTTCCATTACAACTGTAGCCTACTAAAAGCGTACAATTTTGTCTGTGGGCAGTGGAGAGAGAGAGAGAAAGAGAGAGAGGAGTAGCGCGAGAATTTCCGGGCAAAACAAAATGGCGACCCGCGTAGTTCGGCTCGATTCGAAAAGTTAAATAGCCGTAGCATCTTTGTAGACAACCAAATTAATTTACTTTTGTGTTTTAACATCATTTTTTAACTTTGTTTTGGTCAATTTGATCGTCCACACCGATAGACAGTATTCAGAAAGAGACAGAGAGAGAGAGAAGAGGGGAGGAGTTGATCTTGCGAGAACTTCCGGCGGGTGAGAATAGCTTTGCTAGCACCCTCCTCTCTTTCTCTCTCTCTCTCACACACACACACACACACACACACACTCACACTAGATTTCTACCAGGTCTAGGGGCTGAAACTTCCCGAAATCACAAAAGAGTTCCCCTACCGGGTCTGTATACTTCGTGACTTTGTTCCCGGTTACCGGGTCTGTGTATACACTTCGTATAAAAGCAAGACTAACTCGAACGCTCTCAATTAAGAAAAGGGATCACATCATATTCAATGAGACTCATCAGCATGATCAGCCAGTCAGACACTTGGACCTGAGTGAGAAGGAGACTGTCTCTAAGAGTAAGACAAGACAGGCACTCACATTTCACAACCACAACATGATCTACAGAGGCAGAGGCCTTAGCCTTTGCCTCACAGTCACAGCCTAAGGCCTAAGGTGATCTAGGACTGACACACACAATGTTGAAAGCACTGAAAAGATGTGGAGTCCTTTCAAGGTAGCAAAGTTAAAATTGTACTTATTATTAATTCTGATGATAGTTATAAGTTATGGGAATGAGAAAGATTATTTATCTCGATGCAAAAAGGCACATATTTATAAATAATTGATGGTTATCTCCCTTACTGAAAAGAAAACAAAGAGACTGCCTACCTTCGCGTGTTCAAAGAATATGTTACCAGACTTTAAGCAGGCAGGTTACGATATAGTTTCAGTTATATAAAAAGGCACTAAAAACTACCAGGTATGCTTGCACAAAGGTTGATCAAAGAACGTTTTCTCAAATGATAATTATTCACAGACAAGCGAAGCGTCGGTAAAGAACGGTCGAAAAAGCCGCCATCTTAGTATCATTTCACTCACGCTGAGTGAAGAAAAATACGTTTTTCGTAATGGTTTTCGCCGTTTAATTTAAATGCCTTTTCTACAAATTATTACAAAATGCATCATTTTATTCACTTCAAAATATCCAGTATTCTACATAATGTAATAAAAGAACATACGAAAATAGATTTACTATATTCTTGGACTTATTTATGGGTTTGTTTCCGCCCAAATCACTTTCGCTTTCGTTATCCCGGTAGTCAACTTTTTGTAGGCTTGGACTTACAGGCTTCAGACCTTTACATGACTTCTTCCAGTACTGTGATGATGTGACTGGCACTTTATCCGCCGTCATGGATAAGGAAATTTATGATTTGTCTGGAGGTGTTGAAAATCAAGTTGTGCTGTTATGTAGGATCTCTAACAAACGCAGCTCTTCACACGAGTCAGTCAACAAACTCAGTTTCAATTGTTGGGATTTTGAGGTACTGATGGCTGATGGTCCGACAGCAGTAAATCAAATGAGCCTATTTAAGTTTAAGAAACGGAAGCGCCTCTCTAACAAGCGACTATCGCAACAAACACAATGTAGAAGGGACTTAATCCTAATGACTCTTCTACCACTACCCTACCCCAATCCCTAATCCTAACCCTCCACTCTGTTTCATGGTGACTATCATAGTGGTACTGTACTGTAGTGGTTTGATACCGAATTACTGAATTCCTCCCAAAGAAACCGAGAAAGGAATTTGTAGATCTACTGTGTTTAGATTTTGACTTTTTATTTTATTTTTTTTCTCGTTGGTTGGGGGGGGGGGGAGGGGATTATTTTTACTTTCACTTTCCCTCTCGTCTCATGCCGAAGTATTTGTTATAGGCTAAAAGCACTTTTCGTGTATTCATTTTTCTATCCCGCCTCACCTACTAGATCTACCTACAGTAAAACTTTTGTCAACATCCCATATTGACCACAGGAGTACTAGAATATCGATAATAACTTAAAGTATTATGGTTTAAAGTTGGGTTAGGTACAATAATAATAGGGGAAGGATAGGGTTATATCCCAAACTTTTGATCTGTTCCAAATCATTGGCCTTTCACAGGCAAAGTTTGTTGTACCACCAGCCCCACTTTAAATCACCACCAGGTTTCACCTTGTTGCATGAAAAGGACTCCTACTTAAACATATGAGCTAGATTACCATGATTAGACCAGAAATACAACACAAGAAATGTTGTTTCAGTCTGTCCAAGAATATTTGATTTTTCGAAAATTTAATTAAAATATATATATGAAACATAGCGTGTATTTGGCTACACTGCTGACAAAAGAAGCTAATCGTTCGGTCAGTTTGTATAGTATGAGTAACATTCTTTAGGACCATAAGTGTAATTGTAGAAAGTGTTTGTACTTACTAACTTTTTACTTTACTCTTTCATCCTCTGTTGCCGTTAAGCGTTGAGGGGTGATGCAGTTTTCTATGGTAGGCCAGCTTCGCAGCTCTTTCAGTTGTGATGTTGTTTTCATAGGGTTTCCTTGACACCCTGGATCCACCTTTTGCGTGGCCTTCCTCTTCCTTTATAGCCTTAGTGCTTGGTGTTGTAGGCTCTCGAGGCTGGCTGTTCAGGTGACATGCGTAACAAGTGGCCAAACCATTTTATCCTCTGTCTTTCTATGTAACACAGGCAGGACTCAGTTCCGATAGCTGCTCTTACTTCTTCATTTCTCTACCTGTCTTGTCTTGTGATTGTAAGGGTTTTGCGGAGACATTTCATTTCGCATGAGGTGATTTTGCTTTCATGGGTTTTGCTTAAAGTCCAGGTCTGGCACTGATAACATAATGTTGGTATGAATATTGAGGTAATAAGCTGTCTCTTTGAGTCCATGGATATGTTTGGGTAAGATAGGAGGGGTGGGAGCTGGTAGGTGACAGCGTTGGCTTTTTGAGTTTGCATTTCTATTTCTCTTTCTATGGACCCGATTTCAGAAAAAGTGCTGCCAAGATGTTTAAACTCCTTCACCTGTTTCAGTTGTTTACTATTGACATGGATGGTCAGGGGACTATGGTTTCGGCTCTCTTTCATAACTTCTGTTTTTGATGTGCTTATTTTCATGTTGAATTTCTCACAGCTGTTGTTGAGTTCGGTAGTGTGATTTTGGAGGCTTTGTTGGTCATGATGAATAAGACATTGGTCATCTGCGAACAGAAATTCATTTAGGCTTTCTGGGCTTTGGTTTGTGTCTTACGTTATTGTGTCCATATTATAAACAGGAGGGGAGATAGAACGCATCCCTGTCGTACTCCAGATCTTATTTTGAACCAGTCTGTATTGCCTTCCTTCGTGTTTGTATCTATATAATAATATCCCTTTTGACTCTCCTTCCCCTACTCCCCCCCCCCAAAAAAAAAACAACCCACGCACAGATAAAACTAATATTCCAAACTTCTCATTATGAAATATCTAATGACAGCTTTTTGTGTATTTTAAGTTTACTGAAACAGTCCCCTTAATAAAATAATATATTTCTTATTTTTAAAACTTTCAGTATATCAAGACAAACATTCCTGGTGCTGGCTGTGAAGCTGATCTGTTCTCAGAGCAATATGCCGGATGCTCATGTGAGGGGACTTGCAGTTCTCATTCCTGCTCATGTTTACAACGTTTTGGCAGCCCCTATACCAAGAATGGAAAAATTTGCATGAACAAGCAGAATAGTGAACTTTCCAAACCTGTTCTGGAATGTGGCAACAGTTGCAAGTGTGGAACAGATTGTCCAAGTCGGGTGGTTCAGAAAGGAGTTACCAGAAGTTTCTGTGTCTTTCCAACTGGGCAAAAAGGTTTTGGGTTGAAACTGCCTGAAGGTTTGTGTGATAATAAAATACCAGCTTTCACTTTTGTTTGTGAATATGCCGGAGAAGTCATTGGACACCAAGAAGCAAAAAAGAGGGTGTTAGAGAATGAAAAGGGTAAAAAAGACAATTACATCATCGCTTTACGAGAACATGTTGGGGCACAAGAAAAATGCACTTATTTCGATCCAAGTAAACTTGGCAATGCAGGTCGGTTCATAAATCATTCCTGTGATCCTAATCTCATCATGGTTCCTGTAAGAGTAAATCACTCAGTTCCAAGACTGGCTTTATTTGCCCGCAGAGACATCATGGCAGGGGAAGAATTCACGTTTGACTACAGTGGGAAGTCTACCTTCTTCTCTACTTCTTTGAAGGAAGCTACACTGAGTAACAGTACGGGGACTCACATTGGTTTAACTTTAAACGAGCCGAATGTTGATTCCAGGACTGTTGATGAACCACCTGTGAAGAAATCAAAATTGTGTTCTCCTTCAAGCCTTGAACCCGAAGATGTTGAAGATGTTTACAACAACACAGAGGGGTCTGGTGTCGCAGCAGTAAGCCTTTCTGTACAAAAGCCTGGAGATCCTTCACCTTTGCTACACTGCAGTAGGACAGTGGAAGTTTCTGCTGTCCCTGGGTCGAGTTCAAATACCTGTTCTGAAGTGGACTCCCCCAAACAGGCAGATACTTTTGTTGACTCTGAAAACAGTGGTCATTTTAAGCTGTGCTTTTGTGGTAGTGAGAATTGTCAGAAATATTTGCCTTTTGATGAAAGACTTTTAAGTGATGAATATTAAAAATATCATAGTGAATATTTTTTTATTGGTTTTATGTAGATGTAGTTGTAAAACTTTACCTATAAAACCAACACATACAAGAAGACACATAAAATATGTTCTCACACACACACATGCACACATGGCATGCATTTGCAAGCTGTAGACTTTTATTGAGTACAGTTGGGCATGGATAATTCAAACTCAGATATGCCGGGGATTAACACATCCATAATTTGGGTAAATCAATCGTGTAAAGAAAAATAAAGAGACATTATCAGTCATGGAATGGCAAATTGTTCAAGCTATCTGTGATTTTGAGTTTTCATTGGGGGTTTTTTTGTGTGTGTGCTTGACTGTACTTTATCAAGTTTAGCACACACGCGCGCGCGCGCGCACACACACACACGTGCACGCGCACACACACACACACACACACACACACACCTATCTGGAATAGTACACAACTACATTGTACTTTGGTGATGAAGTCGTGAAGCCTGCTTGTGTGTGTGTTTATGTTTAAGTTTAAGTGTGTAATGTATGTTGTGCGTTTGAGTGTTTGTGTGCAAGCATAAAAAAGTATGCTTTTTAATTCCATTGTTCTCTGGGCCCCAATTAGGCCAATAAAAAAGCTGAGTGAGTGAAGCATCAATCGTCTCTTTATCATTAGGGCCTAGTATGCAAAAACAAGTCACCTCTAAATAAAAATATTTCTACACCTTCACTCAAAAGTAGAACGATAGTCATTGCAACCTCAATCGCAGTATACATCACCTGAGGTGTTTTCACATAAATCTGCTCTATTCTAAATGTTTCTCAAGGCATGCAAAGATACATGTACTTATTGATAGATTGGATGACTAATGACTGAACATATGATGTACCAGTACATGTATTTTACACTTAAATTGCTTGTGGGTTTGTTCTTTTGTGTGTGTAAGAGCATGCTTGTGTGTATGTGTGTGTGTGTGTGTGTGTGTGTGTGTGTGTGTGTGTGTGTGTGTGTGTGTGGACATACCTGGGGACCAAATCCACACAATGAAATTGAAAACAGGGTTCTTCATTCAGCTGTGAATGAAGCTCAGAGAACTTAAAACTGTTGCAGTTCCTTTCTCTTGAATTGCTTTTGTCAACCTTCTGACCATGTCGTGTGGTAAAATTAGATTCTTCTTTCCTATGAAACATCTAACGTCCTTTTCTTCCCTTCTTCTTCTTTATGTTTGTTACTCTCTTGTAACACCTGTTTAATCTTCTGGCGCTCATATGACCTTATGCAGTCGCGAGCGTCGTAAAAGCTCTACTAAAACTAAAACTAAAATTAGATTCTTCGTCTTGCATGCTAAAATCATGTACATGTACAGTCAAACTTTGTTATTTATACTGCTAACCTTGGGACGAGCGTGAAGTTGGCGGTATATCTGGGCTGACATTATAACGGGGTCTTATTTAACCCTTCCAGCCCTAAGCGGGTATTCATGCATTTTCAGCAGCGCCTGTACCTCCCACCGTCCCAAGAGATTATATTCTCAGTTTCAGAGGGTCCTGAATTTGAGCATTTTTCGAAATTAGCGAACCTAATTTATCTTTAATTTTCATATTTGTTCATTTACCTTTCAAAATTATTATATATGTTATTATCTAAACCTCATTACATAGTATCTATACTACATCACTTTTTAGAATGCATGCCTCTTTTTCTGAAATACTGCTGTATTGGCTGGGACTAGGGTTAGAGAGTGCACAAAACTGACTGGGGCAGGAAGGGCCTCCTTTTAGTATGCAACTGCCTAGAGTCTAGGGAAATGAGTCTGTCATAACACTAAGGACATTATTATAATGAGTTATATCCCTTAGTCCAAAAGCCTTGAAGAGATGGCCGTCACTCACTCTCAGACTTCCTGCGTGTGATAATCGCTAGATCACAGAGTCATGTGTGGGGAAAAGGAGAGATTATCACGGTGTACGGGTACTGTCGTAGTGTGTAGTCCTCCTACACCCAGTGTCCAGTTCACTGGATTTTTTTTATGTAGGTGTTTTTACACCCCATTGACACAAAGGAGGCTGTTTTCTAGAGCTGGGCGGCTAGGTTCCCGATTATTGAAAGCCAGGAACTCCGAACCCAATTACTTACTTTCTAAAGATGTGATTTCTTCTTGTGGTTACCTGGTTGCCTCCCAACATCTTCAGGATTTAGGATAACCTTGATTTCGGAACACTACGAAGCATCAACTTTTATTTTTCAAAAATAAATTCTATTTAAAAAAGAGAAGATTTTAATCATAAAGGTAACCATTGGTATACGTAAAAAGGAGTCGGAACTTTTCTTCCGCTGCATTAATCGTAAGAATAGGGTTCCGGAATCGATTATTCGCTCAGCTTTACTGTTTTCCGACCCTGTCTTCCACTTCAGGGCCAACCTGGGCTCAGAGGGATACATGCCTACAGAAAGACAGTGATACTCATTAAAAATTCACCCCACTTGGAAATTGAACTAAGGTACAGTGAGGCGCCTAAATGCTACACACGCATATATACACCACAGATGCCAGTTCGCTGGGTTGCGGGGCAAATTACACATAAGATTTCTTCTGTGATGGAAATAAAATTGCCCATGACACCTCAAGAGCCCTCTCTGACTGACAGAAGCTGATGGGGGGGTTTTTTGTTTTGTTTTGTTTTTTAACTGTAAGTCCACTTTTGAAAGAACAATATGAGTAAATTAAAATAACAATACAGTTGACTAAGTTTCATTATAAGTTTATGATTCCCTGATAGTGGCAAAAGTCCACGGTCAGCCCAACACATTCATTTGATTCATTGAAATCATTGCCAAGCAGTGGCTGTTTCTTCAGTGGCTATTTTAACTTTAACCTTGGGTTCAATGGTGTTGGTAGTTGTTGGTAGTTGAAGGGAACAAGACAGATTTTGTTTTAGTAAGAGTTTTACGGCACTTGCAACACAGTAAAGTCATACAAGTGCCGAAGATTAGAGGAGTTACAAGAGAGTAACAAACACAAAAAAGAAGGAGAGATAAGGATTATAGATGATAGGAAAGTAGGAGCAAACCACACCAGAGCACTCGCCAACAACCCACAACAAAACAGAAAACCTTTAGATCACCAAGAAAAACATTGAATTGAACAGTGTTAAATGAACACAAAACACAACTGCATGACAAGAGAAAAGGAAGGAAATTTTTTTCAAGTTGTAATTCTGCATAATATATGAAAAATAAATGAAAATAATGCATAAAAAAAGCTTTTGAGACTTCAAAAAGAAGAAAATAAATCAACATGTAACTGTCACCATGTTGTAGTACCCTCATGATTCCATCACAAAGTTTTCTTTAATTTAAGTGTCACAACGCAGTGGAATCAGGCGCTCGTCAATTTTGGGGCGTGAGGAGTATTGATATTATCTTAATTAAAACTTGTACATTTTTTTTCTTACGTACGATGAAAACAATACCCCTTTATCTTGAAAAGACGTATAATTTTTTTTTGCGTTTAAGGGGGGGTAGGGCTCGCCTGCTAGCAGAGGTAGTAGCCTATTAGCAAGAAAGTGGCCGCGTAAGTTTAGTTAAATTTCCTTAGCTTGACAGTCTATGGAAATTGAAAACGTGCATTTTTAGGGCCTTTAATCAACGTTTTTCAGTAAAATTCACACAGAAATGTTTTCTTTAAACTTTAATGGACATGAAAGGTGTTGAACTAAAAAAGAAAAATTCTAGAATCCCCAAATCAGCAGAAAAATGCCACTTTCTTCACTTTCCTTGTATTTGATGAGCACCTGATTTCACCAAGCTGCCTTATATATGGTCGCTTTTAAGGGGGTTTCCAAAAATCTTTACCAACACCAAAAGTGGGCATTGCGCTACCTATGGAGGAGTTTGGTTTCATTGGTGTGTAATTCGTTTGGTTATATAGAGAAAAATCTCCTTGTCTTTTTTTTATGAAACTGAACAAGGGGCAAAAACTTTACCTTCGATTTTCTCAAAACAATATTTTTCGGGATAGCCCACTTCTCCTTCAAAACGACCATATGTCAATACTGTAACTGTAATGAACACTGATGTGAGTAAGTCATTTTATAATAGGTAGACAAAATTAATGTTTATCGTGAGATTAAAAATACTTTAAGTGTTCACAGATCAAATCAAGGAGCAACTTATCAAGCACATAGATTAATAAAAGTACTGAAAGCCATTTAAACATCATATCGAAATTTGTTATGCATGGCAAACTTAACAGGAATACAATGTAGCGGTACATTCAACAAAGAAGGGACTAATTGGAAAATAACAAAGTGGTAGCCTACAAATGAGAGAGAGAAAATCCTGACAAATGCTGACACTGACATCTCTAATAATCTAATAAGGATCTAATCAAAGGCGTGTGTTTGGGGGGGGGGAGAGACTTATGTAAATATAGTGCCAGAAAGGACAAAAGCATAAAGAGGAGAAGATGGGGCTTAAAAGACATGAAATGCAAAAGAACATTATACAAAGCACCAAACGGTTTCAACAATTTGGCGTCTAAATCTTGGGAAGTCGGAGAAAGATGACAAATTATATGCCAATGATAATTAGTGTGGAAAGGAGAAAGACTCAAGGAGCTGCAACTTCATGCAGTCAACCTCAATGTTAAAAATTAAAGAAGGCTAATACCCTAAATAAACAGGTAGGTCTAGTATAGTAATATGACTATGAGGACAACCCAGCGTCATTCTGAAAATAGTTTAGCTTTAATACATCAAGGGGCACCATAATTATTAGATAAAGCACAAACAGAATCCAACAGTTTATTGCACAAAATAAAACGGGTATGTATCATCTTCATCTATCATGTACAAGTATGGCCCATTTGAAAGAAAAAGAGGGAATGTCATAATTAATAATGCCAACAGTTCGAAAAAAATAAAAAAGAACTCAAATTTAATTGACATAGTTTTGCAAATTCTCTTTGACAAAATTATTGTGCTTCATTACAAAAAGCAAATAAGCCAGCATTCACTCATACATATGAATATATGATATGTTATCATTTATTTTATTCAAGGCACTTTTTCAATAGAACTGAAGTCTGTACAAAGTAAGCCATCACCAACACAGCCAGCCATCATGATTGTCATTAGGAGGCTAGAACAGAATTATGTACGTTGAAGTAAGGTCTGGATCGATAGCAACAACGTACGTTGGAAGTAAGGTAGAACAATTGATTAGTCATGGTTTTTCATCATTTAAAGTAAAGTTGTTCCCACATCCGATCCGGACATTGGAGATTGCGTTATTGTGAGACAACTTCCTGGGCCTTCAGCATAGTGTGGTAGGGTGGCCAGTTCCTTTCCACACCGCCTTTACTTCCCCAACTCGAAGTCAGGTACCCATTATTGCTGGGTGGGCAGGAGGGGGCGAAAAAAATCTGTGTCCGAACCTAAGCTCGTACCCGGACTTTCCGCTTCGGAGACGAGCGCACTAACCGCTCCACCACCACACCCTCCTTCATCATTTACTATAGACTAGAGAAACAAAGTAGAAAAGTGTTACAATGCATGTAAGAACATCACATTTTACATTCAGCAGTTGTTGTTTTTTCAGCTAGAACAAAGTTATTATATTTTCATGTCAAGATAAATCTGGAAAGCAACCATGAGTGGGACTTATATATATGGGCTTTCAACACCATCACAGAACATCGAAAAGACTTCACCAAATGTTGATAGGTTTTTAATAAGGGCTACCTCTCCTAATCCTATTATTTACTAGACTAGATGTAGCGAAATTTGGTGAGAAATGTAAAAAAAAATCGTGATAACGTAAGAACAGACCAATGCCATCTGAAATGATGTTTCATTGCACTAAACATTCACAAAGAAAAACATGTTAAAAAAATCTAATCTCCCATTTGTATTGCGCACATCATAACAATTCTAGAGAATAAAATCTAGACATCAAAGTATGCATTACAGAGGAAAAGCAATTACTGCCCTCCCTAAAAGCTTAAACTAAAAGATACATTGGTTTCTCTTAAACTATGTCTCAATGAAGTCTGATATAGTAAGAATTTCTTCAACTCGGATTATCATTATCATGGCCACACTTCTACAAGGTCAACTCAAAGATTCCAAAAACGTATTAATATCTAACAAGGATAGCAGTATAATACTATTTAGCTTTGAAGACTTTTAGTAATCAAACAAGTTGTGAGTTTATCTATTTAGAGGTGACATGATCAGATAGCGAATTCAAAACAAACTGAAGTATTTGATAACTTAATCTTTTAGGGTTTGAAGTGAGCTCAAGGCAGAGATAAGATTGAAACTGTAACACGCAAGGTCACGATACCAGTGTGTACCATGGCCATAAGTTAAAGTACCCTTGAGGAAGTCGAATCTACAAACCCTTAAAATCTGAAGGACCATAGAAATTCCAGTTTCAACTTGACTGAAACAGTTAGCAGTATTAATCATACGCATAGCATTACAGAAGAAGTAAAAAGAAAAATGTTACCCAAAATCTTGAGTAATGTAAAATAAAGGTTTTGGACGAAAAACTGAAAATTCATTCTCACCCATTCTCAAAAAAAAAAAAAAAAAAAAACTTACAAGAATGAACAAACCATTCAAACCAGGTCCTAAAAATAAAAGTGATATAAATTTCTGCACATTCAAATATTTTTCTTCATTCACACTTTTAAAAAGATATCAAAATACCAAAACTGTTTTACTGTAAACTTTCCATACCCAAAAGAGGAACACAGAAAAGTACAACATATACAAAGAGAGAAAGAGTCAGGGCTTACTTACAACTGAGGGCAGTTTATTAAGAGGTCCCTACGTTTTTAGCTGGCCTACCCTACCTTCAAGTAGTGTAAAGATTACAAGCAACAATCTGTACTCCATGTGTACGAAAAGCAATTTCTTCATGTTTTTTTAAATCCAGTAAGGTATCATAGAATTATACCCAAAAAAAAACTCCCAACAAAAATGATCTGATCTAAACTCCCAACAAAAATGATCTAAACCTTCTTTTGTTCTTGAGACATCCGTTACTACTCATGGATAACACGGATATTAAGTACACTTCTAGACATTTTCGCTGATATGTTATCTTAGCACAGAAGCAAGGAAACAACTGGACCTAAGAATTATTCTCTTAGAGAGACAAGAAATGGCAAAATCCTTTTAGTGCAATGCTGTCATTAGAAGACCAAACAATCTCACATTTTAATAATTTTATCTTCTTTTTCTTCGCGTTCCCTTTCTAGATCTAAGGAGTAGTTGACTGCTGGTTCTTAAACCTGCAGTACAACCGATTTTTTTATCGTATGTGAAGCCCCTTCTCATTTTATGATAATGAAGTGATTTGTGAGCGTGTGCTTGCTAGCAACCTCGTCGCAAGTACTTTTGACATGTCAGAGTTTATGGTACAGACATGCATGGGAGAGAGCATAACGACAAAACTGCCTTCATGACATCTGACAGACAGAGTAAACATATTCTGAACGTGTACATCTAAAGATATAACAAGTAATGACCAAAAAAACCCTAGGAAAACATCACATTAATTGTCTTTATTGCAAAAATTCTAAACAGTTCGGTCTCTCCTGTCAACCCATAGGCAGACACACATCAATCAGGAGAACTGTCTCGAATTAGTTTTGACATTGCACACATGCATAAATCACATTCGTACAACAAAATCACCAGAGAACTATAAAAATTATTTGGTTAATGACAGCTGAATGGGATGCGAGTCCTCTGACTCTGACCCATGCCCAGACTGGTGCGGAGGCTGAGAGCTATGTCTTGTTCCACATTGCACATAACTGTATCAGTGTACTGTCATCCGGGGGGGGGGGGGCTAAGTTGTTTTTTAACAGAGTATCCCAATCTGATCTTCATATACTTTTCTCTAGAAATTAAAATATCTATTGAATTCAGCGAACAATCCCTAAACAATGTCCATCCCTGAAAAAGAGCACATTTCCTTGCCTCTATAGTTCATCTTTTTCCTGAGCTTGTAAGTAGTCGGGGAGTTTGTCACTAGCACACCTAAAGCCAAGATTAGCAGCTGAGCTGTCTGGAGTATTTTGACTTCTGGCGACACATCGATATCTGTAGCAGTAGGACTGTGGACAAACAAATCAGGAGGAGAATTACCTACAAAACACTCACAGATAAATCAGGGGGCTCTCGTGGCCTAGAGGTTAAGGTGTAGGCCTCTCATTCAAAGGTCCCGGGTTCGAATCCGGGTAGCAACCGAAAAAAAATTTTCTCTAAATTTGTCTCCTTTCACCTACTTTCCTGCTCTCTAGCAATGTTCTGTCGTCTGCTTTCGTCTTCTCTTTCTGCCCCCACTCCCTCATCTCTTTTGCCCCCTTCCTCTGGGCTCCTGATTCTTTTTACAGCCTTTCTACTCCTACTCCTTGGCTTCTTCTTACTGCTGTCTTTCAGCCACACCCCTGATCTTCTGGTAGGATAGATCTACACCTAGCCTTCTCGGACAAGGGCGTAAAATCTCGGAGGGCCCCTGTGCAAGTTGCGCAAGTTAAAGATCCCTTGGAGGTCTAAAATCGATAAGAGTAGGCTTCGGCCGCCACCTGGGCAAAATTCAAAATTTCCTACCAACTGAAAAAGTTTAATGTGTCCCGCGCGCTCATATGACCTTATGCAGTTGCGAGCGCCGTAAAACACTTACAAAAACAAACAAACAGATAAATCATAAATCTAAAAGTCTTGAACCCTTCATACACAGTAAATAAAGCACTTCTCAAAGAAGTAAACAAGTAGTATCATGTAAGCTTAAGTTTTGAAGAGATGGTATTGGTACTAAAGTCAAGTGAAAATATGTCTCATGATATCAACTCCTCAAAGACTGATCGGGTCTACATCAACACTTTGCCACCTCATATCACCAAAGATAGTAAATAACAAGATGGACCACTCAGCCAAAAAAGTGTCCGCAGGAAGTATGCTCTTTGCTTCAGATGGCGCTGCAGTCTGTTTTGAAGCTCTCTTTCGTTTTTCCAGAAGAAAAATAGGAATAGCACCTCCTTGCGTGCGCAGATCGACTGCTGTTCATCAGCAGTTCGGGTTCGTTCAGTACGGAATTTTAGTTTTTTTTAATTTTAATGACCTCTCGCCTTTCATTCTAAAGTCAAATTAAACGAAGAAAACAATCACTCTTTCCTCCAGAAGAGGTTTTTTGTCAGCGTAACCATTTTAAAAAAGCGTTCTTCCGAAATTCATTCAAAAACTTGCTAGTTTCACTTTGATTTTTTTAACTCAAGTGGGATAACTCTGTTCGCTAAAGGTGCGCTTTTGTGAAGAGGGCGCCACCGAATTTTGAGGACACTTTTTTAATTGGCTCAAAGAGAGAAGTGGCCCCTCTTGTTATGTAGACTCTTTGATATCACCGATTGGCGATGTTAACCACCCAGTTTCTTTGGATTTTCCCCAAAATATGATGGCAAAGTCCTGAGATCAGGCAAATGTATTAACGAGAAGAAAGAAGAAAAAGGAGGTACCCACCTTGTGACATTGGAATGAACCACCTTTCTTTGTTTTATCCGTGCCCTTCTCAGGACCTTTCTGTTGGTGAAATAAACAGTGCCCACAGATGAAATTACAGTTTTCATGTACAGTACAATCCTCTTAAAAGAAACTAATAGCGAAGAGATTGTCAGGAATTTTAACAGGAAGATTTGAAAAAAGTTATTTCCAATGATAAGTTACTTACTTCGAAACTGGGCGCCGCTTAACATGATTCAGAAGACAGTGAAGTGAATACTCTGCGTCACATTTCAAACACAATCTTTAAAAAGCTTTATAGGAAACTGATTATTTTTTATTTTTTATTTTTAATGAGAGCGTGGCATTAAGCTATAAAAAGTTTAAAATCCTTTGTGCAGTGATCATCAGATTTTATTAAATCCTTTTCTATGATATGTTACATCATTTTCTAAATTGTTATAATTCAAGATCTCCTCACAGTTCTCAGAGATGTTGAATGAGAATCGTTAGTGGTCATGATAGGAACTAAGATGTGAATTATCTCAAAAAATGATTTTTAACGATAATTAATTATATCTCATTAACTATGTTATGTGCGTTACTATGTAACTATTAGAGGTACCAAATATCATAACACTCAAAATACACTGATTTTTCATACTGGATTCTTGGAGTCATGCGGAGAATGTTTTGTGATCCACCAATCTTGTGTCCACTCCCACACATTACCAATGATGTTTTTTAGTCCAAATTTGTTCTGCTCTGGAAAAGCTGTGACCTAAAAAGAAAAAGAAATGAATAAAATCAAATTAGAAAGAAAATATTTTGGATAAAAAATGCACATCCCATCATGTCAAAGTCAAAGGAGGCACACAAAAAATGCAAACAAAACTGAAACTGAAACTTGCCTCCCAGGGTCATATTCAACAAGAACAGCTATGCATCTTTGAGAATTATTTTTATTTGTTAATTTGAAAAATTTTCAGTCTTTACACAGAAGAAAGTTAAGAGCTTAAGAAAACCATTAGTGTTAAACTGTTGATTTATAACAAAAGAATCAGTTGTTGTAGAAAAAGGTTCGTGGGAGGTCCAAATAGGCCTAAACGCTATATGTGTAAGGAAGATGTTGATCTGAGATGACAATCAGTCGCCTCATGGCTGAGCAGCATAATTCTATTACTATCATAATTCTGCTTAATACAATGTAACAGTTATAAAATTTAGCGTTATCAAAAGGCACAGCTTAGAGTATGTCCAAAAACTTTCAAATTGATTAGCACACTTTCCGTGATTTTTTAGACAGAAAAAAGTACTTATCAAAAGCCACAGCTCAGAGTATGTGCGAATACTTTCAAATTGTCTAGCCCTCTTTCCCCATTTTTTGAGAAGGAAAAAAGTTTCCCTCAGTGGCTGTAGTAGCATTTTCCTTTTTTGAGTCATATTGATTCGTTAAAGGAATAAAATATAGTATTATAGTATGAGTATGTCAGGATAATGAGAAATGTTCCAGGTCTTTAAACAAACACAATCTCACAAACACATATTATTCTCAGATTCAGATTCTGCCTTACCATTACCAGCCTTATCAGAAGCCTACTCTTACTGATTTTAGACAACCAAGGGATCTTTAAGGTGCGCAACTTGCACACGGGGCCTCCGAGATTTTTTCCCCTTGTCCGAGAAGGCTAAGTGTAGAACTTTCCTTCAGCCGCCACCCGGGCAAAATTTTAAATTTCCTACCAACTGAAAATGATAGGTGTGTCCCGCGCGCTCATATTATTATGACCTTATGCAGTTGCTAGCGCCGTAAAACATTTACTAAAAAAAAAACCCAAAAAAACTCACTGGACTCGTTCCTACATAGCCATCTTCTGCTGTATTCTCTTTGGGAAATTCCCCTTGCCAGATATTCATCCAATGCTCGCCTTTTGGAGTCAGGTTGTTTCCCCAAGGGAAAAGTCTGGTTTGACGGGAGAAAAAAGCGACATTGTGTCAAGGTATAAGAAGCACAAATTGAAAAAAAAAATCCCACAACCTTGACACATTACATTTCTATTTCAAAGGTCTTTACCTAGATTTCTATACACAATTCTATTTTTATCTGCCAATTGTCGACAACATTTGAAATTTCTAAGACCGTTCTTGACTGGTTCAGGCCCTTTTTTAGCTCAATTGGTATCATACTAGAGTAGGGAGTGGATGGCTCGGGTTCAAATCCCAGACGGGGTGCTCTTGAAATTAACACTTTCCACCCATGCAGCGCGCAGAGCGTGCAACACTTATCCCTACGGATCAGGATATAGATGCGGTACATGATATTTATCACACCGGCGCCGATCAGCCTCCCAAGGGGAAAAGGGACGACTTCTTACAGTCACCGATCTGCGTCCCGTGGGGGCAAAGTATTAAATCATTTTGTGGAATTTTCATAGCTCTCAACTCATTCGGCTCCGTCCTATCGGAGAAGGACATAAAATTACAAGGTCACAACTCCTAAATAACCTACTCGGGTGTTGATAAGGGCTCTAAACCCATACACTATACACTTTTACTCAACTGGTTCAAATTTTATTTTCCAGGACTAGATCTACTTCAAATTTTATCAGGACGGACGTACGTATTCAGTAGTTGTGCACAGAATCCAATCAAGTCTGTCTTGATCTTGTTTATGACACACCACAAGGGTCAGTTTTAGGTCCAGTTCTATAGGCCCTACTCACTTTACCTTTTGGCCATATTAGAAAATGTTATTTTTTAAAATAGTCTCTCTCTCTCTCTCTCTCTGTCTGTCTCTCCCTCCCTCCCTCTCTCTCTCTCTCTCTCTCTCTCTCTCTCTCTCTCTCCCTCTCTCTCCTTCCCCTCTCTTTCTCGCTCTCTCCCTCTCTCTGTCTCCCTCTTCCCTCTCCCTCTCCCTCTCTCTCTCTCTCTCTCTCTCTCTCTCTCTCTCGCTCTCTCTCTCCCCCTTAACACATAGATCACTGGTTAGTCAAATCAAAACTTTTTTTAACCGTACAAAATCTAAAGTATCTAAAAGAACAGACAGGAAAGGAAAAAAAACCCATCTCATTATCATCCAGATTACAAACCTGTTTTCTTTCCCACCTTTACAAGCATACTCAAATTCTGCCTCTGTCGGCAATCTTTTGCCTGCCCATGCACAGAATGCAACAGCATCATTCCACGAGGCATGAAGAACAGGGTGGTCCATTCTAAGAAATAAAACCAGAAAACCAACATCATATTTTTTTAGTTTTAGTAAGTGTTCTAAGGCATTTGCAACACAATAAAGTCATATAAGTGCCAAAGATTAGAGGTGTTACAGGAGAGTAATAAATGTAAAAAAGAAGGAGGAGAGACCTGGACGATAGATGTTTGATAGGAAAGAAGGAGCAAACCACACCAGAGCACCCGCCACCCACCCTCTAAACATCATATAGAAAATATCATCGTATAGAAAATATCAAAAGACAAAAGTTGAAGAGAAGAGCACTGGAACTTCAATAATGGTGCAAAACTATTTTTCTTTAAAACTCAGAAACCATTGATATATAGACAGAAGAGACAATCTTTGCAATAGATAATTACAAAACAGTAAGCCATTCCATTTTAGCTTGTCTTACAATACTGCAACACTATCAAGAAAAAAAAAAGCAAACTAAAAAGATAAAGATGAAGTACATCCATCGCATATATATATATAGAGTAAAAACCATACGTAGAGTTACATATCAATGTACCACAGGGAAAAGAAACATGGTACCCTCTCTGCTGATTAAACTGTCCCCGTGGTTTTATGAAAAAAAAAAATCTGAAATGATGAAAACTGAGCCCAAAAATGTGCAATTATGTGATTCTGTTCATGAAGAATGATACTGGAAAATAATCAGAAATTATGCAAAAATTGATCAAATATGGCTAAATTATGCGGGGCGCATAAAACCTCGGAGACAGATTGAACAAGAGGTTTCCCTACAGAAGAAACCCAAGTGCACAGCAAAAAAAAACCCAACTAACTAAGCATCCGCACCCATCTTTGTCTGAGCAAGGCATGGTAAAATAGAATACTGCCTAAAAAGAAAAATTGTATCCCAAACTTTTCTCGGAGCAAGGCATGGTAAAAAAGAATACTACTGCTTAAAAAGAAGAATTGTATCATTAACCTTTCTCGGAGCAAGGCGTGGTAAAATAGAATACTGCCTAAAAGAAAAATTGTACCACAAACCTTTCGTTAATGTCTGAGTCTGGGCCTTCCGGATGCCGCCAGTCAGCCCCGTCAACAGGCAACCACCAGGGGGCTGCAGCCACCTATTATTAATAATAATAATATATAAATAATATATAACATTTATATAGCGCATTTCCCTAAAAAAGTAGCTCAATGCGCTTTACATTGGAATACCCATTTTCAAAATCTTTCTTACTACTTCTTTTCTTCTCATGCAATATATATCAAAGCACACACACACACATACACACACACACACACACACACACACACACACACACACACACACACACACAGAGACTATTTTCATTCAGACGTAGGCACAGAACGCTAAAAGCTTTTATGAAAGATAGGCCTGTAGGAACAGATTATTACAAATAAGTAAGTTATGTGCACACAAATTGTGTCAGTTGGAGGGGGGTGGGGGGGGTAACCATGCAAAGTCACATATGTACATTATGTGTTATGATGCAGTGGAAGCAAGCACTCGTCCATTTTTAGGCATTTTGAGTTATAGTTATTGGTATCATCTAACATTTGCCCATTTGTCCTTCTTTTGATGAAACAAATACTTATCTATCTTGAATAGAATTCTAAATATATTTGGTGATTGAAAGAGAAAAGTTAGATGACTCCCAAAACTTGAAAGTTCTTGGAAACTGCAAAACTACATGATATTTCTGCGTTAAATCAACACTTTGATACAGTGAAACTCTCCCAGAAATGTGTTTTCAAATGGATATTTATAGGTGTTGGGCCAAAAAAAACAAAAATTTGATAAAAATTGCCAAACGAGCAGAAAAATACAGGTATCTTCGATTTCATTATTTTAACAAGTGCCTGATCTCACCGGGCTGCCTCACATATTATATTATACTCCTGTAGCTTCATGTGATAGCTAGTATTTTTCAATCATAAAAAGCATTTTCTGTTCAGGTAGACTTTGCAACAGAAAGCATTGTGCATCTATTCTTACTGAACATTAATTAAAGTGTAAATTGTAAGTTATTACAGGTACTACTTCAGAGAAATAACACATCTACATCTACTTCAAAACCTTCAGGTGCAGGACAACCTTGCTTAAAGGTAGGCCATCTTCAATCCCATTCATATTATACAATTTGCACAATCTCTTCTCCTTTGGCAGTCCATATTTTTCAACTGATTATATATCCATCAGTGAACTTAAGCTTCCAACTTTAAAGCAGTTAAAGGTGGCAGCGAGAAGAATGTTCCACTAAAAACAATGTCTTTATAATTCTTGCCAAAGTTCTCAAAATAAAATCTCCAGTTTTCCATAAAAATGTGTTGAAATTACGTTTTCTGTTAATTGCTGCTACAAGTTGCTTTTTGTTTCCTACATGATATCGTAATATAGGTTGATGCAGACACGACAACAGCACACATTTAGCTTTGTGTGTTGCTGCTCTTGGTATACAACGGTAACATTTTTTAGACTGAGCACATTTTGTTCACATTTGTTACAGGTACTTCCATTATTTATATTTTACAAGCTGTCTAGCTTTGAGTTGTATGTACATATCTATATTCGCTTCAGACACATCAAAAGGGTGAGGGACGAGAAACAAAAATGAAATGATTGTTCATCTAATACTAAAACTAATATGACACAACATTATAATTATATAATATGTTCACGGAGCCTTCATGTCTTGAACAAAAAACAAAAAATTCTTACCATTTGCGTGATTTTTTTCTTTGTCTCCTCACTTATGTACGATTCCATCACAAAAGAATTGCCAAATCCTTCAGCCTGCAACATAAAAGAAAAACAACATTCATCCCTAGGATTGTATCAAAAAGCTTCCCTTGACAGCAATAAATTATCTAAAATTCTGCTTCGTTTTCCGTCATCTCATGGGATGGAACGCTTGAAGCAGGCCAAAATATGAAATTATACATCACTGACTAAAACCGGCAGTGGATGCTCCTTCTAAAAGAAGCTTGAGTGCCGTGTACGTAACCTCAACAGCGCCTGCAAACTGCATTCAGGGCGCCATGAACGTAGCCTGCCAAATAACTATGTTCGGGGTGCCGTGAACGTAGCCTACAAAGTAGCCTACTCGGCAACTGCGATTTAATTAATTTTAGCCTTAGAAGCAAGAACAAAAGCAATTTTCTTTCTTAAACAAGATGTTGGTGTCACATTTAGAAACAGATCGAGACATCATATTGGCACGTAGGAAATGTATAAATCAGTATTCACTCACCTCTGTTTTATACTTTGTATCCTCGACAAACCTCTGAAATTCACTGTTGCTCACTTCATACTTGTCCATGTAAAAGGAATCCAAAGTTACTTTCCTTGATGGCATTTCTCCATCAGCAACGAAAATAGGATCATCCGTGCCCATATGGAAGGTACCTCCAGGAATAAAAACCATACTATTGGTTCTAAAAGACTTAATGTCGTTTTGCTTGTCGCTTTTTTCATCATTCACTTTCAGTGGATCATCTTGCTTTTGAGTTTCTCCCTCAGCGTCGACGCCCACTGAACCAGACGGGTCTGAAGACTCGGGGGCCTGTGACTTTTTAATAGGAACCTGAGCACTCTGACGGTTGACTTTGCAACCGCAGTCGCTTTCTGGTGCGTTTTCAGCTGAATTCCCACACTGACCATCAGCAAAAACTACATGACTATACGGGCAAATGATTAGAAGAAGGGCAGCGACAACAAAATATCTCATGATGGGAGCCGCCATGTTTGTATACATGCAGCGTACTGTGCTTCAAACGCGAAAGATCTGAGAATCCTGCCCACCGCCCAGAAAAGATTTCGTTTTTTTGTCTAGGGCCAAGATCCAGGTCGACATCAATTTAGACCTAGATCTAGATCTAGATCTACAACAATAACTTTCTATCCGGCAATAGCTTAAAATATAAAAGTGTATTGGCGCGTTCAATTTGCTTGGAGTGAAATTTTTCAGACATTCAATTGATTGTGTACTTCCAGAAAGTTACAGAGGAATGCACACATCTGACTTTCGTTATCAACGTCGGCCAAGCGGTCTCCCGGCCCCAGCAACGTTTGCGTGTCACTACTGACGCTGTGGAAAGAACAAGTGGCTGTGACTGTGAGTCAGTCCTTCGATAAATGACCTGACCTGTGCAATGCGTTCCAAATTCTTGTAGTTCGTGAACCTTTTTTAGGAAAAGAAAAGTCAACAAGTAGAATGAGTAGGCCTACATCAGCTGTCCTTTGGTTTAATTCCATTATTAAGTCAATTAAGTTTATTTCAAAGACAACACTAGATCTATAAATAATAAACTATCGGTAGTTGTCGGGTGTATTACAGTGTAACGATGGTTAATTTTCATGCTACTTTTTTTAAAAATCGTATTCTCCAAAGTTGTGGTTATCTAACGTTTTATATATAATATACATATATTATACTTTAAAAAATCAGAAGCATTTTTCTTTCAGAAGGACTTCTGTAACGAGCGACCACCCAAATAAACACAATAAAGAAGAGACTTACCCTAACCCTAACCCTACCCGAAACCCTAATCCTACCCCAAACTTAAACCTTAACCCTACCCCAACCCCAACCCCTGCCCCCCACCCCTACCCCTACCCTTATCCCTATCCCCTACCCCTCTGTTCTACTTTGTCTCATAGTAGTCGCCCGATGGAAGTCCTCCCTCTTTCTTTTTATTCAGTCATGGGGGCTCTCCTGGTCTAGAGGTAGGCTTATGGTGTTCGCCTCTCATTCATTAGGTCCCCCAGGTTCGAAACCTGACAGCGGCAGAAAACGTTCTTCTCTAAAAAATGATCTCCATTCATCTTTCCTGTTAATCTTCATCTTCTGTCATCTGCTTTCATCTCCTCTTATTCTGCCCCCCCCCCCTTTTAACCCCCTCTTCTTTGGCTCCTGATTCTTTCCCACTGCCTTTCTCTAACTGCTACTTCTACTCTTTGGCTCTTGCTTCTGTCTTTCAGCCGCACCCCTAATCTTAAGGTAGGTGAGATCTCTATAGCCTTCTCGGATAAGGGTGAAAAAAATCTCAGAGGTCCAGCAGTGTGTAAGTTGTGAACGTTAAAGATCCCTTAGTGGTCCTAAAATCAATAAGAGCAGGCATCAGCTGCCAACCGGGCTAAAAATATGAAATTAATTCCAACCGAACTGAAAATATTTAATGTGTCCAGCGTGCTCATATGATGATATATAACCATATATTATGCAGTTGTGAGCGCCGTAAAACACTTTTGTCAAAACAAAATAACGATCAGTTCAGCAGTGAATGTGTGTCATATATTTACAATTTCTCTATCCTACTGGAAAAAAAAAGTTGTGTTAATGTTGTAACATTGCCATTTGATTTACTGCAGGTATCTATTTGCGGAAGCAATGGCTGATATTGGATGGGGCTGGTTGGCCAGCATGGAATCCTACGGAGCTCTAGGCGACACTTTTGCAGATTACAAAACTCTCACAGAAGAAGAAATTGCTTCAAAGAAATATTCGTCACTTCGGCATGCTGCCCATGGAATGATATTTGCAAGGAAAAACAAGCTATTGTGGGACCTTTATGATATGTTGGGTCTTGTGATGGTATGTTATAAAGATGTCACCTTTTGGAAATCTAGTGTACCACTTGAAATATGTGATATACACTGTAACACGGATAGCTAGAAATTCATCGGGACTGGTCTCGTTAGTTCAATTGAGGGATCCGTAGTTCGAGGGATATCTTACAAAGATAAAGTTTGAAGAAAAAATACGAGACCGCAGGCACAGTTCGACGGATGTGTGATGTCGAGTTTTCTGTGTTCGACCTATCTTTGTTATACTGTTTAATATGTTTTAGACTGGACAAATCTGTAGCTGTATATATGATATATGTTAGAAGAAAGCTTGTTTTGAAATGACTTCAAATTAAAAATATGGAATGTAGCAAACTTTGATAACAGAAATTATGAAACATTTTTGTAAGGTGTATTTTTTTAAAATATGAAATACAACAAACTTTGATGACAGAAATGAGACATTTTCTGAAGGTAACTTGTCTCTCTACAGAAACTACAATGACCTACCGATTTATTTGAAATGTTTTCCTACTTTAACATTGAAAACACTTTTTTTATGTTGGTAGATGCAAATGAGATTCGACGGAGTACTGGGATTTCCTGGAGGACTCGTGGATGAGGGAGAGACACCGGTGGAGGCTGTCAATCGTGAAATGAAAGAAGAAATCTGCCTTGACTTGGACAAGTATTCCTTTTCAGAAGACCATTGTATCAGCATTCAGCTGAATGAAAAGAAAGGACTGGTTCTATACTTTTACCAGATGGAGGTCTCTTGTGAGGATTTTGTAGCAATGGAGCACAACATCATCAATGCTCCTGACTTTGGTGTTGAGGTATGTAAATATGTGGGGAGAAGTGGGCAAAGAAAAACAATTAATTGTGGGACCTTTATGATACCTACTGGTCTGGTGCAAAAATCTAAATTCCTACCAAAAACTGAAACTGAAAAATCTCTAGTCCGTATATAAACATTTAGAGTACCTTTGAAATCAGGAATGTTGCTGCCTGACCAGAAGTTAGGAACCTACTGAATAGAAAAAACGGTCATATACGTAAAAATCAGTAGCACTTCAGGTTGAGGAACCAGTAGCCATCTACTCATCTAACAGAGAAAAACAGTGTAATAAACTGTCGGACACCCTTACACCTTAACCTTCTTTGATTCTAAACGGATTGATGATGTCGCTCCTTTGGTGCATATCAAGGAGGTCAAGATCTGAAGGGAGGGAAGTATAGTACTTGGGCAATCTACTTCCTCTACGTCTTCTGCGCAGGCAAAGCTGTATCATGCAGATCAGTTGAAGTGTGAAATGGAGAAGACCACACTTATTGTGTATTGTTTCATTTTTGAACTTTCAGGAGAAAGATTTGCCTTGTGTCATGAAATCTTTACATATACCGTGTACCTATGTGTTCCAACATTGATGGTCTTTAGGACTTCAATTGACACTTACATGTAACACTACATGAAGAAAAAAACAATGCAAAAATACACAGCAGAGTCTCTGTAAACAAATATCAGTGGACTTGCCAGATTTTCTTGGGTTTAGCCTGATTTTCAGTTTAGAGAGGTTGCTCAAATAAAACGGAAAAAAAATTGGGGTTTAAATTTTCTATCGGTTTAGCTGCTTCAAATTTAACTTGTTCAGTTTAAGGAGACTCCACTGTATTAACCTGAATTCCTATCCCCACCACTTTCAAAAGCTTTAATTAAAACTCACTAGACAGGTGACTGTATGATTTGTGAGGCAGCGGGGTGAAACAAGGCACTCGTCAAAATAATGATAGTCAAGAAACTGGCATTTTTCAGCAAGCTTGGGAATTTTTATAGAAAAAAAATATTTGTTTTTTGGCTCAACACCTTTCGTGCCCTTTATAGAACACATGTTTTTGTGGGTTTTGCTGAAGAACGTTGGTTTAAGGTATAAAAGATATAAATGTTTAGTTTCCATGGACTCTCATGCTAAAGATATAACTCAACTTTGGCGGCCTTTTTCTTGCCAATTTTTCCTCTGAAACCAGGTGACCCCCATGTCCTTCAATTGCCAATATCTTGACTTGTATCCAAGTTAAATGGATATTTTTTTAATCAAAAGCAAGGTAAATGGACAGACTTTAAGGTGATACCAGTAACTCCATATGCTCCCAAATTTGCAAGCACATGATTCCCCAGCGTCGTGACACATTTGTTATGCATCGTCAAAGCAGCTTGGGGGGGGGGCTCTCGTGGCCTAGAGGTTAAGATATTGGTCTCTCATTCAAAGTCCCTGGTTCGAATCCGGGTAGCAACCGAAAAATTTTCTCCTTAAAATTGTCTCTTTTCACCTCTTTTGCTGCTCTCTTGCAATATTCTGTCGTCTGCTTTCGTCTCCTTTTTCTACCCCCACCTCCTCACCTCCTTTGCCCCGTCCTCTGGGCTCCTGACTCTGTCTGCAGCCTTTCTACTGCTACTCCTTGGCTCCATCTTACTGCTGTCTTTCAGCCACACCTCTGATCTTCTGGTAGGAAAGATCTGCACCTAGCCTTCTCGGACAAGGGCGAAAAATCTCGGAGGGCCCGTATGCAAGTTGACCTCGTTAAAGATCCCTTGGTGGTCTAAAATCGATAAAGTAGACTTCGGCCACCACACAGGCAAAATTCAAAATTTCCTACCCTAATGTGTCCCACGCTCTCATATATCACCTTAATGTGTCCCACGCTCTCATATATCACCTTAATGTGTCCCACGCTCTCATATATCACCTTAATGTGTCCCACGCTCTCATATATCACCTTATGCAGCTGCGAGGGCTGTAAAACGCTTAAATCTACCAAAAGAAAGAAAAAAAAGGAAAAAAAGCAGCCTGTTTTTCATGCTACTCTTTTTCCTTAGCCGCCCTATATTTAATAAACATACTAATTAATTGCCAGTGCTATTCTGCCTTTAACATTTTGAATGTTGTTTTTTTTGGAGTTTTTTTTAAGTACATGAGAGAACATTTTGTGTGTTGTTAGTGCAGGAGTTACTCTGATGTTCTATCACCCTGAGGAGTCCAATACTGTGCTGCATGTCTGATCACATTTTATCTTTTGCTTGCAGTTACAGTTATGAGAGAGAAGTGCCTAATCATCATACTCTACTTTACTATTCCGATCCATGGACCATCTGGGTTCTAGCCCTTTTGCCTGGACCAAATCATCATCAAGTTTAGATCTTCGAATTTTGTCATAAATTATAGTCCTTTGAATCACCTCATGACAAGTTGAAATGGTCTGTTGCATATATTGATGCCTTAGTATACTCGCTGGACCACATCTTTTAATGAAAAGTAAAGGACATTGAACTCGAGGGCTGCTCACCAAGTAAATATTATATTTCTATACCTTGTCATTGCATATTAAAGTTAATATTACATACTTCTTTTAATGTTATCTTTATTATAGTCAGATTTATCATCATATTACTATTAATATTGTTTATCTATTTAACACTATCCACCCACGCATTGCGCAGTGCGCGCAACTCTTATCCCCACGGACCAGGATACAGATGCTGTACATGCTGTATCACACCGTCGCCGATCGGTGTACCGCGGGTGCAAAGTGTTAAACAATTTTTTTTAAATCTAATATCCTCTCATAGATGTTCACGTTTTCATTCTGACAGACCTTGGGTGTCTTGAGGGTTCCTCTGTACACAATGGGAGATGGACGTAGAGGATTCCCCGCCTTCCTGGACAACCAGTTCGCAGGAAACGCCAAATACCAGCTCATCCATGGTCTGAAAACTGCGAAGTTGTTGTCAGATGAACAAATATCTAAAGCTGTCAATTCTTGTTCACAAAAATGACAAATGGGAAGTTAACAATTTTTTGTGGTTGTATTTAATGTTTTAATGAAATTCCAGCGGGTCCATAAATTATTTTTGTGAAATCATAGAAATCGAGGTTCAAGAGAATAAAGAGAGGAGACATGTGGAAAGAGAGAGAGAGTTTGTTTATATATATATATATATTTATTGTATGGCCGGATATGATTCAATTGCAGACTAGGGCTCTGAGAACAATATTTTTGTACTTATTGTCAATTATGTCATGTTCCAGTCACTGAGATACATTGTCTTTTAAATACTGTAGTATTCTTGCAAGGGTTTTCTTTTTTTTTAGGAAAATTTTTAATTGTTAGTCTACAGTTACAAACAAAATAATACTGTTTTGCTTACTTACTCTCTCCCTGTGCCGCCGGACACAGTATAACATGGATAGGTCACACACAGAAGACTCGAAATCACGCATCAGTCGTAGGCCTACTGTGCCTGCAGTCCCGTGGGGGTTTTTTTCCTACTTCTTTATCTTTGTAAGATATCCTTCAAACTACAGATCCCTCGAACTACGGATCCCTCGAACTACTGAGGTCTGTCCCGACAAATTTGGAGCTATCCATGTTAAACTGTATAGGCCTACAAGGCAGAGAGCAGTCAACGCCACACGTGTCTGTCCCTGGCAATTTTCTCTAGCACATCCATGCCCTGGGTGATTGCCTCGTCTCTGATCATATTTCAGTTCTACCAGTTGGTCTGCAGCTTCTTCTTTTTCCATTTGGTCTGAAGACAATATTGTCTGTGTCATTCTCCAAATCGAATCATGTGCCAAATATCAGATCTGTCTTCTCCTCTTTATGCTTGTGTTGATATTTTTAATCCCAGCTGTTTCCAACATTTGATTATTTGTCAACAAATTAATTCTATTTCTTAATTCAAGATTCTTCAGAAAGCTTTTTCATTTTTGTTGAATTGCTTTGCTTGTTTTCCATTATTTCAGAACTGTGCATCTGTTCTACTAAAACATTGCATTTTAAATTTTGTTTTCAATCAGATTAACTTTGAATTCAAAATGGTTTTTAATTTCACAAAAGGGATCCACGTATTTTAAAGTCAATACAGTCTGAGGTTTTGGAAATAAATCTCCCAAAGTACCTCAATGTTGTATTATTTTCTGTCAGACAATCTAGCAATGCCTCTATTATGAACCTGATACGATCCCTTTAAAACATCTGTGCGAGTTGATTGGTCCTTACTAAACTAATTTAAATTCATATTGCAACACGGCCTGAGAATTCATGGCTGCAGAGATAAATGCTACCCATGGCGCCCAGCATCCAGTCAGCAGCTGCACAGTGATATTCCCTTTCTTCTCCCACAAATGGTCCCTTTTAAGGACAAGCGGGCTAACCCAGATTTCAGGGGTTTCCAGAAGTCTTGACCTACACCAAAAGTGGGCATTTCCCTAGCTCTATAGGAGAAGTTTAGTTTAATTGATGTGTATATATTTGTTTGTTTATAGTAGAGAAAACTCTCCTTGTCTTTTAATGAAACTGAACAGGGGTCCAAAAACTTTAGCTTTGATTTTCTCAAAACTGCATTTTTCGGTATAGCCCCCTTGTGTTTAAAAGCGACCAAATTATATGAGATTGTCACATTGCAGGAAGAATGAAAGTCGAATCTCTTCACATTTTGAACAAAGGGACATTACCCATTTTAATATTGAACTTCATCTTGTCATGGTGGAATCATTTTCCCTGACGTTGAGCTGCTGGTGCTATTTATTAACTCTTAAAACCCCATTGGACGCTGGTAGTGGTAGCGTCTGACGGTAATGACCCTGTTCCCCGTCGGACGCTGGGAGCGTCCAATACTAGCAACAACTGTTTCATTTAATTTAGTGATAGTTTCTTCTTGTTTTTCGGAACTATTCCCAATCCTAGTTTTTTAGTAATGACTAAGCCTTTGTTTCCGCTATTTAGAAGTTGGAGGCAAGCTATGGGGGTTATAATGAGATATAGTGCACCAGGTCTAGGTGACTGTAGAAAAAACTCAGGGTTTAAAGAGTTAACAGAGAACAGTATTAAATTTTTTAACCCTTTATATCGCCAACCCCTCATACAACCAACTTCATTTTCGTTCTAAGGTTGTCGGAATTATGAGATTTGATCTATGTGAAGATGAAGGTATTGTAAAGCATAATGTAGATTGTATTGCATGGGAGTGGGCGCTGTAGAAATGAGCTGCATTACATTATAATTTATATTATGTACGGATGGATGTAATGTGTAGGCCTGTCTAGTCTACGAACATTTTTAAAAATTGTGGTCAAAGGGTTATGATAAACACATGTGTATTTTAAAAGTCATGTGCTACGTCAGAGGGTGTGTTTAGCAAATGAATGCTTACAAATATTACAATGTTTTGTCAATTAAAGATCTTTTCTATATATATATATATATTTGCATAATATTATGTCTCTATTATATTTTAATTATAGTACAATGGAATCCTGTTGTAGTGAGAGGGAGGGGATTGGTGCAAAATATCCATTATAGCACGATTCACGTTACAGTAGTGCGCTTAAGGGAAGTATACAATGTGGGTTATGTCTTTTAAAAAGTCATTGCTTATTTTATTTTTAATTTCATGCTTTACCGGTGTTTTAATGTGGGTCATTAAAAGTATATTACAAAAAGATTCAAATTGTTTATTATATTTCTCTATTTCTTCTTGTTGTGTAAAAGATGATATCTGTTGTTTATTTTTAAGCACCCTTTTTTTTATCTCCCTTCCCTCAGACAGTTTGATTTAAAAGAGTCCCGAGACTTATGCATTTATAACAATAAATAACATCATGTCGTAGGCTAGGATAACTATCACCTTGACAACCGTTTGCCAATACTAGTTCAGGGGCTAATCTCAAGACTCAACACAATCTCATGGGTCCATAACCTTGTTATCATGTACAATGTAAACCTACATATCACCTAATTGTTTTCACTTGTAGACCTGTCCCGGTGGTTTTATGCACCCCTCATAATAAGCAAAATTTGATTACTTTTTGCATAATTTCTGATTATTTTTCTTTATCATTCTTTTTTTGGATTAACAGAACCGCATAATTTCACATTTTTGGGCTCAGTTTGCATAACTTCAAAAAAATTTTTTGCATAAAACTATGAGGACAGCTGTAGACTGTAGAGAAAGTAAATGTTATGACAGCAGAATATGCAGCCATGGGTTAGCAGCCCTGGACAAATAGAAGACAACATAATAAATTCCAATGATTGTTGGTGATTTTGTCATCCACCATTTAGAAGAAAAATTAAGTTTTAACTACGTTGTACTTGTTAATGCTTTTGCAGAGATGATTTTGGCCGCCATTGACACAATTTAGGTGTGGTTGGTTGGGGGGTGCTCTGGTGTGGTTTGCTCCTTCTTTCCTATCAAACATATTATATCTGACGTCCTGATTTCTCCTTCTGTTTTGTGTTTGTTACTCTTTTGTAAAACCTCTAATATTCGGCACTTATACACGACCTTATTGTGTTGCGAGTGCCGTAAAACACTTTCTAAAACTAAAATGACATCAGGGAAACTGCTGCATTTTTTTTGCTCATCCTTACTGTCGTCATTTTCCTCTACTTCTTTTGTATGCTTGTCACTGTCTTGTGAACTGCTATTTCAGGGGTGCCTTGATAGTCGAAGAAGACTTTGTGCTGTTGAAGCTAGAGAGGTAAGAAGAGTAAGCCTGATTCCGCGCTTGGACTTCTCTGTTGACACCTACCTCTTGACGCTCATATGACCTTATGCAGTTGCAAGCGCTGTAAACCTTACTAAAACTAAAATAATTTAGGAGAAAAATTTAGCCATAACTACATTATACTTGTAAAAATGCTTTTGTGGCTAGTAGATGTTTTTGGCCTCCATTGACACAGTTTAGGTCAGACAGTAGGCAGGCTGCTTCGACTCTGCCTGTCAGGGCAGCTTGGGCTGATGTTTTGTTTTAGTAGAGGTTTTACGGCGCTCGCAACAGCATAAGGTCATATGAGCGCTAGAAGATAAGAGCTGTTACAAGAGAGTAACAAACATGAAAAAGATGAAGGGGAGATAAGGACGATAGATGTTTGATAGGAAAGAAGAAGCAAACCACACCAGAGCACCCACGAACCAACCACCAGCTTGGGCTGAGAAGAATTCATCCCCAACACAAAGATGGAGGCACTCAATACCCCCCACCCCCTCCACACACATACACACACACACACACGTGACACATACACACTAACGCACACACACACACACACACACACACATAGATCTAGGCCTACAGACACACATACAGACACGTACACACACACACGCCCACATACACACGCAAACACAATAATGCACATACACACGCATACACACTAATGCACATACACTCACACGCACACATACACACACGCATACACACACACTTACACACTAATGCACATACACACACACACACACACACACACACACACACATACACGCACATATGCACACATACTGCACACACACACAGACAGGTAGTGAACTCAAGTCTTCTGTTCGCAATTGCGAAACGTCTTACCACTGCACTACAAATGCCAGTCCAAAATTTACTTTTGCCAGCGATACACGCATACTAAATACTTTGAAAGTCTAGAATTAGATTAGTTAGAAGGCTTTATAAATAAAGATTAGGCCTACACGTGATTGAATGTAAATGTTTTATGCCCGAACAGACCCAATGTAGAACATTTCGGAAGTGGCAGATTCAACGCTTCTATCGAAGTCTGCACTAGCTCAGTGAGATATAGGCGCTTTGATGGCTCAGCTCCCTCTCTCTCTCTCTCTCTCTCTCTCTCTCTCTCTCTCTCTCTCTCTCTCTCTCTCTCCTGGCGTTGTGGCGTTATAAACGGTGCTCTGCTGACAACACGCAGGAACTCAACAGTCGCTCGGGGGGGGGGGGGGGGGGTCCTTGAAAAGTGCTGAAAGAGGGTTATTGAAATGTCCCAGCAGACGAGTTGATGGCTCAGTTGGTATCATGCTGGACTATGGAGCGGATGGCCCTCGTTCAAACCCCAGACTGTGCGTTTTTGAACTCGGCATTTGTGGAGTCATCTATAGAGGCTCTCAACCATTTGGTTCGGGCCCAAGTGGACAGTAAATTCTGAGGTCCCGGCTCTTAAATGGTCGCTTTTAAGCACAAGGGGGCTATCCCGAAAAATTCTGTTTTGAGAAAGTCGAAGTTAAAGTTTTTGCCCCTTGTTCGTTTTTTTTTTAAAGACAAGGAGATTTTTCTCTATAACTAAACAAAGATACACACCTATGAAACCAAACTTCTTCTATAGGTAGGGAAATACCCACTTTTGGTGCCGGTCAAGATTTCTGGAAACCCCCGAAATCTGGGTTAGCCCGCTCGTCCTTTAAAAACGACCAAATAACCTATTAGGCTATAGTGTTGAAAGGGGAGTTATTAATAAACAACACAATTACACTTTTTTCCGTGAAATACAGCTCCTACATCCCACTTGTAAATACAGTGGAGCCTCTCTATAACAACATCTTCGGGACCTGAAAAAAATATCGTTATGTTATAGAGAGGCAACCAAAAATATTACAGGGTACTAATGATATAAAAGGAAAAAATCAGGACCCGGGCACCATGTCTCTGTACATTGTACAGAGGATGTCGTTATATCGAAGGTCGTTATTATAGAGAGGTTGTATTGTAAAAACTTGCCTAAGAGGAACTGAAAAAGTGTAACAAGCAGGATTTCTTACACTTTACACAGTGCAGTAGTGCATTGTCCACACTTCATCTAACAGACATTTCTAGATCTATAGCTTCATCAAATCAAGCAACTAACAGGTATAAAACCTCTTCCTTTCCCCAGTCACCTCGCAAAGAACCACAGTCAAACTTGGGGTGGTATTGTAGAAGCAAATCTATTCCATTATCCCTTGTCTCTGCTAGTCTCTTGTGCGGCTGCTACTATTACTGCTAAAAACAGGGATGCCAAATGATTTTTGAAAAAAAAAAACTGACAATGAGAGGAGCATCACATCTCACCTAAAACTAAAACAAACCTTGTAAAGTTTTTCAATGAGCACACAAAAACATCTCTCTTACCTCTTCCCTTTCCTCTGCAAGGGTATGGGGACTTTTGTTTCACCAATTCCAGTAATATTATGTCTGTCTTGAGAAGAAGGACCTTATGTCAGTGGCCTTCTTCTTCAGGGTTGCCAATTGATTTATTTTTTTTACCCTGAAAAACCTGAGATTTGGCGTCCCTGTAAAAAGTTGTTCCCGCATCCGATCTGGACATTGGGGATGGATTGTCTTGTTAGTGAGACAACTTCCTGAGCCTTCGACATATTGTGGTCGGGTGGCCAGTTCCTTTCCACGCCGCCTTTACTTCCCCAACTCGAAGTCAGGTACCCATTACTGCTGAGTGGGCAAGGGGGCGAAAAAAATATGTGTCTGAACCGAGGCTCGAACCTGGACTTTCCACTTCGGAGACGAGCGCACCAACCGCTCTGCCACTGCACCCTCTACTACAGCTATTACTCGCATAAAACAGTGCAAAGCAACTGTCACTGTCTCCCATGCTTTTTTTTTAAATAGAGGGTTTTACGGCGCTCGCAACTGCATAAGGTCATACGAGTGCCAAGGGGTGGATGTCAACAGAGAAGTCTTTACAGGGAATCAGACTTACTCTGCTCACAATGACAATGACAATGACAATCTTTATTCATCTCGCAGGGAGAAATTTGTCTTGGTCGTTAACAATGGCAGTAGACGTTACAAAAGTTAGACTTAAAGGTGCACTCACGCAAACGCACAACAAGACAGGACATTAGGCCAAGTAAATACATGTCTCACGGGCTGGGACAACCCGCTCCGTAAAACATTCATTCATTCTCTCTCTCTCTCTCTCTCTCTCTCTCTCTCTCTCTCTCTCTCTCTCTCTGTGTTTCATTTGTAGCACTGTGTGTTCAGTAACCTACCTCACTGCAGTTGGTATGAATGAATTTCTATATCTGTCTGTTCTTGCTTTTTTGGAAATGTATCGTTTACTGCGGGTCGATAGTTGAAATTCCGATGTCAGTGGGTGGCTATGGTCACTAAGCATTATTTCCGCCTTTTTTTTAGAACGTTTGTCTTGTGCAGATATTCAAAGTTACTTAGGTCTCTACCAATTGTTCTTGATGCCTTTTTCATCAACTTATTTAGTTTTATAATGTGCTGCCTTCCCAGATTGCTGCCATAGCATGTGATTCCAAAATTTATCAAGGTTTCTATTGTCGTGGTGTAGAAAATCTGAAGGTTGGATGGATTCAGATTGAAAGACTTAAGTTTCCTCAGAAAGTACAGCCTCTGATTTACCCTTTTAACGATATCGTTTACGTGGTATTGCCATGTAAATTTGTTGTCTATTGTAAGGCCAAGATATTTGTATGAATCCGTGATTTCAATAGTTTCTTGTTCAATTACGAGTGGTGGGATTGTTGGTTTTTCTCTTCTAAAATCAAAAATCATTTCCTTTGTTTTTGAGAGGTTCACTTTTAGAAAATTTGAGTTGCACCATTAAAAAAACCTACATATTTCTTCGAAATACTCTTTTTCATCAAGGTTTATTAATCCAATAATAGCTCTCTAGCTTCAACAGCACAAGGCCTGCTTCGACTATCAAGACACCCCGGAAATAGCGAGTCACAAGAGTGTAACAAATATACAAAAGAAGTAGAGAAAAATGACAATAGTAAGGATTAGGAAAGAAAAAGCAGCAGTTCCCTATTGTAGATCAGGCAGTTATGAGCGTGACATGATGAATCAGCCCATTTACAATTCTACTGTGCATGAACGAGAAATATCCCCCCTTTGGGAATGTCCTAAAGACACTACAGTCAGTGGCACTGCCCCGTGGGGTATCCCATGCTTTGCATCATCAGAGATGGACAGAGCATAAAAGGTCTTGCTTCTGCAACCATCATTATTCACTATTGTAATACCAAATCATTACTTTGCGCATCCTGTTTGTTGCATTAAATGAAGACACATCAGCTAAAATGAATCAATTACATTTTATAAAGAAGAAAGGAAGACGACAGAAAAAAACATGAAGAAGGATGTATAAGGCCTATGACAAGACACTGGTAGAGCCCTTCATTCAATGTCCTGCAAGAAATAAGCACAGAATATTCATTTTTACAGCAGTTTTGTGAAATCGAAGAACTTTCGATGTACATATCAATCTCAATCATCTATATGTGAAGCATCGAGCTGAAATCAGGCGCTCGTCAAAATAATGAAATCAAAGAAATCGCCATTTTTTCTTCGGTTTGGCAATTTTTATCAATTTTTAAATTTTTGGCTCAACACCTTTTAAAACCATTCAAAAACACATTTCTGTGCGGATTTTATGGAAAAATGTTAATTAAAGGCCCCAAAAATGTCAATTTTCAGTTTCCAATAACTCTCAAACTTTGGCGGCCATTTTCTTGTTAATTTGACCTCTGAAACCAGGCAACCCCTACCTCCTTCAATTACAAACATCTCGACTTCTCTATTCAAGATAAATAGGTAATTTTTTCACCCAAAACAAGATAAATAAACAGGCTTAATGATGGCCCCAATAACTCCATAAGCCCAAAAATTGACGAGTGCCTGATTCCACCGCATCGTGACACATATGATATAGATTAGATCTATGTAGGCCTAAAGTATGTTGCTTACCATATTATGGAGGAAGAACAGAGTTACCCACTACACCAAAACAGTTTTTCTGAATTAATATACAAGGACATGTGGTTTCTTGAGGGAGGCATTGTGCTGCCAAGAACAAAATGCTCGAAGCTAAAGGGATTTGAAAACAACAACTGAATTAATATTTTACGGCTTCACTGTGTAGATGTAACTGGTCTCTTTTAAGCTCAAGTGGGCTATCCCGAAAAATGCTGTTTTGAGAAAATCGAAGGTAAAGTTCTTGCCGCTTGTTCAGTTTCTTTAAAAGACAAGGAGAGTTTTCTCTATCACCAAACAAATATACACACCAAGGAAACCAAATTTCTCCGATAGGTAAGGCAAAGCCCACTTTTGGTGTAGGTCAAGATTTCTGGAAACCCCCAAAATCTGGGTTAGCTCGCTTGTCCTTAAAAGCGACCAATTTTACACTGAGGTGCGTGCCAGCTCATGAGGAACAGGGACAAACTTTGTGATTTATTAGGTTGATGTTACAATTAGAACATTCTTGTTTCAGTTTTAGCAAAAGTTTTACAACACTTGCAACACAATAAGGTCATATAAGTGCCGAAGAAAAGATGTATCACAAGAGAGTAACATACACAAAAAAAGAGGAGGAGAGATAAGAACGATAGATGTTTTATAGGAAAGAAGGAGCAAACCACACCAGAGCACCTGCCAACCACCCACTTGTCTCAGTTTTCTCAGTTATCTCCGAGAAGAAAGAGACTTTTGCTTTCTCCCAAAAGCACTATGTGATCTTCATTGTGTCCATTTATTTTTATCAGCTCTTACTGAAAAAGCAAAGTTCTTTCTATTTATCCAATTCCGGTACACTATCTCAGACACCATCAATTAGTTTTTCTGATGTGCAGTAGAAGAGTAGAAGTGTATCAGAAAGACATCAAACAGAAACTGTTTTTTTAAAGAACAGACAAAATAGAAAACAAAAGCACTAGTTTCATGACATGTTAAATTTATTGATATTCACCACATAAACCTCTGGGGTGATGCCTCATTAGGCCAGAAAAATGGTCTTTTTACAAACATATAAACTGTGAATGCATTTATCAAAACGTAAAATAACAATTCAACAAACAGCAGCTTTGAGCAAGGAAGCCTCATGTTCAGCCTGACGATATAAAAGGGAACTATGTAGTAGCGGAATTCAAACAGAGCTTGGGGCACAAGGACAGCCAACAGACAAATGATCATGGTGACCCGCCACAGCAAACCTTTGTGGATTGTCAAAGAATAAAACTGATACAGGCAGAAGATGTACCCAGGGATTAAAGCATATCTTACCATGTCATGCCGTCTGTATATATAGGACCAAACATAAAACGTATAATGTCTGTTGTCGCTCAAGGTATACTTGTGCTCATAAGTGAAAGTTCTGACAAGATACACCATTACCGAAGTAAACAGCAGGAATTTTACTGGATTCTTAAGCACCACACAGAGAAAAATTTTTATTTTCATTGGTGAAATAAGATGTACAAAGGAAAATACTGCTGAGGCAGCGAGAAAATAAAAAACCTGTGGAAAATTGAGGACTGCTTGGTGATGCTTTCTGTCTCCAACAACAATTCCTTCATTTAAGTACACAAACACAGCGAAAGCTAGCAACACACATAAGTACCAAAATACTTTGCAAATAATATCCTTTATGACCGTTAAACATGTTGATGGGCTCTCAAATACAGCTTTCACTATCAGTTTGAAAGCATGTAGATCTTCTAAGCTATGGAAATTCTCCCTCACTAATTTCTTACTCTTCAAAAACTGTTCCAGTACTTCAATTTTAGCAATGGCCACGCAAAACAGTACCCATATAACATTGGTCTGCCTGAATACTATAGCAATGCAACCAATCAAGGCAGCCAGAAAGTGTTTTTGTCCCAGGCAGAGAGAGTACATGAGCAGGGTGAAGAAGGTTGATCCAGGATCGGTGTAGTAGAACCAGGTGAAAAAATACAACACAGGGAACAAGGTCAGCACGCAGGCATTCATCAAATGCTGAACCTTTTTGTGTCTGTCCTGTGGAGAGGCAACAAATAATGTGATCAAAAGAAAACAAAATAGCTCGCTTTCGCAATGTAAGCTACATAACATATATATTATACACAAATGTACAAAAATATTGCACCTGAGCACTTACGTGAAATAAGGAAAGGGTGAAACAACTATAACTTCAACACAGCTAACGGTGAAAGATTACCTTTTTTTGTAAAGAAGTAACAAGAAAACAGTGGAAACTGTTTAAACCAAAATCTACCGAACCATCAAATTTTCTTCGGCTGAGCCAGGTTTTCGGAAGAGAATTTGCTCAAACAGAAGAACAAAATCATCGCTTGTTTTTTTTTTTCCAGGTAAGGCCTTCTGCTTGTGTGTTTGTTTTAGTAAGGTTTTACCGTAATCACAACAGCATAAGGACATATGAGCGCTGAGGGGTAGATGTCAACAGAGAAGCGCAAACAGGGAATCAGGCTTACTCTGCTCACCTCTCTAGCCTCAACAGCACAATGTCTGCTTTGACTATCAAGGCACCCCTGAAATAGCAGTTCACAAGAGAGTGACAAACATACAAAAGAAGTAGAGGAAAAATGACAATAATTAGGATGAGGAAAGAAAAAGCATCAGTTCCCCCTATGTTGTTCCGGCACAGTATGAGCATGACATTGATAAATCAGCCCATTTACAATTCTACTGTGCATAAAAACATGTTAATATCCCCCCTTTGGGAAGAATGACCTAAAGACACTTCAGTAAGCAGCACTACCCAGGGGGGGGGGGAGGGGGGAGGCCTTCTACTGTTTTCAGGTTACCCATGTTCAATTCAAGTGGACTCCATCATATGTGTCACGACATGGTGGAACCAGGTGCTCGTCAATTTTAGGGCATGTGGAGTTATTGGTATGGCCTTAAAGCTTGTTCATTTGTCTTGCTTTTAATGAAAGAAATACTAATTTATCTTGAATACAAGTCAAGATATTTGTCATTGAAGGAGGTGGGTTGCCTGGTTTCAGGGGCAAAATTAGAGATTAAATGGCTGCCAAAGTTTGGTTATTTACATAGCCTGAGAGTCCATGGAAACAGGCAATTTACATTTTTTGTGCCTTTAATCAACATGTTTCAGTAAAATCCACACAGACATGGGTTCATAAATTATTGACACAAAAGCTGTTGAGCCAAAAAGAAAATTTTTGATAAAAATGGCCAAACCAGTTTCTTTACTTTCATTATTTTGACAAGCCCCTGACTTCACCACAGTGCCTCACATATGTGTTTTTGCTTTTAAAAAATAGTTTTTTTTCATCCCACAAAAATGTTGTAGAGATACAAATGAGGGTTTAGAGAGAACGGAAGAGAAGGAAAAAAGAAATAGTTTTAGGACAGGTTGTGAGGTTTCTCTCCTTTCAGTATTAGTAGAGGTTTTACGGCGCTCGCAACTGCATAAGGTCAAATGAGCGTCAGAAGATTAGAGGTGTTACAAGACAATAACGAAAATAAAAATGAAGAAGGGGAGATAAGGACGATAGATGTTTGATAGGAAAGAAGGAGCAAACCACACCAGAGCACCCGCCAACAGCCCACTTTCTCCCCTCACCAATACATTTACTCATGTCACAAAGTAAAGAGCCTCCACTAGATACATTTTAACAATAAAAAGTCAAGAGGCACCATTTCAAGATGGGAACAATGCATGCTTTTTTTATAGCTTTCACCACAAACCATAAAGATAAAGCAGAAAAAGACTTCTTCTTCTTTAACAAATCTAGCATCGTCATTGTTAAAAGAAAAAACAGCCATCAAGGGACACACAAGGCCACTAGCAAACACACACATGTACAATAGTGTAACACTTATAAGCAAAAATAAAGAAAAATAAAAATCTCTGATTTCCAAAAAACTACATACAGTCAAAACTCTGGAACACCGTTAATTATGTTAAAAACTGTTTAGATGCTCTGATCCTAAAAAACTGCTCATGAAAATATAAACATGAAAGTTATTAACAAAATGAAAACGACAACTGTTTCAAGACAAAGTAAAAATACAGTAAGACTTATGAAGTTGCTTTACTTAATAAAATGTGAAACGCTTGTTAATGCAAAAGGATTTCAAATCCCCCCTTTTTCCTCATCATTCTATTATGCATTGCAACTTCCCTAGGCATATAACCAAAAAATCCAGGCACATCTGGTTTAACGCGGAGGTGTTTTTGGCCACTTCGTCATTCCTCAAAGCTTACTCTCCCCTTTCCTGTTCTTTTTCCTCTTATGGTAGCCTACTGTTGTCAGTGCTCATCACACAACATGCATTAAAGGGTAAGATCTCTCATAGAGTCTTTTTTCTCATTTCCCATGCGCAGCAGGTGGTGAAAAAGTTGCTATGTTTTGCGAGACAGGGAAACCAGACGCAAAGAAGCTGCCAACCATCTCAACATCCCATTAAAAAAATTTTCAGATCTTTATAATGGACTGCTATGATTATCAATTTCCTGTTTTGTTATTTGTTCTTATTCTTAAACTGAGTAGATCTAGTAGCAAGGGAAACTATCAATAGCTACAACTTTCCCCCTTGAATCTCATTGTGTATTGTCAAGACATCCATCTAAGGTTGAACATGAGGTTTCCCTTGCTTTCATTTTCCAAAGGTTACAGCTCTGTATTAGCTATTCATATATATCTGCACTAGCCAATAAACAGTAAAAAAAAAAGGAGTCACCTGCGTTTCTTTTTCTTAATGCACTGCTTTACAAAGAATCTGCTTAACAAGAGAAGAAATTCTCTGGTCTCTGAAAGTTTGTGTGATCAGGGTTTAACTGTAGGCCTATATTACCTTTCTATCCTGAAGTCTTCTTGAAAGTTGGTAGAGCAACAGAAAATTTCCCAGGTTAAAAAGTATGTTGCAGGCCCTGAGATTCTGAGTTGAGCACACTGACAGCAAATCCACTTGCTTCACCCATGCCAAAGGACTCAGGATCACAACGGAGGAAAGGTACAGTCCAGGTAATGTAGTGATCATTGGGTCCCACTGAAAATATTGAAAGGATATATTATATAATATAAATCATGCAGTTTCAATCCTTTCATAACTAGAGTCAGTATCTGGAGCATGTTTCAAAACTCTAGAAAAGCAGTTATTTATGTGTTAGTGACAGGGGTAAGTTCACTTACACTGCCAATGTCAGAGAAATGTGTTTGGTAATCAAGAGAGCTTAGACCGAAATACTCGATAACAATTTGGCCACATATTCACATCTGTTGTGAAAAATTCCATAACTTTCGTTCGCGAAAACTGGCATGAAGTTAAGGTCAAGTGGCCTGGAAATTTACCGGGCTTGAATCCTATCGAGATCTTAGAGTAAAATTGAAAACAGAGACTGAGGAACATGGACATTTAAAACAAACAGACTTATGAAAGGTGATGAAACCTTATGGCATAATGACCCCTTGATCAAGCAATCGTGTCAGAAACAGACATTAGAATATGTCTATTATGCCAGTGAAAACCTGGGGTCCAACTCTAGTTTTCACTTTCATCTGACCACCTAACTAAAAAAAATTCTAGCTCATTTATCATAATTTATCTTTGCCCACAAAACTTTGCTTGGAACTCCTGCAGACAAGCGACCAAACAAAATTTTTTAAAAATCTTGATCAAAGTTTGTACTCTGTTGGGCCCTAATACCCAAAACTGCTCTTGTTTCCAAAGACTTTGGGTTGGCCCTTCATATAGTCTACGTTCAAGATCACACAAAAAATGACTTAGCCAATAAATTGCTAATTTTGAGACAGTCGCGAGTCTCGAAGGTGCTTACAAAGTCTCTTGACTCCCGTTTCATAATTAAAGTGGGGAGTTGAAACTTTCCGAAATCACAAAAGAGTTTCCCTACCGGGTCTGTATATATACTTTGGGACTTGTTCCCGGTTACCGGGTCTGTATACACGGTAATACACTCCCATTTTTGCCTGCCCTCCTGAACGCCTAATTCAAGCCCTGAAAAAAGGCCACCTCTATTCTCACCCGGAGTGAGAATAGTGCAGGTGAGTCTTGTGGTTATTCTCACCCGATGCGCGTTCACCAAATTTTGCGTTCACCCTAAACCACAGAATTCTACACTGTGATAACAGAAAAATTGTAGAATTCTGTGCCGTGTACAAACGTTCCATTACAACTGTAGCCTACTAAAAGCGTACAATTTTGTCTGTGGGCAGTGGAGAGAGAGAGAGAAAGAAAGAGAGGAGTAGCGCGAGAATTTCCGGGCAAAAAAAAATGGCGACCCGCGTAGTTCGGCTTGATTCGAAAAGTTAAATAGTCGTAGCATCTTTGTAGACAACCAAATTAATTTACGTTTGTGTTTTAACATCATTTTTTAACTTTGTTTTGGTCAATTTGATCGTCCACACCGATAGACAGTATTCAGAAAGAGACAGAGAGAGAGAGAAGAGGGGAGGAGTTGATCTTGCGAGAACTTCCGGGCGGGTGAGAATAGCCACTTTCCTGAAAAAATGGTAGATCTAGAATCTAGTCTAGATTCTTGATCTAAAATCTAGATCTAGATTTTAGATCTAGATATCTAGATCTATACTGTGTTGTACTGTTAGGCCTACTTTTCAAATGACAACTTGAGTACTTGTTGAGTTTGAGTCTCGACTTACATGAGTAAAGTTGTGGTGACAATAGTGACGTCCCTGGGGGACGTGAAACACTTCGTCCATATACGGATCATTTTGGATTGACTGAAAGATACTGAATAAAATCGTCGATGTCGCCAAAATAATGCTTGTAACCAGAAACACAGCAAACATCTTGCACGGTCTCTTGTCTGTCTTGCCCAGCAGTCGAAACGAAAGCTGAGGCAATGTTGACAAGTTTCGTTTGTGTGTAGTGTGTAGAACACAAATTAACGTATCAACGTACGGTAACTATCGTAAACAATCGCAATCTCGTTTCATCTATCAATACCGCGAGAGACCGTGATAATTTAGAAGGTCACGTGACTTAATCCATCAATGTAGGTAATATGGCGGTTATTCATCAACCAGGTATGAACGGAGACATACCAAATTTCTCGATTGGTTCCAGAGGAGACGATGCCTACGTCTCTGGGAATCTCCAAGAGGAGGTAAAAGGATTGACCTTTAAGTAGCGAGTGCATAATACCCTCAATTTTTCTGTACCAGGGGGTGACATCATAGTAAGATGGACAGCAGACGTCGCAAACCGAGCATCGACACCAACGACATTGTTGTTGAATCATCCCATTGTTTATGTTTATAGACGAGAATGACATCTTTCTTCTTGACAACGCTGTCTTGTGAGAACTTAAACATGTACTCTGTGAAATGCCTGCTTGATTCAATCACATAAGACCCCTGAAAGGGTTGTATGGCAAAGTTTTGGGCACCATTCATCATCATAATGACTTGTACTACAGAGTGTAACAAGACCTCTTACTTTGTCATCATCTGTAATCTGTGTGTGTAAAACATCTTTATATTAATTATCAATTTAATCTTTGTCAGGAGTCTCTTTAACCAGTGACTCAGTCTGACTTAAAGTAGCAGTGTCCCTAATCTCTGTTTCATTTTATGTGTAGATCTATATAACTTAATAGATTAGATTGTTCTTGTTCTTGAACCTTTGAATACATTTTTGAAACTATGACTATGATGAATAGACATGACAGACACATGAATGATTCTGATTAGATTAGAAGGATAGAGTAGAGTGGGGTAGATTCTAGAGTTCTATTTTCTTGTATTAAAATAGCTCTTTCAGGGTTAGAATATGGGCACCGTTTGTCACTGGTGAAATAAATTAATCTTTCTGGGAGTAACTGAAAACCTTGGCAGTTCCAATGTTACTCTTCTTTTTTGCTCCTACTCCTGGTCATCGAGTGTGAATTCACTTGTGACCTGTCGCAAGTTTATTCTTGATTCTTGAATCAGTGTGTTATTGTAGCGTTGATTATTGCCAGTAGGCTATCTGAGCCTTTGCGTCAAGATAGGGATGTTTTCTTGAGGTTAAATTTAACTAGATCTAGCCAACTTCTCATTTAAAACCCGGTTTTATCTTAACCTAAAACATAATTAAATGCGTCATGTATGACAACGCTCAGGTACATTCCCTTTTCTGATGACTAAGACGTAATTAGTCTTCAGCAATTACCGAAAACAGGTCTCTTTTACCAGGATTTCTTTCATTAGATGTTTTGAAATAAATTCACTTAAAACAATTTAATTACCAGTTTAGTGATGTATGGCACTTTCGTAGGAGGGACCCGGCATAGTGGGTTTACTTTCCTCTGAGATAATGAGTCAAAAAGTAATAAAATAGCCTCCGATTCCATTGCTGCTGTTGCAAGTCCACCTGACTGCTTTTCAATTTAAATGAGATGTCAAACGTTATAAATTTAAATTTCTGAGGCAGTTTTACTCACTTCTTTAAAAAGTCCCATGCATTTTTGTTATGATTTCTTTTTTATTTTGTTTTCTAAGTTTATCCAGCTTCTAAGTATTGGGGACATACACGAAATTTTAACTTTTTGAAAGGAAAATTGGAATGGCAAAACAGTTTAAAGCATTTCTCAGATGTGTAAAATGCCATGTTATCTGAAGATGATGTTCTTATTCCCTGAAGTCAGAGAACTCTTTTACTTTTTGGTGAATTTCTTTCTGGTTCTCATTTTATTCTGCCATGAATTATTGCAATTATAAACTTTTAAAGTAAAACTTTCTTTTTAAACCTTCCAAGTGTCTGTAATAATAGCTGGTAATGTCAGGAGTTTGGTATGATTTCACCATATTTTCACACTGGAAAATGCTTGAGAACAAGCAAATAAAGACAATAAACACCTATACGTTTTCAGAAAGTAGAGAATTGTGTGAAAAAATTTAAGTAGAGCTCATGTGTGAGGAACTTAAAATGATCGGTGATGATGAACCAAAATGGCGACTTAAATTACGGCTGATTATGTGAGCAGTGAATCCACAGAACAAAAGTTACATCCCTTTAATGGCCGTCACCACTGAACTGAACTAAAGAAGGCAAAATACTCAATGGGAAATGTTTTGATTAATCTGATAAAAGACAGGAATAACACTGGTTTAAAATCTGCTCTGAGAAAATGAGCAAAGGTAAATTCAATGTTAAATTGTTCCTCGTACTGGTCTGCATCGGTTACTTCAAATGTTGGGCCTGGTCTAGAAATTTGTAGAACATTTTTTTTTTGGAGTAGATCTACATAAAATATTAAAAGCCATCGTGCTTCTGTTATAGGGGAAATCAGACTTTAATAAATTCGTTTCATACTTAAAGCTCTTGTGACTTCTTTTGAAAATTCAGGGTGGTTGCTTCTTACCAGTCTAGGACTTAAAAATCTGGTATGGGCTGAGATCAGAAAAAAACCAAATGAATATGTAAATGAACATTGACTGACAGGGAATGTCTCAGAGATAATTTCTTCGCATTGTTTTTTTTAAGAATGTTCAAAATGGCGTGGGAGACTTTTATGTAAAAATTATTTATTTTTGGAGAGTATGTGCAAATAAAAAGATTTTCATTAGTTTCAATTTGAAAGTTTGCTGTTTGTGGACTTTTTTCAAATGTGATATTTTAAGCACACTGGGAGTTGTTTGTTTGTTTTTTAGGTTTGTATGAGGCTTTTGCCTAAAGGTGAGGGTGTTTGCAAATCAACCATTACACATGGAAAACTGGTTTACTACAAAAAAAACCCCTACTTAATTTGATGCATATGGCAGGGAAATAAACTGGTCAAGCTGCACGAAATCAAATGAGAAGATATTTGCATCTTAATCTTCAATTCTTGCTCTTCTTTCTGCCTTTATTTGTCCCCTTCAAACTAGGGTGATTAGTGGTTTCAAAATGGAGTGAGGAATTTTAATCTTTGCTTGTACTGAAGGGCAAACAAAGACAAGTTTAAATAGTTTGGTTGATATGGGTTGTTGTTTTGTTTATGTTTTTAAAATGCATTAGAAATCCCCCCTCTATTGCCTCAGGTTAATGTCCCAACTTTACCTGTGTTTTTGTGGTTTGTTGTGTAATCACATTTTCACTCTACTTTCCGTCGTATGAGTGGTTAGATATCATGTTTTTTGGTTCAGTTTGTTTAATTTTAACCTCCACTTCATTTTTTCTAGCTTCTTGTATCATAGTGATTTCCAGAGATTTACATTTATTGTTCAATGATAATTAAATTTTACAGTATTTTCCTGTGTAAGATTAGTTTTTGGCTCTGGGTTGGGGTGAAAGCATTCCACCTTGACAGTAACCTTTTCTATGTTGTATTGGATTGCATTTTATAAATGTTTGTTCATGTTCATAAACTCTAACTCAGGTGTTCTTTTGTTTCACATTTAAGATTGAAAATATTCAACGTATCATCACTGCATTGCGAAAGAAGCTTGAGGCTATCAATGAGGAATTCGGTGGACATCAGCATCCACCAGCTCTTTATGTACAGGTAAGATGACATGTATTGTTTTTTTCTATATTTCTACTCTACTGGGATGTACTGGACTATGTTTAGGTCTTTGTCCAAACAAAGCACGAAAGTTTCCAAATGAGCACTAAAAGCTTGATGGTTTGGGTAATCCTTTTTTTTCTTTTCATTCAGATCCTAGTATTTTTAATCGGAGGACCCTAGTTTTGATCTTCAAGAATTCCTAAAATGATCAATTGTGTGTAATGCTGTCCTGTTATTTTCACAGAGTTCAGTTCTGTTGGAGCTGTATCTTCCTGTTCTGGTTTCAAAATTAACGCTTTCTTCAATGTCAAACTTGGGATTACTCGAAATGTCCTCATTGTCATCATTCTGTTCATTGGTGGAACTCACCATGATGTTTGGCTTTAGTGTAGATCTGATGTTGCTGAATTGTCAATTCAAAAAGATTCAGAGTTGCGGTGGAGACTTTTGTTCAGAAAAATGTTGTGGCTGTAATTTATGTTTAAAACAGTCTGAATATCGATACAAATAGCTGGTTTAGGTAATAGTGAAGCATTTGAGATACTGCTAAGACAATGTGATGAAAATATTTTATTTACAGGTGAAGTACAGTTTTGAGTGATATGCTGGTGATAAAATGGTTTACTAAAATATTCTAATGGACAATTCGGCCCATCAACCCCATTTGGTTCCTGTATTGGGTTAAATTGGGGTTTTAGGTACATGAGTGAAAGAAATCCTGTTCCATTATTTTAAAAAGATTGTTCAGAGCCTCCCACGAGAACAGTTATTTTTCCAACAAAACACCTTGAAAGTAAGAGCACCAAAATCTCACAAATAAGCTGTCAAAAGTTTCAAAGGTATTGAAAAGATAGATTTTTAAAAATTGTAAATTTGGTAACCCCACACCTTAAAAATTGAAATTTTCAAAAAAAATGTAAAAGAACATGTGAAGAGCTTGCGAGGATTTTCTTTGTGTAAACACATGCTGAATGTGTCGTGAAGATACAATTTTGCGTCAGCATTCAGGAAATTGAATACCCTTAGCCTGTTCAGACTTCCCTTCTTTAACTCATTTTGCAGGTTTAGGACTTTGTTCAATGTGTTCAGGGCATATTTTCCTGTCTTTCTGATGAAAAGTTGAAAAGTGAACATTTTAGCCCGAACTTGACCTCTTTAGTGTAAATCGAAGCCATGTATGTCTCTTTTTTAACATATTATCAAATGGAATTAATACAAAATAGTCAACTGTACATTAAGTCTGAGGTTATCATTCAGCATTGAACAAAATGTCATAAGAGCATTGAGGAGCGAGAGTTGCTTTTTTATTTATTTTTTCATTTTTTATAATTAATGAAATAAAATGAAAATAATAATGAGGGCTTTCTCAATCTCAATATGCTGATCAATTTACAGTGGAGCAAATGGTTTTGATAAGAATTTTGTTGTCCTCTCTCTCTATCTCTTTAGGAATATGAGGAACTTGCCAACAAAATTCACTACTACCAGCTGCGAGAACAGAGACTTCAAGAACAGATGAGTGTGGGAGGTGGGTCGCCCCCACCGTCCCCGCCCCACAGCAAGTCACAGCCCGAGGAGCCTCTGTTGTCTCCGGGACCTCCGTTAACCCCGAGCAATAGCAACAGTAATCCGCGGATGCCTCCAGTGGGGCAGCGAAGTCCTCAGTTGGGTCCCAGATCAACCAATGCACACATCAAGGCTCACCTTCCCAACAGTATGGTTACCACGGTGAGACATTGCTTTTCTGAATTGATTCAGAAGAAAATGAGGATACCCATTTGTCACTGGGATGGTGAAAATCAGATATGTTCAGTCTTTCTTGAGGAAGCACCTTGACATTTTTGCCTTGTCTGAATTGAATCTCATTCAAGGATGTCAATTAAGCAAAGACCATGTTCAATCTAGCCTTAAGTTTTGTTTTTTCTGTTATAATACCTTTTCCGATAAGGGAAGAGAAAATCCTCAATCTACCTCTCTGAAAAAAAGTTTGATTTTGTACCTGGGTAAGTTGTTGTGGAAAAGGGACAAGATTTTTTTTTGGTATTCATTGCACTGGTTAGAAGACTTCAAGGCTTGGATGAAGTAAAGTGTGTGAATGGTAGGGTGAAAATGCCACTGTTTGCTTGGTTTAGAATGTTGTGGTGTTGTAGCCTGAATCTTGGATCTTGATTAAATTTACCACTGGCCTTATTCTGGTACGAACAAAAGAAAGTATTTCCTTCAAAAAAACACCTCAAGGTATCAAATTCTCGTTGCGCTATCTTAATTTGGGAATTTGCACCTCACCTGCAGTCTGCAGAAAATGTCAATAGCATACCTATGTCCGTTCACTCTTCCAGGTTCTTGCAATTCCGGGTACCACCCTCAAAGATGGTCTCACTAAAGCCATGAAGAGGAGACAGTTAGATGCGTCAAAGTGCCAGGTGTTCCGACACAAAACAAGGTTGGTAGCGTTTTCTGGAACTAGTCTCTGTTCTGTCTGTGTATATCGTCGCCCGAGTACAGCAACCCCGTATCCCACAATAACAAATTTTGCAGGAGATGGAAAAAGCTTTGTTGATTCATCTGACAATGTTTGTTAAAAATTAATTAAAGTCTGAATGTTGCACTGGCAATGTTTATTGAGCTGCATGAATAAAAACTTGACTCAAAACCCGAAACGTTACATTTAGTAGAGAAAAATCTCATAAAATGTGTTTTTTCACATAGTGTGGGTAACAAGGTTATTATACTCAGGTGACGATATTTTTTCATATTTTTGTTTTACTTGTGTCCTTTTGCTTCATTGTGGATGTTTCCTATTTGAATTGATTGGTTTATATTTCCCTAGTGAAGCTCCTTCTGCCACTTTTTGCATTGGTCTTGGTCTTTATGGAATCTGCCCCGTGCCACTGACTGAAGTGTCTTTGTGCCATTCCCAAAAGGGGGACATAAGCATGTTCTTATGCACAGTAAAATTGTAAATGGGCTGATTCAACAATGTCATGCTCATAACTGTGCCTGAACTGCAACAGGGAACTGCTGCTTTTTCTTTCCTAATCCTTACTATCATTATTTTCCTCTATTTCTTTTGTATGTTTGTCACTCTCTTGTGAACTGCTATTTCCGGGGTGCCTTGATAGTCGAAGCAGACTTTGTGCTGTCGAAGCTAGAGAGGTGAGCAGAGTAAGCCTGATTCCCTGTACAGACTTCTATGTTGACATCCACCCCTTGGCGTTCACTCATATGACCTTATGCAGTTGCGAGCGCCGTAAAATCTCTACTAAAACAAACAACACAAACAGGTCTTTATGGTGTATTGATCTCTTTCTCTCACAGAATCCAGTTGACATGGAACACGGACATGATGGAACTGGCTGGCCAAGAGGTGTCTGTTGAGTTGATAGAGCCTGATGAAGAAAATGGGTCCACGAGATCCGTACCCCGAGCTGTTGTGCTCGCCCACAATTATGTAAGTGTTGCTGTCTAGAGCCGTATTACTCTCAGGAATGTTGCACTCTTATACGTCGGTGGTTGGCGGTTGCTCTGGTGTGGTTTGCTTCTTCTTTCCTATCAAACGTCTCTTGTCCTGGTCTCTCCTCCTTTTTTGTGTTTGTTACTCTCTTGAAGCACCTAATCTTCGGCACTTAAATGACCTTATTGTGTTGAAAGTGCTGAAAAATGTTCACTATACAAAGCACTCTTATACCTCTTCTGCATTTGTACATTCATGGGGGAGGGGGGGGGGGGAACATTTTTTAGATTGTTGTTGAAATATGCCTTGATCAGAAGTATTGTTTTGAGAAAATGTTAAAAATCAATTGTTGTTGTTAGCGATCCTGTAGCATCTGAGCGCTAACTCTTCTGCATGATGCCATTCGGTTAAAAATCAATTCAAAAAATACTTCCCAGAGACAAGCTTGATTTTTTTTTTTTCAGTTTGAAATTTTGATATGAATTGAAATAAGCTTTTAATTGTACTATAAAGTTGCCAATACTGTCAAGAATTTATTTTCCCATGATGCTTTTCATAACGTTCTGTATGGCTGTTATGACTTTTGTCATAGTTACCATATTTGGTTTACTCAGGGGAGTGTTTAGGTTTGAAACTGACAAGTTGACAGAACGTCTTCTTCTTGTATTTATAATCTCTTTGAAGGGTCTTAAAAAATGTAGAGGATGAAAAAGTAGCCTTCCCTGGTTTAGGTCTATGTTTGATAGACAAGTTCAATGAAAACAGCATGTCTGTATATATGTTTAGTTTAACGAGTGGATGACTTGATACTTTGTCTTAAATCTGAATGCTTCAAATTATTTATATTTTATTTTTCTATTTTTTGGGGTGTTCTTTGATGTTTTTCCATTGCTCTTTTTTTTTTCTTCTCAACAGGGCAGAAAGACATATTTCTCCTTAACCTTCTGTGATATTTGCCGCAATCTCCTGTTCCAAAGTATTCGTTGCCAAACCTGTGGTCTCAAATTTCACCAACGCTGTGAGGATAAGGTCCCTCGTAACTGTCAGGGAGACCTGGAGGTTTATCTACGCGCTCAGAGAGACAACTCTCGGGAAATCCTTCGCCAGTGAGTGAAGAAATAAACTTTTGTTACTTTTTGGTCTTGTTAATGTACTTTTTTTTCTTTTTTTTTTTTCCCAACTGAGGTCCAAAGGAATTGGCGTCTGTAGAGTTCTTTAGGCAACTTTAAAAGTTTACAATTAAAACTTTGTATACTTCCCTGTAGATACCGTTACAGAAATTTGATACCCATTTTAGTACTTTGTGAGTCAGTGGTGGAGAGACATAGGTTTAAAACATTGGTAACAATGTGATATGAAAGTTTATGTTTTAAAAAACAGGGCTAACAGGCTTGGATGTCATTTCGGTCTAAGTGTTGTTGGTGTGAAATGATAATATTTAGTGCTCTGTGTTTAAAAATAAATATGAATAGTTTGACGAGTCTTGAAGTACAATCATAATATGTGGGTTTGCTTTTTGGTGTCCCGTTTGTTAGTCTGCATTTAAAAAAAAAAAATTTTTTAACTTAATTTTTTTTATAGTACATGGATAGTTGGGTGAAAACTCGTTTTCTTCTTCTCAGGATACTGTCAGACCACCACCAGTCTGGTAGTAAACAGCAAAGTCAAGGTTACTCTAAAGGAGGACACCAAAGTCGCGCAGTAGCACCTCAGCTGGGCCAGCGGGAGAGGTCCACGTCTGCCCCCAATGTCTGTGCCAATATGATCGATAACAGTGATATGAATTCACAGGTAGGTTTCAGTGAGTTAGTTGCTTGCTTTGAACACTTTACCATCATATTTGGGGGAAAATCCAAAGAAACTGGGTGGTAAACGTCGCCAATGGGCCAGATGAGGCCGCAAAGTGTTAAGCACAAGGGGGCTATCCCTAAAAATGCTGTTTTGAGAAAATCGAACAAGTTTTTGCCCCGTGTTCAGTTTTTTTAAAAGACAAGAAGATTCTTCTCTATGACAAAACAAATACACACACCAATGAAACCAAACTTCTCTTATTGGTAGGGCAATGCCCACTTTTGGTGTAGGTCAAGATTTCTGGAAACCCCTGAAATCTGGGTTAGCCCACTTGTCCTAACAGCGATCAATTGTGATTGATGTGGATCGGATGTGATCCCGAAATTTGAAACCTCTTCGATTTCAAGTATGAAAATTGAAAGTAACTGAGAAAATTAGTTTTTACACGTAAGCACACAGAAATGCATTTACATCATTTTATGGGTGAGCACGTACAAATAAGTAGTGTGCAATATACACAATGAGATCCCTAGGTTTAAAGAAATACTTGAACAGATTCATAGTTTTAATGTAATATTATGCTTAAAATGAAGCAACGGAGTTGGAAGTATTTTCTTCAAATGTATCCTTAAATATGTTTTAAATTAAGATACTGATCACTTGATCTCAGTGAATTAGAAGGAACATAAAATGTTTTGGTTTCTGTATCCATTTCCATTGACCAAGAGGGACTTGGATTAAATGTTAAATGTTTTTTTCTTTTTCCCTTACATTTGTCTTTGGGCTTTGTAATAGTCTGGAATTCTCTTTTCTCTATTTCAGGAGTGTCTTCGACGATTTAGAGAGCTTCAAAATGTCCACGCAAGGTCGCAGTCAAGTAAGTTCTCTCGTGCTCTTGTCTCAGTGTTCTTTTTACATGAGTGCACTGGTGCCACTGTATTTTAGAGTTGGCTGTTGATATTTCATATTGAGACTCATCGGTGATGTGGTAGGAATTGCCAACTTTGATAAATTGGCCTCTTGGTCCAGTTTTAGAAAAGACACAGAGTTTTTAAATTTGAAACAGTTTTGAGGCAGCTTTTTCTATGTTTGTCACTGTTTTATTTCCCCCCTTGATTAAAATATGAATTTAACAGGCAAATTGAAATAAGTGAATTCGGTGTTCGTTGTTGTTTGGAACACTTTCTTTACATAAGAAGTGCACTGTTAATTATATAGGTGCTTCATTTGATAAGTTGCTTAGACACATGCTCACAAATGACAAATGTTGACGGCCCCATCGAGTCTTGTGTTGCGGAGACAAGGCGGAGCAGATTCCTTTCTTTTTACTTCCCATCCTTCCTCTAGTGATGTTCATTTGTTAAACTTTCAGATGTTGTTCCGGGTTATCGATATAGTTTCTATAAGGACAAGCGACACGCTAGTGATAGCAGTGCTTCCTTTTCCAAAAACCTCCCCTTGTGTCAGAGCAGAGGTACTACCGGTATCAGCGAATGTGCTTGGAATGACAAACGGCACTCTCGTATGCATGGACTGGTGCTTGTGGTTTCCTCTCGAATAAACCCATAGCTGTGCCGCAGCGTATATAATGCAAGACTTTTTGATGCTGCACTACTGTGTAACCTTGTTCTATGACTATAACTGTTGAGGTTGAACATGATGCATGATTCTGAGTCCAGTAAATGCAATTTCTGTGCAGCAGGCTTGTTAGGCCTAATAAAGTAAAGGTACAATGTGGAATAAAAGGATTGACTATTCAGGAACTTAATGCCTCATTCAAAATAGAATTGTTTATTTGTATTGGGGG